CAATAAAATATTTATTTATATTAGTGATAACATATTATATATTCACATTTTATACATTACATTTTTGTCCAAATAAAGAAATAATAATATTTAAAATATACAAAGATATATCATATAAAACTTCCTGTCGTCATTTTCTAACCTTTACTCACAATTCCTCCAAACATCATTTATGCACACAACTGAATGTCTGTAAGGTTTTATTTACAGCATTTTTAATGATCTGAATATAACATGGAAATTAATAGAGATGAGTAAATTATTACATGCTTGCATTAAAAATCTCTTTACTTATATACAGTATATCTGCTTTGTTTAAACCACAGCAGTTTGTTTTTTCGACGATATAGTATCCTTTGCAAAGGGATGTTTCTGCCGATCTTTTGTTCTGAGTCTTCCTCGTGAAGGGTGCAGAGATGCTCCAGCAGGCTTTTAAAAAGTTATTTAGTGTTAAGATATGCTTTAATGGATTGCTGGGGATTGCTTTCTTACAGAGCAGGAAATGGACGTAGGTTTTCAGCACTATTAATTTGACCGCACTGTGTTTTGCCAAAGCCTCGAGGCTGGAACACATTTTTTGGGGGTGAACGCAAAATGTGCTGTTCTGCGCGTCTGTGAGTTTGCACTCTCTGGCTCTCTTTATCATGGCCTGCCTTGAACCATGTATATAAAACCCTTGAGGAACATGCAGACATGCACAGCTCTGCCATACACGGCCTCTTTGTGTTCTCCAAGTGAATCGACAAGATATTTACCCTGCTGCAATGTACAGTGCCATACACATTTCTTAGCACACTTGGTAAATATGTCTTTATTATTTTACTTTTTAATATTTAGCTCGAAATATGTTTGTTTTTGTAAGTTTGTATGTTTGCTTTTGAAACTCTTTCAAGGAGTTTATTGTAGTGTTGGTGGTGTCGGATAGTACTTTTAGCGAACTTCTGACCTTCAAACCCAGTTAATGTCTGCATTTCTCCAGCTGAGATTCTCTTAGATATTTTGTTTGCTCAAACATCCTATTTGAACAAGAAGAACACAATTCCTATTCCTGCACATTAAGACATAAAGGTACAAAAGCTTTTCAAGAGGTACAGTACACTTTTGTACCTTCGATATGCATATTGGTACCTAAAACGAACATTGTGTACCTTTAGGGGAAAATTTTGTATGGGTGAGTAGGCATGGGACGATAACCGTTTTCAAGGTATACCGCAGTTTAGAAATGTCAAGGTTTTAAAACAGCCAAAATTTTCTGTAATACAATTCCTAAGGTACAGTATGTGTAAGATTTTTTTTATTTACGTTTTTTTGAACAACAGTATCTTCGGCAGAAAAGATATCTAAAGATGCCGTTTTAAATTGTTAAAACTTTTTTAAAAGGTACTGCTTCAGTGACAGCTTTTGTACCTTTATTTGTACCTATATAGAGTGTGGCTAATTCATAGCAATTTCACTTGATTGAATTTTTTTTTATTGTCCCGATGCTGGATAAATTGATCTTTTTTACCATTTTTCTACATTGTTTGAAAAATAACTTAAATGTATAATAGATAATTTGATTATTTCAGTGAATACAAATCAACATAAATATCAATTCAATAGAAAATAAATCTATTCTTTAAATTGGATTCAAACAGGAACTTTTAAGTTTATTTATAAAAAAAATACATAAAATGTAAATAATATATGTATCAAAACACAAAAATTTACAAAGTAATGACACCAAATTTTCACATCATACATTGGCATAAATGAAATATAAAAATTTAACCTTGAAAAATTTAGTTAATGTGCAAAATATCTGAATATTTTACATATATTTACAATTTTTTTTCTTAATTTGTAAACTCTTAAGTCGTAAACTAAGTTATCAATAATTTTCTTTAGTTGAAAAATACAATTATTAAGCCAAATATATATTAATCTGCTTATCCGAATTGATTTATATAGAGCTGCTGAATTTGTGTACAGTATTTAAGACAAATATATTATAACTAACTGTAATTAAATTTGCAACATGGTGGCTCAGTGGGTAACACTGTCGCATCAGCAAGAAGGTCACTGGTTTGAGTCCCGGCTGGGTCAGTTGGCATTTCTGTGTGGAGTTTGCATGTTCTCCTCTTGTTAGCGGGGATTTCCTTCTGATGCTCCGGTTTCCCCCACAAGTCCAAAGACATATTATAGGTGAATCGAGAAAACTAAATTGGCTGCAGTGTATGTGTGTGAATGAGTGTGTATGGATGTTTCTCAGTACTGGGTTGCAACTGGAAGGGTATCTGCTGTGTAAAACATATGCTGGATAGGTTGACAGTTCATTTCGCTGTGGTGGCCACTGGTTAATAAAAAAAACTAAAAGCAGAACAGTAATTTAATTACAGTAACTTTTTATTTTGTAACTAACTACACCAAACACAGGTCTCCAATTACTGCTCTGTTCTGTGGTTTTACTTATAGTGATGATTGAGTGAGTTTTACCTCATATTCACAGCCCTGTGAAACAGAAAGTTATGCTTGAACAATTGCCTGTGCCTTGTCACTCAGGTGTAGTAAAATAAGATAAAATTATGAGTGGGATATTACTTTAAAAATACTGTGCTTATATGAGTTCCTAATAGTGCCAATAATTGTCACCAACATATATTTAACAATGATATGATTTTGAATAAAACGGCACTGTGTTTACAGTCATTTGTTCCTAAATAATAGCAGAGTTTTTTTGTTTATAACAATAAAAAATTATCCAAGCCTTCTTTAGTCATGTTTACCAAGCAAGTCGATGTTAATGGAGGCCACTGTATATATGACAGTGTGTGTGCGTGTGTGTGTGTGTGTGGGTTTGTACAGTACGGTGGTCTCAGATTGCAGTCTCATGCTGCTCAGTTCATCTCTCTCTCAGGCGGATGAATGACGTGAGCGAATAAGAAATAAAGAAACCTGAGCCCAACCACACACTTATCCAACAATGGCCTCTCATTGAAGCACACAGACCCCTGCTAACACACACTGGGCCAAGGCCAAAACCATCACACTCACACATGTGTACTTCACTTTCTGAAATCCTTCACAATATTATTTCCAGTACTCATGATGTACTTGCTCATTGTCAAAATAAGATCCTGAATCGAAGAGTCTATCATAATTAATTAAAAGCTCATTCTAGAGGTTGATGAAGCTGAAATATTGAATATTGAATGTGCTTTTTGAGTTACTGTAATATATACATTGGATACTATTGGGGGATGTGAAGGAGTGCGAGAAATGGGGTGATTATTTTAATTTTAATTTAATTTTATAAGTTAATTTCGGGTGTAATGGAGATTTAATTTTATTTTATTTTTAAATAATTTTACTTATGACTTTAATGGCTGAATCATAAAATAAAAATAGTTCAATAAAATTAATTGTTGTTAAAGTCACAAATTGTAATTTCTGATGCCTGAATTTTTTAATGTCATTATACATTCACAGGCATCAAAATCGCATGCAAATGATGGATTATAACAAAAAATCAACATTGCATATCCTGCAATGTAAGTATTGCTAATGATCACATTGCGATATCATCTGGTCATCTGAAGGTAATTGTCTATGGTGTGAAGATACAAGATGTGACTTCTCATAGAAACAGAAACGTGTGCGACATGACATCACTTTGTTGCAAAGACGCTATTGGTTAGCTTTAAGAGGAATGCGTGAGTATGTCTGCAGTCTGGAGGTATTATAAAGTTGATGACGACAACATTGCCATAGCAAACTGTGAGATATGAAAACTTGGGATTGCCTGCTGGGTATTTTCAAGTTGAGGTGCTATTTGTATAAGATTTTTTATGTTTACTCTTGTACTAAAGTCCAAAATGAAGAACTGATGTTATTTATTACTTGATTGTTCAAGCAACTTCAAAGAAGTGCTCTGTTTGTTAACAGAATTGTAAAATGGTAAAATAAGGTGAATTAAATACAAAATAAGGATCATCCTGGATCTGTTACTTTGCTCTTAATTATGTATTATAGAAGTATCAGGGGCTGCACCGTGACGCAGTGGGTTGCATGTTCGCATCACAGCAAGAAGGTCACTGGTTCGAGCCTCGGCTGGGTCAGTTGGCATTTCTGTGTGGAGTTTGCATGTTCTCGTGTTCACATGGGTTTCCTCCGGGTTCTCCGGTTTCCCCCACAAGTTCAAAAACATGTGGTATAGGTGAATTGGGTAAGCTAAATTGTCTGTAGTGTATGAGTGTAAATGAATGTGTATGGATGTTTCCCAGTGATGGGTTGCAGCTGGAAGGGCATACACTGCGTAAAAAACATGCTGGATAAGTTGGCGGTTCATTCTGCTGTGGCGACCCCAGATAAATAAAGAGACTAAGCTGAAAAGTAAATGAATGAATGGATAGAGGTATCGGATTGGGTTTCTGTATCGTAGATACTTAAAATCAAGTAACTCGGACTAGGACTCGAGGACAAAAAAAAACCTGATCGGGACATCCCTACTACAGAATGTACACTGTAAAAAAATGCTAGGCTCCACACAATTTGTGTGGGACAACATGAAGGAATAAAGCTAAATAGATTTTACAAATTTAAGTCGACTGAACATAATAAATTAAGTTGACCCCTAAAAACCTCAAGAATTGTGTTTCAGCTCATTTTAAATAAGTAGTTTGAACATACAGCGAAGATCATATTTGAGTGTATATCGTACAGAATGTTTTGTTTTTTTTACCTCATGAACTGGTTTCAGTAGTTACAATAAGACTAGTAGAAATAAACAGACACTGAGCAGAAATGAGTAGAAGAGCTCACGTGTGTTTTTAATACTGAACTTGTTAAGATGCTTTATCAGGATTTTTTAGGTGCCGTGTTGTATGAGTGTGTGTGTGTGTGTGTGTGTGTGTGTAGGTGGGGGGTCATTATGGTGTAGTGTGTCCTCTCACTACGCTTAGGCTCACAGCATCAACCTGAGACCAGATACAGTTAATTATCTACCAGACACACACACACACACACACACACTCACTCAGACAAGGGTGCATGAACTAACCAGACTGACAGAAGAACCTTCCGCTGGACTGAAAAGAGACCGTCTAGATGAAAAACACAGATAAAGAGAACTACATCTGAGGAAAGACAAATACAACAAACAGTGGATATTCAACAAACACCTGAACAGCTGAAGAAAAACCCAAATGAGAGCAGCCTCTATCACACATGCCCTGCCTCTGATGCCAGGCTGCCCGCTCGGTGCTGTCCTGTTGATCTTCTAGCAGACGGGCAGAACTGGCATCATGCCGGCGGCGCTGAGGTCGTCTCTGGACGGGAGCATGACGGATTCAGGAGAGCTGGAGCAGCCGGCGTCTCCATGCCTCGGAAAAGTGCCCCGTGACCTGCTCCAAAACTTCCCTCACACCAAACGCGTGGGCAGCTACCTGGTGGGCAAGATGATCAACAAGGGCTCGTTTGCTAAAGTTATGCTGGGCATGAACATCAGTACAGGAGAGAAGGTGACAGACTCACACACACACACACACACACACTCATACACGGTCTGACGGCTGTCAATCAGAGGCAGTGCCACACACTGAGGGCGTCAGTCATCAGTGCGCTGAAGGGCTGTCATCCATTTTTCATGGCGTCTCGCTCGCTCGGCTTTCATAGCGACTCCGGTTTGGCTAATCTGTGTCACGCACCGCACTCATAATCTATTCATATACACTCACACTGATACAATCAGGTGCTTATATGAAGGATAGTGTGTGTGTGGGGGTGGATTTGAATGATTTGTCCCTGTTTTAGTGAACATTTTGGGTGAACTGCTAAGTTTTTGTGAATGGATTGAAGATTAGAAATTTAATTTACTAAAGTGATTTGTAAACAAAAATAAGGCATAGAGAGAATATTTATAATATTAATAATAATGATAGACAATATATAGAATGTATAACAATAGTAAAACAGATATACATCTAAAAATGAAACACCCAGCAAACAATATTGTGTTTAATAGACGTCTAATAGACATCTAAACATAGACAGCTTGGCTAAAACAAGGGTAAACTTGGGCAGTGAAAATTTAATAGACATCTAAGAATAGCCCAAAACTAGACTAGTCGTCAAATAGACAGATTGTAAAAAAAATAAACTGTTTATTTGATGACTTGTCTAGTTTTAGCCTATTCTTAGACGTCTATTAGATTTTCACTGACAGCCCAAATTTAGTCTTGTTTTAGCCAAGACGGCTATGTTTAGACATCTATTAGACATCTTTTAAAAACAAAATATGCTTGCTGGGTTATTCTGTACATGTACTTAAAGTATATTTTATTGCATTATTAAAAATCCTTGTTCATAAATGGGTAAACAGTGATTTAAATGATTGATATGTAAAAAAAAAAAATTAGTGCTTAAATGGTGTAATTAAATGTTATGGTTTGAATTTCTTTTTGATTTTTTGGTAAATAGTCTATGTTTACATTGAATGACAATTTTTTTGTGTGTCTTCTGGAATAAGCAATTTTGGACACAATATGTAAACAGCCCTATGAAGGTTTAACCACAAGGATTGTCATCTTCATGTCATGATCAGTCGCGTGACACCCCGCGGGCCCACGCCTGTTAGTGTCTGAAGGAAAAGCGATTTCACATTTGACCGGAACCGGTTCTACATATTTAGTAATGTACCGTATCGACGTCGACACATTCAAGCAAAAGATCCGGACCCAACTCGATTCATTTATTCGACTCTGAGTCGACTATTTCGTTAAAGAATCAATAGTTTTAAACCTCTAGATTTAAACCTCAGCTGGATGTTTTCCATCACTTAGAGCTGTGTTACACACTGCATGGAAGGTCATTTTCCAAAAACCCACAATAAGGGCTCTTTAACTTGAATTTGTTCATGAAAATAAAGTCATATATTGTTAGTAACTCCTAGTGCGTTAACGAGCATAACTTTGGGTTTTAATAATGCATAAATGTTGAACTGTGATTAATAAATGTTGTACAACTATTGTTCTTAGTTCATGTTAGTAAATACATTAACCAATGAAGCCATATGATAAAGTGTGACCTTTTATTTAATTTTAATAGTTTTTAGTCCAGTGATATATATATACCAGTATATACACTGAGTATGTGTTATTAGATGTTTTGTTGTTATTATTTGATGTGTTTTTGTAATTTGTAAAAGCTTTGAGTTCATCATGATGCAGACAAACAGAGAAAGAGAGTAGTTTTAGCCGTGCCTGTCCTGTGGTGACCTGAGTTTTCATGGGTCAGCGATTGTGGCCTGTGTGCGTGTGTATGTTACAGCTCTTCTACACATCACTGAGCCCTTCCTGACCGCACTGTTTACCTCGACGGATTACTATGGTGATCAGTAGTACTTCAGTAGTGTTTTAGCACACATCACCTCCAGCTCAATCCTAAAATTTGAGAAATGTCAATCATTATCCAGCACAGAATGGAAATACAATGCTTATATATCTTTGTTTCTCAGATTTGTCACTAAATATATCGCCCTTTTTGTTACCATCTATCTTATTTCTCTCTTCACTTATACATTTATCCTCAGAATTTTAGACGAAAGAGCTGTGGACAAAACAAAATGTAGTCATTATGACAGGAGTCTTATAGATAACTCTGTTTTTACTCATTTTTCAAGTTCAAGTCAATTTGTCAGTGTGAGAGCTCTTATTTACACTCATTTATATCTTAATTGCAAATTTGTCATTGCAACAACAAAGCGGCACTAGCCACCAAATAAATAAATACATGCATACCATAAATACTAGAGCTGCACAATATCGCGTTTCATTATTGATATCTGCAATAGTCACATCGCAAGATCTGCAATGTGGAGTCTGAATTATTGTTGACCCGGAGCTACAGAACACGTGATTTGTAAAGTCACTGCTAAATTTAACCATAATATAGAAACGTTCTATCATTTGCATGTTTTTAAGTCCTGTGACTGACCCCATTTGCAGATCATTTAGCTTGTCCTCAGGAAAAACTTCTAATTTTGACTTGTTTCTTCTGGTAAAAACAAACAATATTTTTACTTGATTTTTGAGATAATTTGAGATAAAATTTGAGATATTTTGACTATAAACAAGACAAAGTAAGAAAATCATTTATTTGCATTGTGATTATTCAACTTCCGTACATGTATACTCTTCGACTTCACAAAAAATAGAGCTACTCAAACCATTTTGTGAAACTGTATGCATACAATATCTATTGCAGAAAAATAAAACATCGCAAGTTTTTTTCCAATATCGTGCCTCCCTAATAAATACATAAATCATGGCTTTTAAAAATATTTTGTGTTTAAGGAAGAAGACAAAATACATCATAACATGTTGCCAGTACCAGCTGAAATACTTATAGTGGGAAACAAGTGTTCTCTGAGTATACTATGAAGTTACAGCATAAAGCATTCAGATACTTGGATACAAAGGTGCAAAAGTTGCCCCTTGAGTGATACCCTTTCATTTTTTATGAACTTTTTTTTATTTTTGGGTACTCATATCTACATTTAAGCTACACATTGAACTGTTTATGTACTGTTATTATGAAGTATCTCACAGTAATTTACTGTGAAGTTACATACTTTACTTTACTTTACATACATACCTTACTGTGAAAGTAATGCAATTAATAGCCAGTAATTTACTGTAAATTTAAGGTTAAATATTTAACAGTGTGTTTAGACTTTATGACAATATTTGGCCAACAATTTGAAAAACTGGAATCTGAAGGTTCATAAAAACTGAGTATTGAGAAAAGCCTCTATAAAGTTTTCTAGATTAAGTAGTTAGCGATGTTGTATTTACTTACTAATCTAATGCTTTTGGCATAAAAGAAAAATCTATCATTTTTATTTTACTTTTTGAAGATTACCTAAACAAAACTTTAATTAAGCATCGATTAATTGTTCACCCAAAGAAGAACAATGTGCACTAGCAAAATAAACATTGTAGATTTTGATTTTACATCTGATATAATAAACTTTCAGACAGATATCTGAGCCGAAGTCCATATTAATATTGAGCGTTTGTTTATTTGTGGATCAGGTGGCGATCAAGGTGATCGATAAGAAGAAGGCTCGTCAGGATTCATATGTGTTGAAAAACATGAAGCGCGAGCCGCGGATTCACCAGCTGATCCGCCACCCCAACATTGTCCTGCTGCTAGAGACTTTGGAGACAGAGAACTGCTACTACATGGCCATGGAGCTGTGTGGCGGCGGAGACCTAATGGACCGCATCTGTGAACGCAAGCGGCTGGACGAGAGAGAGGTGCGCAGATTCACCCGCCAGATACTATCCGCTGTAGAGCACCTGCACAGACACGGCATTGTGCACAGGTAATCAACACCTGTCTGTTTCATCTATTGTGTTATTATAGATATATACATCAGATATCGTATACGGACCCTGAATATGCGTCAATAGAGCCGCCACATTTGTACAGTGCTCCCAGGACAAATGTCATTCAACCGCTAAAGACTAAAACCAATATAAAGATGCTGGAGTTTTGTGCTGCATACATGTGTAGTAACAAGCAAACAAAGCAAAAAGGCAGAACATTTCATAGGTAAGATTGTGCAGTTCATGTTGTTGTATGTTATGAGCTTTTGTGCTTAACAAGTAACATTATTGATGATAATATAGTCACTTACTGCGCTGACCATAAGGCACAGTAGCACCAACTTGCACTAAATTCTTAAGTGAAGTAACGGCTAGTTTTTGAAGTGGGCTAACTTATAAGGGTGTCTGATAACATAACAGTGCCTGCACCTCAATGTGCACCCTAAATTGTTGAATATTACAAATGTTAAATACCATTTAGATCATAAAGGTGGATATCCAAATTGAGACGCAGGATATCAATGCTTCACGCTTCACATTCATTCACAAATGAGTCACTCCCTCGTTAGAATAAGTGAAAGCAGGAGAGTAGGTGTGTTTCTGGACACCGATTACATCAGATTGAACAGGGAGGATAATACATTTTCATGCACACAAACACTAACACACACTCTTTGTTGGCAATGCACTTGCGGTCACTTATCCATCAATGTAGAAGTGATGTAAAATTATAATTTTTGTAATTTAAAAAGAATACTGACCACCGGGAAAACTCCCGATCATAGATATATGCATATGTATATATGTTTACATATCTATGGCTCTGAATGCACCTTGGTCCCACATTCACTTCAAAGGAGCGCTACCCTGTACTAAAATGGTGGTTCTATTGACGCATTTCTGCCTTATTAAACCTTCCTGCAAAGTTCAGCTCTAACCCTGATCAAACACACCTGAACCAATTAATTAGGACCTGAACAGCACTTGATAATTACAGGCAGGTGTGTTTGTTATGGGTTGCAACTGAAATCTGCAGGAAGGTCGATCGCCAGGAACAGGGTTGGTCACGCCTGATCTAATGTAAATATTTATGTTGTGTTATCAAAACTTCCTGTTTTTGACATTTTGTTTTACGCTGAAAAAACTGCTTCATTGACTTTACTTATTTTTTTAAGTAGGTAACTGGTTGCAAACAATTTATATTGGCTACAAAACAGATTCAGTTTAGTAATGTTATAAGCTTAATTTGTTTGTTTAACTTCAGCCCTTATAACTATAGTTAGTTGCCACTTAAAATTTTGCGAATTCAATGAATCACTTTTTTTCAGTGAATTTTTATTCCTCATGAAAATAATGATATATAATATAATATAATATATAATAACATTTGGTATTTTGATGCAACGTTAGTAGCTTTCACAAACATATCTGTGGCTAAACTGCTGTTGAGTTCACTGTGTTTTGATTACTTTCTCTATACAGTACAGTAATATCCAATATATATGTAGGACTTTCCAGTATTGGTCATTATTGTTTGCATATGTATATTCTAAGTGAGTGATGTTATTATGTTCTGGGGTATAAAAAAATAAGTGTGTATATTTACCATGTTATTTTAAATGCGTTTTATACACAATACGCTCTGTATTTAATGCATTCAATACATCTGAAATATTGCTGTGGAATTACTTGTTTGTAATTTGTTAGTTAAGTTCAGAGAAAACTCCAGACTTCCCTCTCCCCAGGCACTTCCTCCAGCTCCTCCGGGGGGATCCCGAGGCGCATCCAGAGCCATAGATATGAAACATATATACAAATATAACACTTTAGTTTACCGATTCACACTAGAACCGCTGCTCCACATTGGAAGAAGTCAGCTGAGGTGGCTCAAGCATCTGTTTCGGATGCCTCCTGGACGCCTACCTAGGGAGGTGTTCCAGGCATGTCCCACCGGGAGGAGGCCTCGGGGAAGACCCAGGACACGCTGGAGGGACTATGTCTCTCGGCTGGCCTGGGAACACCTCGGGATCCCCCCGGAGGAGCTGGAGGAAGTGCCTGGGGAGAGGGAAGTCTGGAGTTTTCTCCTAAGACTGCTCCCCTCGCGACCCGGCCCCGGATAAGCAGATGAAAATGAAATTACATGACAATTCAAATCATTAACTACTATCTTAATACTTGCCTATTATTAAGACATTAACAGTTTATTAGTACTCCTAAAGTATGATCCTATTCTACATTAACTCTTAATAAGCAATACATACACTAACATACCTTAATAGTATTAATAAGCAGCTAATTAGACGTTGATTGAGCTAATAGTCTTGTTAATAGCGTGAGTTTTACATTAAAATAAAGTGTGACCATTTATTCGAATAATGTAATTAGTTAATTCTACTAAGTTGATTATTCATTTAGTATAATGATACCTCCATGTACCGTTTTTAACACATCACTGATTAAAAGACATAATTCATGCAAAGCATCATGGGATGGAGGGAAAAGCAATATAGTTCAGCTAAAAATCTAAATTCTGTCATCCTTTATTCACCCTCCACTTGTTTAAACACAAAAGATGATATTTTGAGGGATGTTTAAAACCATTAGCCATTGACATTCTAGCAGTTTCTTTGCATTATGGATGCCAATGGTTACACATTTTCAAAATTCTTCAAAATGCCTTTTTTTGTGTGACGAAAGAAACTCATAAATGTTTGGAGCCACTTGTAGGTGAGTAAATGTTGAGTAATTTTCATTTTGGGGGGAATCTCTTTAAATGATAGCGTTAGACACGTGGAAATGAAGTGCAGAGATCATAAGGAGTGTGAGGGATGGCAGGGAGGAAGGAAAAACACAAAGAAATGAAAACGTTGAGTAGGTGTTAAGCTGTATTGTGGACTCTAGTTATAAGTCTTAAAGTAATGATGTGCTTTGTGTTGTAGATCAGAGAAGGGTGTGTGGAAATGGATGAAATATGTGTCAGTACGCTTTGCTAGAATGAAGATAGAACTGTTGTTAAAAAAATTCAAATAAATAAAAAATTATTTATACAAAGACTTAAAAAGAATGTAATATGTTAATATTTTACAGTCTATTATACAATGATGTATTCATAAAATTGCTATTGTTAAATTAAATGTAAAAAACATGCATTATTAAATTGATTCTACTGTAAATAATCAAATAAATCATTCAAATAAAATATTATTAAAGCAGACCAAAATACTGCACACACTTACATTTATTTAACTGCATGATTTCTGTTGCTTATGGTTATTGAGAGCAAAATTTGAAGGAAAATGAATGAATACTTGATTGAATAAGTTAAAATTCGCCACTTGGGTGGTAACCCTTAAGTACTTTATTTATTTTTAGTACTAATATGTACATTTCAATTTGGACTGCGAAGGTACTAATATTTACTTTTAAGTTACAAATATGTGACCCTGGAGTGCAAAACGATTAAACTTGGATTTATTTTTATTCCTCATGAAATTAAAGTTACATTTGGTATTTTAATATAAAGTGGCTAAATCTCTGGGTGTTTTGTTCTTCCATATTATTTTCTCTATACATTACAATAATATTCAATACATGTCTAATATTTCTGTGGAAAGACGTGTGTTTTTGAAATTATTCCTGGTCTGCTGTAATTTGTTAATTTAGTAACAGTTTAGGTAACTACATTTAACTACTATTAAATATTTACCATTATAGAATACTATAAGTACTATAATTTGCTATGCTCACTATAAAATGTAATAATACATAGTTAGAAATTATACAATTTACATTTACATTTACATTTAGTCATTTAGCAGACGCTTTTATCCAAAGCGACTTACAAATGAGGACAAGGAAGCAATTTACACAACTATAAGAGCAACAATGAATAAGTGCTATAAGCAAGTTTCAGGTCTGTAAAGTCTAAGAAGGAAAGTATTAGTAGTATTAGTTTTTTTTTTTTTTTTTTTGGGTACAGTTAGTGTGATATTCCGAGAGGCAATTGCAGATTAGGAAGTGAAGTGGAGACTAAATAGTTGAGTTTTTAGTCGTTTCTTGAAAATAGCGAGTGACTCTGCTGTTCTGGTGCAGTTAGGGAGTTCATTCCACCAACTGGGCAGATTGAGCGCGAGCGTTCGCGAAAGTGATTTCTTCCCTCTTTGGGATGGAACCACGAGGCGACGTTCACTCACAGAACGCAAGTTTCTGGAGGGCACATAGATCTGCAGAAGTGAGAGCAGATAAGAAGGAGCAAGGCCAGAAGTCACTTTGTAGGCAAACATCAGAGCTTTGAATTTGATGCGAGCAGCAACTGGCAGCCAGTGTAAACGGACTAGCAGCAGAGTGACATGTGCTCGTTTAGGTTCATTGAAGACCACTCGTGCTGCTGCATTCTGGAGCAGTTGAAGAGGCTTGACAGAGTTAGCTGGAAGCCCAGCTAGTAGAGAGTTGCAGTAATCCAGTTTGGAGAGAACAAGAGCTTGAACAAGGAGTTGAGCTGCATGTTCAGATAAGAAGGGTCGGATCTTTCTGATGTTATAGAGTGCGAATCTGCACGATCGAGCAGTTCTAGAGATGTGGTCAGAGAAGTTTAGTTGGTCAATTTAATATATTTATTAAATGTATTCAATGTATTGTCAAATTTTTAATAAAGGAAATTTACTGTTTAATAGAGAAACTGTTTTAAAGAGAAATTTATATATAGATTTATATTTAGATATCTAAAATTATGTGTGAAATAATACTTAAACACATTTGAAAGTTAATGTGTCTCTTCTAAATCCATATATACTTAATTATGTAAAAATATCAAATATATATATATATTCAAAGGGTTTATTTTAAGTCTTAATTCAATAAAAATTTTACATTTTTAATTTTAGAATTTGATTTATCTATCAAATTACAACCCCAACATAAAATGTATAAAACTGCCACAATTAAATACACTCATTACATTTAAATTTATTAAATTACACTCATTTATGCATTATTTAAAAAACTAATTTAAAGTTATAGTGTATGTGCGTCTGCAAAAACCATATATACTTCATTTATCTTAAAATATCAAATAAAATAATAATTAATTTTAAAATGTGTTGAGTGAAATAAAAAAACTCACTTCAATTAAAAATCGGTTAATGTATTAATATTTTTTATTTTATGGCATTAATTTAAAATCTATTTTAAAGCTGTGTATGTGTGTCTGCAAAAATCATATTTGAAGTCATATTAGGCCCTCTTTGATTTGTTCTTCTTTTTTAAACATTTCCCAAATGATGTTTAACAGAGCAAGGAAACTTTCACAGTATGTCTGAGAATATTTTTTTCTTCTGGAGAAAGTCTTATTTGTTTATTTTCGGCTAGAATAAAAGCAGTTTTTTTTTTTTTTTTTTTAACTATTTTAAGGTCGATATTATTAGCCCTTTTAAGCTATATATTTTTTGGTAGTTTACAGAGGAAATCATCATTATACAATAACTTGTCTAATTACCCTAACCTGCCTATTAACCTAATAAGTCTAGTTAAGCCTTTAAATGTCACTTTAAGCTGTATAGAAGTGTCTTGAAAACTATCTAGTAATATATGATGTACTGTCATCATGGAAAAGATTAAATAAATCTATTTTAAATTTAATTTTTAAAACAAAAAATGATTATTAAAACTATTATGTTTAAAAATGTATTGAGAAAATCGTTTTCTGGTAAACAGAAATTGGGGAAAAAATAAACAGGGGGGCTAACAATTCAGGGAGGCTAATAATTCTGACCTCAATTGTATACTTATTTTTCTAAAAGTATTAAATAAAATAAAAATGAATTAAATATAAAATAAACATGAATGAAATAAAAAAAAATGTGTGAACTAAAAAAGTGAGAATATTCATGCAAGTTTACTTTTTGGAATTAATGCATTAATTAACAACTAATAATTTCTAACACAAATATTCTTACGGTTTTATTTTAAATCTCAGTTTAATTAAAAATCTGTTGATTTATTAACATTTTTAACTTGAGAATTTCATGATTTATATATCAAACTGCAATCCCAACACAAAATGTATAAAACTGCCACAATTAAATACATCATTTACACTCATTTAATGCTTTAATTTAAAATCTAATTTTACTCTCAAAAACCACAAGCAACAGAAATCATGCAGCTAAGTGAATGTATGCATGTGCGTGTAGAGTTTTGGTCTGCCAGTGCAGCCTTAATAAGGGCAGGAGTGGTAATGCCATCAGCTTCTCATGACATCATCAGCCATGCAGAGCCGTTATGGTTAACACATCATTCACTGACTTCCTTACTAATGGAGTCCAGAATGAAGCTTCATAACGCAGAGCTCTGTGTCCTTTATTAGAGCAGGTCAGGGATCAAAGCATGTTCATCAACCCACACACACACACACACACACACATATACGCAGTGCCTATGGAAACCAGAGAGCAGTGGGTTCATGTCCATCTCAGTTCAAAAGTTCAATAGCGTTAATCAAATCATTTTATCAAGCGGCTCCACAAACACTCGCTTTATGTTTTGGAGTCTGCGCAAAACACACTAATAATAGCCGAAAAGCCCTGTCAGGCCGCAGCACACATCATATCTGTCAGAAAACTGCAATGCTTGCAGATTTAAAGCCCTTTTCCAATTTTATTAAAGGCTTTTCTTTGTACGTTTCAGGGAGAGTGTCTGTGTGTGAACCTTTGAGATGGAGAGAAGCAAAAAATAGCCTTGAGGCCCGTGATATTTTTATAGGCTTTTGATGCAGTTTCGTATTAAATGTGAGGAGCGTGCGGTCGTCAAAGTGAGTGCGAGTGTTTATGATGAAGTGGAAAGAGATAAAAGGAGAGAAAGTATAAATGCCGAGTTCGGCAGAATGACTGGACGTCCAGGACCACCGCGCTGTGATATCACTCGCAGAGCTCTGCTTTTTAAGACCAATTTTAATTCAGAGTTTTCATTATGTTTTGTGTGCTGCTAGAGGTTGTTGGCTGGTCATTGTGTTGCCGCACATGCAGGGAGATTTTATGTTCATATTTATATGAATATATGTACAGTGAGGTTCCAAAGTCTGAGATCGCTAGTAAAAAAAGCATTGATTTATTTATTTATTTATTTTTCTTTTCTGATTTAATACAATATTTTATTCTGCCTAGAGGACTGTTGAACACTTGATTCTGATTGGCTGGTGAACATTATTTTAGTATGAGTGTTTTTATTTACAGATAAAGCACAGCTGAAGTAATCCCTCACTGCCTGGGACAAAAGCGAAATAACTAAAACTCACAGCAAATAAATGAATTACATGATAGGACAAAAGGATGAACTACTTTAATTATTGTATAGGAATAATTGAGTCAGGACCATATCATTATTGGGAAATAATGCACACCTGAAGGGTAATAGTTTGTGTGGTGGCAGTTTTCTGGTTTGAATTATATTATAATAATTTAATGGCTCGCTTAATTCAATTATTCTTGACATGGCTGAAAGTCTGAGGTGAAGTTGATCTAAAGCAGGGTTGTCCAACCTCGGTCCTGGGGGGCCAGTGTCTTGCAGATTTTAGCTCCAACTTGCCTCAACACACCTGCAAGGATGTTTTTAGAAAGCCTGGTTAGAGCTTGATTAGCTTGCTCAGGTGTGTCTGACTGGAGTTGGAACTAAACTTTGCAGGACACCGGCTCTCCAGGACTGAGTTTGGACACCCCTGATCTAAAGAGTATTTTGTGCTTTATAACTGTGTGCTTTAAAAGGGTTTTGGTTAATTAAAATGGAATAGAATAAAAAACAAAAAACAAAATATTGCCTAACTGAAACAAGTTTAAGGATGACTTTTTTACCAGCTATAAAAATGATACTGCTAACAGAGATGCTTATAAATATGACAAAAGCAGATAAATGACTGAATTTTAAAATGGAAATGTTAGTTAAGTATTGAAAATAATAGTATGCAGGGTTCAACGATAAGGATTCTGTCTACTGTCCCGGGCATCTCTCAAGCTGTCCCTGGGCCATCGGGCAGTCCTTATTGTTGAGCCCTGGTATGTGCACTATCCAGTTATAAATAAATTTTCAGTAATTAATAAAAGACCATCATTGATGTCGTCACATTGTACGTTTTTCCTTACAAATATGCTTGTGCAGCTACCAAGAAATAAAGCTGGGTTTCTTAAAAATGTCAGATTATTTAAAACATATAGAGCTGAAATACATGACTGTACAGAGAAACACGAAATGAGTTATCCTCAACACACTTCCTTCATTTGAATTATGATACTTTTGTGTTGTTATCTAGGGACTTGAAGATTGAGAACTTCCTACTGGATGAGCACAACAACATTAAGATAGTTGGTGAGTGTCTGTTAAAGTGCATCTTGCTCCTCAGTTCCTGGAGGGCCGCAGCTCTACACAGTTTTGCTCCAATCCTAATCAAACACAGCTGATAAAACTAATCAAGGTGTTAAGTACTACTAGAGACTATTAGGCAGGTTTGAGTTGGAGGTGGTTGGAGCTAAAGTATGCAGTGCTGCGGCCCTCCAGGATTTGAGTTTGAGACCATTGCTTTAAAGGTTGTGTGTGTTTCTGTGCCTTGTATTGCTTATATTGTGAGGACCAAATATCCTCAAAATATAAGTAAAATGTGCAGTAAAAATCATTGCCTGTATGGGAAGTCCCCATAAAGATAGCTGTACATGTATGTGTGTGTAAAACATGTATGCTGCGAAACGTGATTAGTTACTTTTCTTTAAAAAAGTAAACCTTTTAAGTTGACTTAATTTTTATAATTACACATTTAGTGAATTTACAGAATTTTAAGGTAACAGGTTTACTCAATTAAAATCGCTTTTAAAGCAACAGGTTTGCTGACTTTAAGTAATGTCAACTAATTGCCTGTTACAGTGTATACTATATTTGTCAACTTTTTTTATAACGCACAAAATTATATTATTATGATATAGACAAAAACCAGGGCGACCCAGTGGGGCAGTAGGTAGTGTTGTCGCCTCACAGCAAGAAGGTGGGTTGAGCCTCGGCTGGGTCAGTTGGTGTTTGTGTGGAGATTGCATGTTCTCCCTGCGTTCGCGTGGGTTTCCTCTGGGTGCTCCGGTTTCCCCCACAGTCCAAAGACATGTGGTACAGGTGAATTGGGTAGATTAAATTGTCTGTAGCGTAAGAGTGTGTGTGTGTATCTCCCCCAGAGATGGGTTGCGGCTGGAAGGGCATCCGCTGCATAAAAATGTACTGGATAAGTTGGCAGTTCATTCCGCTGTGGTGACCCCGGATTAATAAAGGGACTAAGTCGAAAAGAAAATGAATGAATGAAGACAAGAACCATACTAAGTTTCTGTCTCCTATATCAAGCATTCTGGACTTCTGAAATCTAACAAACACAGAGCAAACGCAATTAATCAGTCATACATTAGTCTGTCAGCTGTTGAAAGTGTCTGTATCAGAGATATCATGCAGAGTGTGTTCATGTGTGTATAGACTTTGGTCTGAGTAACACACTGAAGGGCGACTCTCTGTCTGTGGATCTGCTGAACACTCAGTGTGGAAGTCCTGCTTACGCTGCTCCTGAACTGCTGGCGCACAAGAAATACGGCCCTAAAGTGGACGTGTGGTCTGTGTGAGTACATTACTGCATCTACAATAACTGCTAATTAGTCTTCTAGTAACAGCAGTCACATGTATGTTGATTAGATCAGCTGATTGTGATTGTAATTGGTGTGTGTTTAGAGGTGTGAGCATGTTTGCCATGTTGACTGGCACATTACCCTTTACCGTGGAGCCCTTCAACATCAAGCAGCTTCATCAGAAAATGGTGAATGGAGAAATCAGCCCCATACCATCAGATATCAGCAAAGGTAAGCGCTGAAGTATGTTTGTTTGGTAACGCCTTAAAGTAACCAATTCCGACTGTTAGCTAGTGGCTTCTGTTTAAGGTGTTCACTCAAAAAATGATGTTTGCTTTTTGTTCAAACAACTTACTTAAAAAGAGCTGAAACAACACAATTCTTGAGGGACATCTTAATGGCTTTATGTTCAATCCACTTAAACTTGTAAAATCTAACAAGTTTACCTAATTGCTTTATGTTGTCACAACACAAATTGATTGCATGGAGTCCAGCATTTTCTACAGTGTTGGTTGTATATTAGTACTTATAAAAGTATCATCTTATTCTACATCCCTAATCTTACCTAATACCTAAACCCAACTACTAACTTAATAACAATCAGCAAACAACTTCATTATTGATCTAAAAGTCTTAGTTGAATGAATTGTTAATAGCGAGACTTGTACCTTAAAATAAAGTGATTATAGTGGGGAATTTCCATTGATTTGGTTGCTTTTTATTGTTTCATTGATTCACTTTGCATTTAAGTCACTTTGCATAAAAATGACTGACAAATAATAAAGATCGCTCCCCCCAACCCAAAAACTGTGCATCAGATACATTTTTAATATTTTCATTTAAACATTGTCATGTGACCATTGGCTGGTTCACACAGGGTTGTTGATTTTGGCAAAACCATATCCACATACTACCATAAAATATTTTTTTTTTTCTGAAGAAAATTTACAGTTTTATTTAGCAAGAACACAATGAATAGATCTAATAAAAATGTCACAAAAATGTAATATGTAAAATGTGTATGTATCTATTGACAATTATAATTAGGGATGCATGATATATCTGCGTCCATATCGCTATTGGCCAATAAATGCTATATTTAATGTTATTATTATTAGGCAGATATCTTTAAGCCAATAGATTATGTCATTATACAGAATTACCTGCTTCTCATTTTATTTAACTTATCATTTTTATGCAACAGTCAAGTTACATGTTTATTTTCTTTGCATAGCGAATTATCTATTTTTGGCAGGCTGATATTTGTGAAATCATGAATATAGGCCTATATAATCACCTTGAAATTTTGAAAATATAAAATATTTTTTGCTTTGAGTCGACTATTCTAAGATCTGTTCAAACTTATCCTAATCCCTATTTATAATACCAATATCTGAGATTTTAGATATTTGAACTTAATTTAATTTTCTGCGGATAAATGCTCTAAATCAGGGGTTCCCAAACTTTTCAGCTCGCAACCCCCAAAATAACAATTCTAGTCACTCAGGACACCCATTATCCTCAAATAGTGTAGTTAAAACATAGAAACATTGCACACAATGGTGCACACACACACCAATAGAACCAATAAAAACACGAGCATATTGACAACAAAAAAAAGGTGCAACAGTCTAACAACCATATAAGTTTAATAGTCATTATTCATTTGTTCAATTTATAATTAACTGGGTTTTTATTTGCATTTTGTTTTTAGGAAACTATTTAATACTATGTTATCTTCTGTAAGTTATGGATAAAATGTGGTAATTGTAATAGTTTAATAAGATGTATAAGAATTTTGAAAATCACTAAGCATCCTCCACTTTGGGAACTACTGCTCTAAATAGTATTCTTGATTGACATCTCAGAATAATATTGATAATAATAAACAGCTTATGTATGTACAGTCTTTATTGCAATAATATTTCACAATATTACCATTATTTTCTGTATTATGATTACTAAAGAAACGGTATAAATAAAGTAAATAAGTTCTTGACCGGGACAGAGCGAGAGAGAGAAGGAGAGATAAAAGGTGTGGAATGAAGCGGAGCATTTCACGTGTCCTTCTTCTCCATCAGATTGTGAGATCATCTGATCCCACACATTAAAATTCATCTTCATCAATATTGATAACAGTGTATATTCGCCAATCACAAAAATAGATGCACTACAAACACTGTGACGTAAATGTCTGCCAGTGGAACACAATCTGGCCGGGTTTCCCGATTCTGTTGCAGGTGACATTAGATCATTGTTACGTAGTTTGTACGTTTACGTATAGTGACCTGACTCCTGTTTCTCTGAAGCAGCACATTGATTGTTTATTAAAAAGAACAACAAATGAAGACGTAATAGATGCAAGTTCATACAACTACAGCAAGGGCATAGGTTTGCACTTGACATTGGTGGGGACGGGTGAATCAAACAAGGGTATATATATATATATATATATATATATATATATATATATATATATATATATATATACCCATACACACCCACACACACACACATATGCAGAGTTGAAGTCAGAATTATTAGCCCCCTTTAGATTTTTTTTCTTTTTTAAAAATTTCCCAAATAATGTTTAACAGAGCAATGAAATTTTAACAGTATTATTAATAATATTTTTTTCTTCTGGAGAAAGTCTTATTTGTTTTATTTTGACTAAAATTAAAGGATATTAAATTTTTTTTTAACTCATTTAAAGGTCAGAATTATTAGCCCCTCTGAGATATATTTTTAATAGACTACAGAACAAACCATCATGATACAATAACTTGCTACCATGCTTACTTGTGTGTGTCACCCAAAACAACTTATTCTTGCACGTATTTGCACTTGTATTTGGTATGCGTTTTCGGCATATTTAGAAGATTTTGTGCTTGGAAAGCAAATCTGCACTTCCACAGATGAGGACTTGGGATTTTGACCTTTAATGGACAAACCTCAAAAACAGAATGTTTAAAAAGCATAACAGAAACAATATAAACCTAACACTGAAACAAATATAGCAGTAATGAAAGCTACCAAAACTCACCGCACCTTCAAACATTACAGAAGGTAAATTGACCCCAAAAAATTACAAAGAATAAAATGACTAAAAAAGGCTGTGCACTCCTAAAAATACAAAAGACGCAAGCAAGATCAAGTGATACAAGCAATTTACTGGAAAAAGGACAAAAATGTTTCAGTCTCCTGTTTTCCATTTGGAAATGATAATGGTAAACATGTGACAAAACATTTGCCCTTTTTCAGTAAATCGCTTATCACGTTATCATGCTTGTGTCTTTTTTTTATTTTTGATAGTGTGCAGCTTTTTTTAGTCACATCACTAAAGCAATAATATTTTCATTTATATTATTTATATTAACACTGGAACTACCAAGGCAGTCAATATTTTTAGTGCAATTTAAAATGACAAAAAGAGTGCATTTCTATACATTATGTATGGGCATAATAGGCAAAACTGAATCATTTCAGTATATACAGTTGAAGTCAAAGTTATTAGCCCCATGAATTAAAAAAAAAATCAAATGGGAGGTGAATAATTTTGTCGTAAGCTGTAAACCTCTGAATTAAAACGTGTATATATGTGATGTTTTTCTTAGTTATTATATTCAATGATTTGTTTTTATATAAAAATATTAAGTGCTAATTCACCCAAAAATAAAAACTCAACCTCCATGTCAATGGCGTATTCAATATATATTTGTTTGTGATTAACATAAGAAAGAAAGAAAGTTTTCAATTTTTTGGGTGAACTAACACAATATTAATCTTCTTCTAAATTGTGTCTGCAATAACTTTTTTTTAATAAACAGTTTCTGTTTTTCTCATACATTAGAAATTTGTTATATAATATAGTCTACTTTGCTATCGTTATCTGGTGTTAAATTATTGTAGATGGGTAAGGTGGCTTAGTTCATACATTTATTGTGAATTTATGTACGTTTGTAGTTTAGTATTTGCTTTTAAGCGGTCACCTTGATGTCCATAAAAAAAAAAAAAACGAAAAAAAAAACTTGACATCCATTTGACATTCACACATTTATCCCATTTTCACCACAAAAAAACCTTGAAAGAAATGTTTTATTCATCTGAAAGCTTCAATTACAAATGTACACTGGATTTTGTATCAGTGTACAATGCATGTAAACTATCTTGATGTCAAACATTGATTACAAGACGTCCTGAAATCACTTTTTGATGCCAAAATTGATGTCGTTTTTACATCAAGGTAGTCAGTTGACATCAAATCGATTCGCATTTATGCAGTTTTGGATGTTTGATGTCCTTTTGACATCAAGGTACCTGCTAAGTTATATCTATGTACAGTTTAAACTTTTATTATATTAATAAATTATAATTATAAATTATTATGTTTAAATGTTCATTTTTATGTCATGTAGTCTGTACCATCCACTCTACTGTGGCATCATAGAAAAAAAAATACTATAAAGAAATCTCTAAAGTTTGTTTTGACTTATCATTGTGTTGTCATCCTGACTGCCTGTAATGATACTCCTAAGTAAATGCGTAAATGTGATCGTCACTGTCTACTGACACAAACACTACCTTCACCTCAGTACACACACACACACTCACACTCACACACACACACACTGCCAACCTGGCAGTCTGGAGTGAGGAATCCCCCCTGGACTGAAAAGGTGGCACAGAGGAGCAGAGTGCTTCTTACATTTGATCTGCCATTCTGTAAAAGAAACCTCGAGCAGTTCAGTCTGGGTTACACACACACGTATACATGGTTTACAAGAACAGGCATAATGTATTTTATACTCTAAAAACGCTATTCTATTGAAATATGGCCCACCTTTAAACTCAACCCTCACAGAAAACCTGTGGTAAATTTACAATGTGAAAAGACCCTGTTAAGCATTGATTTTAGTTTTTTTTTTTTTAGCATTTTGCATAAACAAATGAGGACAAGTGTCCTCATAAACCACCTTAATAGAGTACAACTAGGTCATACCCACATCATTATATGATACAATTTTGCAGTATAAAATACATTATACAATTGTGTGTCCTCATAAAACACATCAACAAGCACACACAGACACAGGATTCAGTGTTCAGGTCTTTTGTGTAAGGTTTAAACAGTATTGAGTCTCTTTCAGCAGTGTCAGGATGTCAGTGTTCTCTCTATATTTCTTTCTAGCGGCTGTAGAGTTTGTCTTGTCTCTGCTGGAGCCAGAACCAGCTAAAAGGCCAACAGTAAAAGCAGCAATGGAGGATAAATGGCTAAATGAGGGTTACGCTAAGAGACCCCTGCACACAGTCATTCATAAAAACAGGTACGGTATCAGCAAATGTGAAAGAGATCTGAAGGAAGAGACATCTGATGTGTGTTTGGTTTTTTAGGATGCGTCCTGAGGATCTGAATTCAGCAGTGTTGAACTACATGACTGAATCTTTGGGTTTCGGGCTTTCTGATGTCATCCACACGGTCATCAGTAACAAGCCGTCCGCCATCTTAGCGTGCTACCATCTACTGCTGAAAAAACTGACCAGGCATCAGAAAGTAGTGCGGAGCATGAAGGTAAAATAACAGCTAAATGGACAAACATGCATTCAAGTGTTTTCTATTTTAACAGATCTTAAAATGTCTTTTATTTCTGATTTAAAGCTGAATTTTCAGCAGCCATTACTCTGATTTCAATATTACTGATCATAGAAGTGACACTGATCAGTGTAATATGCTAATTTGGTGATTATTATTAATTTTAAAAAGAGATTGCTGAGAGGATTCTTTGACAAATATTAAAGGTGCAGTAGTTAATTGAAAGAATAATAATGTTGAATTCTACTCTGACAAGTTCAGATCTTACTGACCCCTACATTTTTTTACTTTTCTCACATTTTTTACTTTTCTTTTTCCATTCCTACATGTCAATGAGTCAATGTTTATCAATTTGTATTATATATGTTTTTTCAGTCAGCATTTGCTAGAATTAAAACTTAGGTTATTTTATGAAAGCATTTTTAATTGTAATCTTATATTCATAAATATGTCACGTTACAATGGTCTGATGACTACATTTGTATTGTTTTACTAGCATTAAAATCATTTTCAGTGTTTTAAAGGGGCAGTATGTAAGTTTGACACCCAGTGGTAAAACTAGGTAACCACACACAGGCATTCCTGGATCAAAACAAAAGCAAGTGCAGGTTGCCAGATTGAGGACCAAAAGGAGCGAGTCTAACGATCGCACCTAAAGGCTGATTTAAACTGTTCTAAATAGAAGCAACGGCACGGGATAGAAGGAATACTTTCATATTAAAAAGAGTTTTTGTTCTAACCAACACCTTAAATTGATATATTAGAAACGGCTTCTATTTCAACAACAGGGTACACTGACAATGATGCCCTCAGGTATACCTCATGTGCTAAATGCTAAAGCTAAAAATGTGAGTTTGAATGCCATTTTACTTGATATTTATTACCGTACAACTGAAAGCAGTAGCAGATAGTTCACTTCAGATCTTGAAAATAAAATAAACTGAACTTTGGAACTGTGACTCAGTGCAAGTCAACACATATCAATGATTCAGCATCTACATTTAATAATGTTAAAGAGGTTTAATATGTATTAATTAGATTATAAACATTACCATTTCGTGAGTGAGTGCATATTCTATGCTTCCGAATGGGTGTACTTAAATTTCTGCTGTGTTTCGTCTGGTGCACAGCCAAATTGCTTGTCACTGCAAATCTCATCACATTGAGTGTTGTTAGAACACAAGTTACAATGTAAGCTGCTCAACTAATGTTTACGTTCTTATTATTTATATTATTTGCAAATTAATAACCTCATGTGGAACTCATGTGTGATTCTGCTTCTCATTTCGGAGTCTTCTACTTTTCACCGGAGGTCACATTTTGGTCATGGATGCATGCTTTCTGAATGAATGAAATACACGGTTTTCCAACAATGAAAAATATAATGGGCTAAAGTGGCATTAGGCAGCTTAAAAGAACCTAAACAAAGACGGAAAACACAATTTTAAAGCAAAATATCTGACTTCAGCACTGTTTTTCAGATAAACAAGAATATTCACATGACTTGTTTCTAAAAGATCTGCAAACATATGCTATTTTTATGCTTTAGAAGAGTCAAAAACTCACATACAGCCCCTTTAGCATTAGTGCATGCTAAAATACAAGATATCAGTATTTTGAGGGACTATTTTGCACTTTAAAAGTAGGTATTGATTACAGTGATGTTTTCCAAGTTGTCAGATTATTTGGTTTCCAATCATAGCTAAAATAAAACTTCTTGTCCTCAGAGAGAGGAAAACAGTGAATGGAATCTTCTGAATAAAGGCTTGTCGAGAGGAAGAAGCAATGCGAGTGCAAAGAGTCAGCAGCAGGTGATCAGAACAGATATAATAATTTTTCAATTTGCAATTTAGTCTCATTGAAACACAAAACATTTACCACTCTCATCCCTTCACTAGTCTCCTCAGAGCGATTCAGCTAATGAGAGAAGCTCAAGGCAGGCTAGTAAGAGCCAGAGGAGCCAATCACAGGACAGAGATGCCCAGAGTGGCATGAAAAGACCAGCGGAGACCAGCAGACCAAAGCAGACAAGCCTGGTGGACAGAGCAGATTCTCCTGCTTCACCACCGAAGGACACGGCTAATGAAATCACCATACTGGTGGAGACGCATGATGGACTCAATCCAAAGGGTAATGTACATGATATTAATAAGACATTTCATCTTTTTTTTATGATGATTTTGTAGGTTCACTTGCAAGTTTGCATGGTTCAAATTATTGGAGAAGATGAGTTTTATGATCAACAAAAGTTTATGATTCTTAAAATAAATGTTCATCAGAATAATCTCAAACCCAAAAGTCTAAAAATGCTTATTCTAGAGTCTTCTTTTGAAGTTATTGTATTTTGTACAAATTCACACCCTGTTTCCAGGCAAAAATAAATAGCACACAAAAACCTAAATATTGGATTCAGTCTTTTGCTTCTAAGTGTGGAATGTTCCTTAAATATAAAACTAACTGTAAGAAAATTATATTGACTTATGCTATATTATCAGTGAATATGTAAGCTAGTAATGGTTTACATCAAAGTGACATCAACATTCATATATTTAGTTATATTTCCTCTTTTTCCAATGAGGTGTTAGACGTGTGCTATTGCGGGTATGTTTCCTTTTAAAAATCATACGTTAATCGCATGAATTAGTCACTTTTCGGACAATATGTAAAATAGTTACATTTTCTCATGAGATCAGATTGGTTATTCCAAGATAACGACCTCTGAAACTAATAACAATAGTACTAAGCTAGTCTTTTCAGAAAGAAATCAATATGACAAAAAGACTAAATCCAATATTTATTTACTTTATACAGCATGTGGTATCAAATTCCATTAAACAGCACTCTTTCAGCAGTTCATACTCACATCCGATATTTTGTTTGTCACAGGGGGCCTGGATGAAAGTGAAAGTGCCAAACTGCAGTTAAAGTCAAAAAATTAAAAATGAAACACCCGAAATATCATGAAACTCCAGAGGAAATGTGGATAGTGTGTTGATGCAATGACGTTAATCGGATTATGTGCTATAACACAGGGGTTTTTCCTTACAAACTTTTAGGACACACGTCCCCCCAAGTTTGTACAATTTGACTCGCACCCCCCTAGGCACCCCACCCTTGAGCCAAAATTATAATACATGTGCAAACATCATTTACATATTACTTGCTGCATTTAAAGTGCATAGCATTATTACATTGAAACATAAATATACAGCTTACTTGATTCAGTGTGATGGCTGAGCCTGTATCTGTAAGGACAACATGCTAATCTGTGGTCGAATTCCTAACACGACTAACAGTAAATCATCCTTCACTGCCAATAAGCGTGAGCCATAGCATATTTGCTTTTGATGTACGTACAAACAGAAAATGCTGCTTCGCAAAGCCGAGTTCACAGAGCCCTCACGGTGTGGTTGGGTTGAACATTGAGTATGTTTACATGGGCAACATTACTTTAATATGATTTTAATACTCTGATTAAGAGTCTACCATGTAAACAGCGATTTTTAATTACCTTAATCCCACTAAAGTCATAACTGAACTAAACAGAAATAGAATTAAGATATGTGGAGTATGCATATATTAGTGGCATAATTTAAATAAACACCGCAATCAAACTATTACTGTCATGTAAGACTTTTCGACGCATTTTGTGACAAGATCCACACACACGGCTGTCAGTAAACGACTGCACACACGAACACACACATCACGAAATACAGAAGTTTTTTTTTCCTTTCCATCCGGCTTTACATTAAAACAACACTGTTCCACCAGTCCTTACTTTATATTCGCATCTAATACCCCAGTTTGTCACGGGGCAGTGAATGAAATGTTCATGAATGAAAGTGAAACTTAAAACAAACTGCAGTAAAGTCGAAAAAATAAAGATGAAACACCCAAAATTAAATGAGCCTCTGCAGGAAATGTGAATAGACTGGTGATGCAACATTTAAAAAGCACTTTACATAACACGTTAATTATAATATTGTCTAATTAAGGCAAATAACTGATGTACATGTAAACATAGTCAGTATGTCTTCAAAGTAAATGAAAGATCCAGAAGGGCAAACTGCTGATTTGATTCAGAAGGGCACTTTTTTTGTCAGACGGCTCACCGGTTTGACTTTCATTCATTCACTGTCATTCGTTTTAAAAAGCACCTGCTCCATTTAATTTGTATATATTTTGCTGGAACGCATTAACTTTACAGGTGCCTGATAGTTAGCTATGGAGCTAACCTTAATCATATTCCCTCTAGTGAACGCATAAAAATAGTTATCATAATTTACTCGAGTGCACGCCTCAATGTCTCGCACCCCACAGTTTGAAAACCCCTGCTTTAACATGTAAAACGGGATCATGAAAGAAACATTCAAAAAGCAACTCATGTAAACGCCTTAATCATATTATTGTCTTATTCAGCTTAAGGAAAATCATTTGATTACTGATGTCCATGTAAACGTGGTCAGTGGCAACAAAAACACCTAATGTACTAACATTAAGCTTTTTTGGAAAAAGGAAAATCCTATGTGGGTCAAAATCACCTGAACCGAACCCAATAGTTAAGTCATACACATTTAAGCATCTTATTTTAGACATTTAACCAAAAACCACTGAGCCAATTTACAGCGACTGAACCAGAAGCTCAAAAGTGCTTGCTTATTCACAGCGTTTAAGTCTTTCCTGCTGCACTCATATACGAAATTGTAAATGTGGTCAGACTTTGTGCATGTGTATATTTCAGTATCAGCGTTTGTTGAGAAGGATCTGCTTCACGTCTGTCCACCGAAGTGCTCCTGCAGAGACGCGAGCGACCCCAATCTCTGTGACTCTGCTCCCTGTGATGCCACAGACTCCTCCAGAGACTCCCCAGTCAAAACACATGACCTGAGACCTACATACTCTGACAAATATCAAGCACTAGAATGTGAACATCATCACGACGACAAGCTAGAAAAGTTGCAGACGTTCTACTCGGACAAGGGGGCTTCTCCCAAAACAGGACAGCGCTTTAAAGACCTCTTACTGGCCATTGAGGAGAAAACTTACAATGCTCGACACCTCAGCACGGTAGAAACCACAACACAAACGTCTCCTTTACCACGTCTGCGTCACACAGGAACGCTGAAAGAAGGCACAGCTAGAAAAGTGACATGGGTTGGTCTTACGCGCCACACGACAGCAGGCACGGGCTCCTCGCCTTTCTTTGTTAATGGCTCAAAACCACCATTGTTTCCATCTCAAAGACAACAAGCTCTCGTCATTAAAAACCTGAGACACGCAAAGGAAAAGAGGAACACGGTAACGGGAGGAGGAGGAGGCATAGGGATGGCCGGTAATACAGCGAAAAGAAACACAGTGCAGTTGCGCACAGCAATACAGCGTAGAGCCACAGACCTCAACCTTCCAATGCTTCCGTCCGCTTTACAAAACAAGTCGGACAAAAAGTCAGAGATACTACGAATGGATTTTGGCTGACGGTCGAGGATTTGATGAAGGAATGGAATATTCCCTGGTCTAATACAAAGTCATGCTTCATGTCTTCATGCTTGGTCAACAGCATTTGCAGTATAATCTTGATTACCACTAAACAGATTATTTTCAATCATACCCTCGACAATAGATGTATTTTTATGTGTTAGTTCATGTTAAGATTTTGGGATAATTTGCTTCTGTAAGTAAGGAAAAAAAGGACACCATTTTAATTCCCATTAGAGGTCTGTGCGAGACTCATTACATGGTTTAAAAGACAACTTGGTTTCCCGAATATATAACCGATAACTTATAACTAACGATATAAGGTATAGTTCACCCAAAACTGAACAATATCTAGTCATGTACTCATCCGTTACATTTTATTTATTGAACAAAAGAAGACATATTTAAAAAATGTTGGAAACAGGTAACTATTGACTTCCATGGTATTTGTTTTGCTATCACTTGCTATCGATGGTCTCTTTAAAACATTTTGCTATTAATTTAAGTTATATTGCACCTACATACCAACTAATTCTCATTAGATTATAAGTAGACTGAAAGAGGTTAGGCTTAGTGTAAGTTGACATGTACTTGCAAAGTTTCTTATAGTCAGTTAAATGTCTGTTGAAGGAGAAGTATCAGCAGATATTAAGCACACAGTCTAATACAACACAAATGAGAATTAATTGGCATGTAGTTGCAATGCAACTTTTAGTCAACAAAATGTGCAATAAGGACCCTCATAATAAAGTGTTACCTTTTTTTTTCCTCCTTTGGATGTCAATGGCTGTCAACATTCTTCAAAATGTCTTTTTTTGTGTTCAAAAGAAATAAAGAGACTCAAACAAGTGTGCAATCACTTGAGGTTTAGTAAATAGTGTGTACACTTTCATTTTTGAGTGAACTATCACCTTAAGTAAATACTTTAAATATTTATTAGCCATTATGAAGACCCTCATAATGCTTAATAAATACAGACATCGAGTTACAGCATCTTACTTTGAAATACTTTGCAAGCTCTTATGAAGCTTGAAGGCCAAAAAATGGCAATGCATATATGAAGAGTTCAGATGCAAAACCCTCTAAATTCATCAGACCTCTTTTCTAGTAAATGATCATTTTCTATCAGGCTCCTCTGATTAGGTTTAGAAGTTTCATTTTCTAAGTAATGATAAGGTTATTAGCTAGTAAATAAAATCTAATTTTCAAAAATGTCCCTTTTTTAAACAAGGTAAATTTTCTTTTGCATTAAAACCAGCTAAATCCACTACTGCTTTTTTTTTTGCAAAAACCTCTAAAGCCACCTATTAGGAGAGAACAGTGCAATTAGTTGAAAATATACTAAATATGCCATTAGAAATTAGTTTTTCAAACATAAAACACAATACATAAACCACATAAAATTAAAAATACATAAATCTGTTACGTAAGTGGCGGTTCACTTCGCTGTGGTACACCAGGGAAAAAGCAGAAGGTAAATGAATGAATGAAATCTGTCAAGGAAGTGCATTAATCAATGTCATTAAAACTGACATTAATTAAATCTTAACTATTTGTTGGCATTTCTGATATTTGGGATTTAGATTTAATGTAAGTAGAGCAATGTAAACATTCAACACTAAGCTTGTTAGATTCAAATAATGTTTAAACATCATATCTTTGCATTGTCCATTAATAAATAGCTTATCAGACGTATAGGTATTATGAAGTAATATAAATAATGTATAGTTTTATACATGATATTTATCTTTAAAAAAAGTTTAAATTAGCAAATAAATCACAAGGTAGGTCTACTGGGCAAAAAGGGGATGTCTCTCAGACAGTTTTAGAAGCTGTCATTTATTCATTCTCACCACACTCAAGGTCTTGGTGTTTAGCAGCTTTTGCATCTGAACTCTTCTTATGCTTTTCAAAGCTACAGGAGTTCACATGCAATGATAAACAGATAATAAATAAAAAGATTACATCATTTTAATAAAAAAAAACAACTGCTGCAATACTGTAGATCATTTTTAGTGGGAGGAATGTGTCAAATTTGTTAAATACATGTCATATATTCTTATTTATTTTCTATTGTAATGCGAGAAGAATAATCCTTTAACAATTTAAAAGATAGTTTTTAAATTTAACAATTTAAAAGATAGCACCCAATGACTTCCATGGTCATTTAATTTCCTTTTTGTGTTCTAACAGAAGCTAGAAACCATTGAGGTTTAAAACCACATGAGAGAGACAGTAAATGTTGAGGTAATATAACTTTTTGGGTGTACTATTCCTTTAATATCTGCAGCAAGTGTACCTTTTTCTGGTAATCAACATTATGCAAATACTGTTGACAACATGGTACAGTATATGCCTCAAGAAAAGAATACACGGTTATCTTTCCAGTACTCCCCTCTTGTCCTCGCTTTCTCCTCTTAATCCCTCGCTCCCAGGACAATTCTGACTACTCTAGTTGGGATCTGACTGACAGCCATTGTAGCTTTTAAACTGCTATCACGTTTCAGGCTTTATGAATGAATGCGTTTTCAGCGGCATCACTCAACTATGCCAGTCTGTGCCAAAAGATGAGAACCTATTTATGAGTAAAATGGGTCATGGAGCATTTCTTGCAATTTAATAAGTGTAAAAAAAAGTAAACAATGTGAGAAATGCAATTTTGCTACATTTGTAACAATTTATCAAACAAATAAACTGACAGAAAACCAAATCTGTGACTGCTTATATAATTGCGAAGATATAATTAGGTTAATGTTTGGCCGTTTGAGGTGTGTGTGTGTGTGTGTCTCTCTCTGATGGCCAGAAGGGTTTTGAATAATGGACATGTAAAGGAATCTTTCCCTCTTTTGAGCTGGTGAGGAGCTCATGAATTATGAAGACTTTGTTTTGGTACATGATCTGGTGCTGATGGGGCTTGTTTTGTGTGTGTGTGTGTGTGTGTGTGTGTCTGTCTATAGATCTGTGTGCTGGAGAGAGAGATTGAGCCGCTGTGAGCTTGCCATGTCTAAGACTCGTAAACATATAGTTCTCAAACAAGACACTTAAAACAATCAGAATTTACAGCAAATTCAGCCAATAAACTGAAATGTAATGTTTAATGTGGAACAAGTCAGAAGTAGATTACATAAATGTAAACATGCAAATATATTTTTTAATGTTTAATTCCTGATTCATTTAATATTTTGCAATAATAATAATATTAATAATAATAATAATAATAACTGTACACTAAATTGTGATATGTGCTAGCGTCTGTGAATATTAAACTGTTTTGTGTGATTTAAAGGGATAGTTCACACACAAACAAAAAAAAATGACCTCATTTATTCTCTCTTCTTGGTTTTAAACCTTACTAAATGTCTTTCTTCTGTTGAACATTAAAGATGATGATGTGAAGAATGCTGGTTCCCTACTATGGAAGTCGGTAGGTGCCAGGAACCAGCATTCTTCAGAACATAATTTGTGTTTAATAGAAGAAAGAAACAAGTGATGGAGGGTAAACGGCAGAATTTGTATTTTTGGATGAACTATCCCTTTAAAACTACAAACTACTTTAAAAATCCCTTTGATCTCGTACAGAAACCTGAGCGACATTTACTCTGACAGAAATATAGGCCTATTATTATTAAAGTCAAGGTCATTTATACAGTATAAGGAGTGCTGACCAAGCTGCTTCTAAAGGCTGATTTATACTTCTGTGTCAAGCGCATGCAAGCTCGGGTGCAGCCTGCGCATGGTCGCGTAGCCCTAGCCGTGGCTGACCTCTTAAAAAATGTAACTACATGTTGCAAGCTCTGTGATTGGTCGACTTGGTAGTACTTAGGAGTGTGGGCGGGGGTGAGAGAGCCACACGAGCCCGATGGAGCGAGTGTTTACAAGTGTCAAGTCACATGACGGAGCTCTCGATGGAAACTGTTGTTTTGTGTTTAGCTCTTTTGGTTAAAGTTTTTGCATGTCTGCAGCTTCCCGCCTCTAAATGAGTGAGTTTAAGATACTTGTTCATTAAGGTAGCGTTTAGAAAAAACAAAACACCAGTGAAGAAACTCGACATAGAAAAACATAAAAACCTCACTGCCAGCTAGCATTTCGGAAATATTATTGCAGAGCAACACAAACAGCGCGCAGAAGTATAAATACAAGGCAGGTGCCGTGGGTCAAGCTGATCACTCGAAACAGAAGTATAAACCAGGCTTTACAGCCAAAACGTCAGAAATCAACCAACAGCAGCATTAAAACTTTATCAAATTTGAAATAATTGAATGAATACAGGAATCACCAAATCAACAGAAAAAACGAAGCATAAAGTCATTTTAATGTAGGCAAAAGCTGGGAAAAAAACATGTTTTAAAGATGATTTAAGAAAAAGTAACATTAATATCAGACTGAAGAATGTAATGTGCAATATAATAAAATTAATGTTTAAAGAAATAAAAATGAAATATGAATTTTTTTTTGTCACGGACAAGGATGCATTTTTTACAACCAAAATGCAATAGCAGTAATTGTCAATACTTAGATATTTTAATATATAACACATAAATTACAATATATAAACTAATGTTATATATAAAAACATAGAATTAAAAAAAAAAAAATATATATATATATATAAAAAATGCACACGAGACACTCACAGTAGTGGTAAAATCAAACGCTGAATTGGAACGTTTCACAATCCCGAATCAATACTGGAGTTACTTTTGGACGACACCATGGCTGAATTATTTCATGACTGATGTAGAGTGTGTTGTGATTTGAATAGGTTATATGCACAGAAGTGTTGTTCAACCACTGAAATCTCCTGGTGAACGATTGATGTGACTATTTTCAGTTTCATAAGGGACCTTTTACAACATCGATAATGTAGATTTTTATTTAGTTTAACAACAAAACATCAGTTAATAGCGCTATTCAGCCTAGTCTGCTTTATTGAGCTGAAGTTGCTTTTATATTCGCATTGGTTCATTTTTTAACCTTGACAGCCTCTCTATACTGTTTACCACGCTACTCTGAATATCGGCTCTAAAAAAAATCATGTAAGTGGCTTAGTAATGAGTGTAATTCCTGCACGCCGCAGACCAAACACTAACTACATATCTAACTGGCGAATAACATGAACTAGTGGGTTGTCTGCTGTCGTGTCGCAGTGCACGCGTTTGCGAATTCAGGAGGCGTGACTTTGAAACACAGTCCCTCCCCATCGTCCAAAGATAGTATGCTAAGCGGTTAACATTTTGGTGGATCACCTACTGCACCTTTAAGTCTTGAGTGATTTAGAAGTAATAATAATATGCTGATCACATGATTGCCTTTACAGTCACTTTTGATCAATTTAATGCTTCCTTGATAAATTAAACTATGATTCTTTTTCCTCAAGAACTCAAAATGTTTGTATAAATGGAATAATATACTTCTTGTGTCTGCATTTCCGAAACAGAAGCAGCTCATGATACCTGCTGGTGGAATAACCTAATTCTACTTGTGAGCAGACTTTGTTCATTTATTTAAAAATAATAATAATAATAAATAGCATGCAATCCTAAAACAATAGCACTTCTTTATTTATAAATCTATCAATCTAGCTGCTTGTTAAAACAAATACACAATACTAAAATAATTCAGACTTCTATATGTTGCGTTCCTGCTGATTTGAAGAGCTTCCTTTATCCTTATTTAAAAGTCAGGTAAAAGGCTAAATGCATCTGCTAAATTTATAAACCTAAACATGCCAAGATTCTTTTTAAGATATTAGTTTAAGCTACATTCTTATCATATAAAATCACATGGATTCATATTTAGCAATAAACAGCAATTCCAATGATTTTAAATTTGGCTTTAATGTCCAGGTGACCTCATGTCTGGACATTACCAGGGTGCAACCTTTAGCTCCAAGACAATCCCATCTGTCTCCACTTTAATTAAACACAGCATACAGGAAACATAACAAATAAGCATCACCTCAGTCACTTCACAACAGGGGGACTTTACTGTACCAGGCAACCCAGTGATGAAGAGCCGCTGCACCTCACAGACCCATGGGAAATGATCTGACCAACAGCACTCTCGACGCTTGACGCCTGTGTCCAGGAGAAATTAACTAATAGAAGAAGAAACAATTATGTCTTAAATAATACTAATAATAATAAAATGTAAAATAAAAGTACAATATAATGACGTTACACTGACAAAATGAAGGACAAAAAAAAAACAAATATTAACACAATTTAAAAGGTTATTCAAAATAAACTAAACCACTTAAATGACTTTTTCTGAGTTTGAGCTCCAGAGTTACATTTACAAGTAAGGAATTTGATGGATGATTCCATCTAAATAACTTCCATTCGAAGTACACTTTTTTTTTTTCCTCCTCCAGTTTATGCATTTTCTGGGAATCAAACCCACAACCATGATGTTGCAAGCACAATGCTCTAGTCTTTGAGCAACAGGAATGTTATTAATAATTCATCCAGGACTGTGTCATGGTGACCAGGAACCAGTCAAGCCCAATCTCCTATTAAACAAGCCCAAACCTGCCCAAAGGCAAAGATCATCAATAAATCATTAGTCAATTCAGAAAAGTTATTGACTACACATATGGACATTCCTTGACTTACTTTTCGCAGAAGTGTGTGATTTCTGTGTGTGTGTGATCATGGACCATAAAACCAGTCTTAAGTTGTTTTGGAAATAGCCACAAAGACAATACATTGTACAATACATTTTCTTTGATAAATCATTACAATATGTAGTAAAGAAATGTTACATGAAGACATTTGGTAAATTTCCTAATGTAAGTGTATCAAAGTTTACGTTTTTTTAGTAATATGCATACAGACTTCATTTGCACAACTTTAAAGGAGATTTTGCCAATATTTTAACTTTTTTTTTTGAACAGTGAGATTTCAGATTTTCAAACAGTTGTGCATTTCGGCTGAATGTTGTCCTGTCATAATGAAGTATACATAGATGAAAAGCTTACTTAGCTTTAAGACAGGGCAGCCAACTTTTGGTTTTAGCCTGGAGTGAGAATGTTTTTTTTCTTTTGTCATACAACAAATACTGCAGGGGAAAAAGATTTTGCTGGGATGAGTGGGAGTTGGCAAACCTGTTTAAGATAACATATATTAAAACATTGACTCTTGTGATTTATCAGTCACAAATATCCGTACATAGTAATGGAGATCAACATCACAGCAACCAGTAAAAGAGCAAAAAAAAAATTAAATGGCAGCCATTGCTGTTTTCATTTAGGCTACTTTGCAAGATGGTGAACATTTCTTAAGCAACTGCATGCAAGCACGATGGCACAGGAAATTGAGTGACCATTCACCTTTGTAGATAATCCTGGATTTCTTATGTTTATTGAGCATGTAGAACCTTGATTTGAAATGCCATCTTGCCACAGTTTCACTAAGAAAGCTCTGCCAGCCCTTTACGAGATGATTTCGGAGACACTACCTTTCCTGTTATCAGATGTACCCCATGTTTCGTTCACCACAGACATACGGAGTTCGTCCTTAGCTCCCATGCCTCTACTAAGCCTTACTGCACAATAGATTGACCGCATCTTGTTTCTTCGCTCTTCTTTACTCTTTTTTTTATGTATTATGAAAGTATAGACACTCAAAATTAAATGACTCAGACTTGAGGGCCAAAAATCCCTGATCGGGACATCCCCATTTAAGGTTTTTTATACAGTGTCTTGACATTTAGGCCTAATTTGCACTGAAAGACCTACAGTGACCTAGAAAACACATTAAAAGTGCTGCTTTCTTGGTGGCCAGAAGATGCTTTTATTCTAAAATATGAGGAAAAAATTTTAGGCCTAATTTTAAACAATACTCAATGAACGTCTGTCTTATCTTTCAGCCTGTTTTAATCAAACTATCCCAATACTTAATTTCTTATTTAGCCTAACGTTACAGAAATTCTCGATAAAATAGGGCGAGAAGGCACCGCGGGGTTTGTTTTGGGAGTTAAGGGGTCGCGGGCGGACATGTTGTTTGAGCCGTTATTAACCTGGAGTTTATCGTCACTGATGTACACGCCGTTAATCCCTGCTTGAATAAAAGATGAAGACCGGGGCTTCTGGGTCAAACAGGAGTGACACTGCTCAAGGACAGATGTAACCCAGTTAAAAGGTAGTAAATCTTACAACTGCAGAAAAAACAACAAGTAGTAGCCTATGCGCGGCGGGAAAACGTGTTCAAATATTTGTGTGTAACGTGAGGTGCGGCTGACTCGCGTTTCTCAGGAAATAACGGCTATACCGCGGCGCTAGCTCTCCGGTTTCTGTTGCATTATTGAGCACTGCTCTCCCGGGCAGCGGTGCTCTGCGGTCCCGCTCCTGCCTCCGGGTCACCCGCGCACTAAACGGCCTGCGCTCACTGACACTTGTGCTGTTTAATTCATGCAAGCTCCGATTAACTGTCAGTTTAGGCCCAGGAGCATCCCGCCAAACTGTCCTGATCGTTGTGCCAACACTGCATGTTTTTAAGTGTCTTGTGTTTTAGCAGTTAAACATTAAGCGAAACGTGTACTTAGGCTACTAAAGAATAAAACTTGTACTATGTATCGAATCACATTCACAGCAAGAGTTTGGGTAAGGGTGCATATTTAATTGACAGAGCTCATTTCATAGCAAGTGCCTACCACTAATTTATACAGTGCATAGCCTAAAACAGTTTAATATTTATAATAACACTTAGGCATAAATGCACATATATCTCAATACAATGCCATATAAAACAAAAACTGCACTGAAGGCTTGATGCTTTATAGGGTGAAATTTTAAATATTAAAAAAAAATTTAAGGCATAAACATTGCTTTTTAACAGTGTTCTAAACAACTTAAGAGGTTTGAGCCAACTTTAAAGTCCAGCTAACATGTTCATCACTGTATATTAATAAATCACAATTATTATAATTATTTTGCTATATTTCAGCAGGGATGCACAATTATTTTCAGTTTGGTTTTCATGTGAGCACCTGTAAATTTGGTTGGGTACTTAAAGTAGTGACACATTAAATATAGCTATACAAAAAAGTATTATTAAACCTTTTTTTATAACTTGTAAATTTTTTAGACTTGTAGAAAACAAACTATTATTTGTATTAAATTGTCATAATTTTTTAACTTTTCAATTCACCTACTGTATACCATGTCTTTTGAACTGTGGTGGAAACCGGAGCACATGGAGGAAACCCACGCCAACACAGGGAGAACATGCAAACAGAAACGCCAACTGACCCAGCTGAGGCTCGAACGAGTGACCTTCTTGCCTGTAAAGCAACAGCATTACCCATTGCGCCACCGCACCACCCCAATTTTAAATATTAAAAAATATATATAGATAAGACAAAACATGGACTTAAATTGGCTAACACATTTTTTTTTTCAAATGGCTTACCCAAATAAGAAAATAGTTTTAAATACTCACCCTCATGTTCCAATCCAGAGACCGCCGATCATCTTTAGAACACAAACTAAGATAAATCCAAGAGCTCCTCATCCTCCACAGGTTCCAGTCTCATTCAAAGTCCAGAAAGATTCCAAAACATATCCTCAAAACAGACCACATGCCCTCAGTGGTTCAATCAGAATATGATCAAGCTATATGACAATACTTTTACAAATACATAAAACCAAATTATCGGCTTTATTCAACCGTTTCTTCTCAGTGTCAGATCATGTGTTAATAAGCACTATGCACTGATGTATAACCCGGATGCCTTAATATGATTCCATGATATAAAACCCACACCTTGTCATAGAGTAAAAATCTAAAATACAGCATAATGTTCAGCATAGGCTCGTCATTCAGTTTATTATCCTGCTTAAAAATAATTTAAAAAAAGTTCCTGAGAGTTCTTTCCGTCCATCCGTCCATCCATCCATCCATCCATCCATCAACAATCAAATAAAAATATTGTGTTTACTTGCATGAGACAATTAATTGACTGTCAAAGAACAGTTATCAGAAAAAAAATCATTTAAACAATTAAATATTAACTTCAGGTAAATATTTGATATCTAATAGTTTAAGCTTGTATTTGGGCAATTTTCGTTTCAAGTTTGAACTATTATCATTTTTAAAGGGTCGAGGATATTACCATTACACCAAATGATACAACAGTACAGCTACAATACAATACTCCATAAGGCTTATTTCACGTTGACAAAACATTGGGGCATATCGAGTATACCTGAGACTCATAGAAGATGCCCTGTGCCTCTGTAAGTGAAATCCTGCCTGTCCTGAGACTGGGGTGTCAAAATCTGCAATAGGACAAAATGATACTGTGGATACGCTTACATTTAATGGGGCAGCAACAGATAATGTTACAACATGGCTGGATTTTGTTTTACAATATGCAGAGGTTTGAGTGTTTTAATCCCACTTCAGATTAAAAAAAAAAAACAATGTATATACTGTAGTTTCTTATTCGCCAAAGCATCACACAAATGCAGTTACACAGCACTAAAAGGGATAGTTCAATGAAAAATGAAAATGTACTCATCATTTACTGACCACAAAGTTGTTGTAAAACTGTACAATTTGTTTCTTTTTAAAATAAAAGAAATACAAAATTGAAAGAATCTTGGCACCAAACAGTTGACATAAATCCATTGACTCCCTTTTTCCCCCTACCATAGAACTCAATAGATAAATTCCAATCTAGAGACCATCTATCATCTTCAGAACACAAACAAAGATATTTCTAGAAATAATCCTGGAGCTCCCTCATGCTCCCTTTTCCCCATGGGACTCAATAGATAAAGTCAAGCATCTGGTTACCAAGATTTATCAAAATAACTTCTTTTGTGTTTTAACAGAATAAAGAAACCTAAATAAGAACAACTTGAGGCTTAATAAACATTAGCTGAACTATCCCTTTAACAAGAGTACTCCTGCTCCTCACATGGGATGCTTAAAAATATTGACAGTAACACAAAAAAAAAAGAAAAAAAAGTATACTTCTGACAGTAATGCATCCTCTGATGCTGTGCGCTAATAATTTGTGTAGTACATTTGACCTCAGAGGAGCCACCATCAGACTCTATAAGCAAACACTCTATACTACAAACGAAGAAATAAAGCGCCATCTGCTGGCTAAACAAACAAACAATTAACATTTTGCAGGAGTGCCCTTAGGAATGCATCATCACAATGTCCTTCATCAAATAATCTACTGCAGAAGTGTAATTAGATATTAACATTTTAAAATACACTTTGTATATGACAGTATGACAGATGATGTACACTATTCATCCATATTTCGGGTTTCCTGTGAAACGAAAGGTGTTGGAGAATGACAAATAGGTATTTAAACTATTATTGAGATTTTTAAAAAAAATTAAAAGCAATGTTATACCAATTGAATAGAATGTACATGTTTAAACATCTGCTTCTCACAGAAACAGGCATGAGGTTTCCAGAGTGTATAGCGTAAAACATACACAGATAGATAGATATTTATATATACATACAGTACATATGTGTGTATACACACAATCATCCTATATATCATAAGTCTCCAACTCAATTCCTGGAGGGCCACAGCTCTGCACAGTTTTGCTTCAACCCTAATCAAACACAGCTGATCCAAATAATCGAGGTGATCATAAGAGTTTTGAACACCTTTATTAGTTGCAGACACTGTTTGTTTAGGGTTAAATCTGCGGCCCTCCAATAATTGAGTTTGGGACCTATGCTATATATTTATATTCACACACACACATACATTCAACTCAGACACACCACTGAAAGTAAACAAATAAAAAAAAAATCCCCATAATCTAAGCCTCAGTCCACCAAACAGAAACTGATACGTAGACAAAAAAAAAAGACAACTGGAATGAGGTTGACAGGTCGTGACACCTGTAGATAACAGACATGTTGGTGGCACACAGACTAGTGCTTTTATCGTGTTTAAAGAACGGAGCAAGGTTTGACTCGCTCACTCCAAGTGCGCCCTCTCCTGGTCTGGGTTTGAAGCGCACTCTTCATTTAAGCACAAATAAACTCAATAAAAGCATACTAGTGAAGCAACACAACAAACAAACAGACACAACAGAAACTGAAAATCGGCACGCAGACACACCATCACCAGTGTAAGAATGAAAACAAAACAAAAAAAAAACAAATCCCAAATAAAGTGGTTATACAAATTCATTCTGTCAGATGAGCTCGTGTTTTGAATTGTGTGTGATGTTATTAGCTGATTATGTGGTCGTTTAGGTGTCATTACTACAATTCTATATAAAGATCAGCGACAGCACCATTGTTTTAAATAAGCAATCAAACATCCCTGTTCCCTCATACATATAAATAAGCATCAGATGAACTGAAAATTAAACCGTTTTCCCAGTTTACGTACATTGTTCATTATAGAAACGCAATTCGTAGCCTCATTATGCTTTGACAACACTGGATAGTACTTCTTAAAAAGTGTTTTCATCTAAATTGAGGCAAAAATTAAATGTAAATAAAATCGAATAAGCTAAAGACATTCATCCCATCCTGTGTGTGTGTGTGTGTGTGGATCATGTGGCTTGGGAGTGAGAGTGACTCATCTGAGAGCGAGTGTATAAATGAGATTAACCATTCAAGGCTTCTAGTATCTCAGCTGAAAAGCACATTTCCTTAGGAAACAAGCACAATCCCCAGCTTCACGGATACCAGACAACCACACAGTCTCCACTTGGAGCGAGCAACACAATACGGCTCTTTCTGGGAGGAACGGGCCGAGTTACACGGCAGCAAGTCGAGGCACTGTAGGTCCTGGGCTCAGTGGGTCCTGCGTTTCTGTGCTATTGAGTCCCATGGTGTAATTGTGCCCATGATGTCCTGTGACGCAGCTCTGCTGTTGGGCACAGTGGGCACCGTGGTGCCTTAGGGCTGGATGAGGCCTGTGGCACAGCTCTGTCTCAGGGATCAGTGGGCCCTGTGGTGCAGCTCCGTCCTCCTGCTGATATAGCAGCATCCTCAGAATTAAAAAGGCGTGTTTGGTCAGTACAATTTGGTTTCCTGGTGTTAACAGTGTCTACTTGGTGAATGGTGAGAGTCGGCTGGCTGAAAGACATGCTGGGACAGTTTAGACCTCAGCAGCCTTCAGGCCGATTTTCTCCTCGTCCTGTCAGTCCGAATTGGGCTTTTTTAGTGAGAAAGCGAATATGTTAAAATGATCGCTCAACTGCTTCACCTGCACAGGAAGACAAGGTAAAAACAAAGGATAGAGAAGTTTAGAATGCTTAAAAACTGCAGCTCACAAATAATCTGAACCTTTTATGTACTATATTGTACACCAGGCTTTATTACAAATTTATAAATATTAAATAACTGTTTTAGATAATCACTGAAGTGATAGATTGATAGACAGACAGACCTGCATGTAGCAATAATATTATTTATTTATTTAAAAAATTATACATACATATATATGTATGTATGTATACACAGTTGAAACCAGAAGTTTACATGCATTCTAAAAAAAAGGATTATAATTATTTTTTTTAAAAATGTCTGATGGTAAATCATACTAAACATTTACTATTTTAGGTCCGTTAGGATTACTTAAATGATTTACATTTGCTAAATGCCAGAATAATGAGATAATATTTTTGAGAATTTTTTTATTAATGTCTAGACAGTCAAATGTTCACATACATTTCCTTGCTATTTTTTTTTAGCTTTGCTTTTAAACTATATGACTTTGATCAGTTGTTTTGTGTATCCTTCCACAAGCTTCTCGCAATAGTTTGAAGGAATTTTGGCCTATTCCTCTTGACAAAATTGGTGTAACCGAGTGAGATTTGTTGCTCGCACAAGCTTTTTCAACTAGGCCCACAAATTTTCTATAGGATTAGGGTCAGGGCTTTGTGATACCCACTCCAAAACATTCACTCTGTTGTCCTTAAAGCACATTTGAACTAATTTGGCAGTATGCTTAGCAGGGCTCGAAATTAACCTTTTTGCTTGGTAGCACCGGTGCTCCTAACTTTAATAATGTAGGCGCATCAGCCAAAATTTTACTACAACATTACTACAAGTTTTATACAAACTTATTTATTGCATTTGAAATCAACAGTAATCAAACTAACAAGAAAAAAAAAAAATATATATATATATGCAAGCGTGAGGAAAATATTTCTCAACAAAATCCTGTTATCACAAAAAAATCAATTTTTTTAACATAACTGAGCGATCAAAAGGTACACAGAGTGCTCACCGGCCCTGCACACACTGCTTGACATGGATGAATCTGTTAACGGTATAACTGTGCTGTTGTCACGGGTGCTGTCTGATATTGCACTGATGTTTTTGACACATACTGTTACTGAACCTTATAATATGCATACGTCATGTTAATAGCAATACCGGTCTTTTTATGAGTAGCGAGGTTAGTCAGTGCAAGCCAGTTTGCGATGGTGTACGTGGTGTTAAATTTGACATATAGCTGCCACTAGCACGGCGGACAGCATCTGGCGACTTTTCATAGCGGACTTGAAGCCAACGGAAGTCTTTTATCCACTCTTCAAAAAGTATAGATGGTGGTGGATAAACATTCAGCACATGATCACTAGTAAGATGCGTCATTATTTGTAACTAGATGGTTTCTAAAACAACATCTGTCAGTGTTATCTTCATTCTCATCTTCAGCGCTTTACAGTTTTTCGCGGTAGTAGCTCTCTCTGTCATCCCAAGCCAGAAGGCATTGACTGAGTGATTGACAGCTGATATTTCAGTGCAAGAGCAGTGGTGGGCCAATAAGAAGAGCGCGAAGGCGGGCAAGCATTACGGACTTGGCTTTGTTTACTGCAGCAAGTTGACATGACAACTGTTTTAAACCATTCGCGTTTCAAGTGCTGGGATGCATTTTATACACTCGCAAAAATGCTCCCAAATATATTTCGAGGTCGCATAGACAAAATTTCGGGCGCATATGCGACCAAAATGGACGCAATTTCGAGCCCTGCTTAGGGTCATGGTCTGTTTAGAAGACCCATTTGTGGCCAAGTTTTAATTTCCTGGCTGATGTCTTGAGATGTTGCTTCAGTATTTCTACAATGTTTTTTTTTCATGATGCCATCTATGCTGTGAAGTGGACCAGTCCCTCCTGCAGCAAAACAGCCCCAAAACATAAAGCTGCCGCCCCCCATACTTAGCAGTTGGGATGGTGGTCCTAGGCTTTCCCCTTTGTCCTCCAAATGTAACACTGGTCATTATGGGCAAACAGTTCAATATGTGTTCCATCAGACTATTTAACCGTTGTGCCTTCAATTAGCCCCCAAAAAATGTTGTCAATTAGCTGATAAGAAACTTCCAAAACCTTGACACCATCATCTGAGCTTTTTCAAAGGTATAATAATCAATAGGATGTAAACTTAACTTTTCAACTTAACTTTGTTCTGTAGACTATCAAAAAATATTGCTAAAAGAGACTAAGAATTGTGACATTAAAATGTTTATTTTTTTAAATTAAAAACTGCTTTTATTCAAGCTAAAAAAAAAAAACCAAATACTACTTTCTCCAGAAGAAAAAAATATTATTAGACATACTGTGAAAATCTCCTTGCTCTGTTAATTAGATATTATAAAAAATTACAACCTACAAAATTTAAACAAAATTTTTTCAATATTTTTGCTTCTCTTATTTTTTCCTCTTTTTTTCAAATTTGCATCTAATATTTTTTCACAACATAAATTTGGATGTACTTGTTTTTGGACCATTTTCGTAAGTTATTTTGTTAGATAAGCTCCAGGTTTGTCTTCAGTGCTGACTAAGCTAATATAATATTTTATATCTTCCAATAAAAATATGAATTTAAAAGATAGATCTGTGTATGCTGAGCACTGTATACAATATATATATATATATATATATATATATATATATATATATATATATATATATATATATATATATATATATATATATATATAGTGTGTGTGTGTTTCATTCATAATTTACTGTTAAGGTTTTAAATACTTATTCTAAATAATAATTATTATTATTATTGTGCATTTATATAATAATAATAAATAATAATAATAATTATTATTATTATTATTATAAAGTTAATTATAATACATAAAATAGAAAATTACAGAAAACTAATGTATTTTTTATAAAACTAACTACATAAAATATAAGCATATATAAATGTCTTTGTGATTAAAATTTGCTTTTTTAAATATATTATTTTACATTTATATAAACAAATTATAAATTAGCAAACTAAATGCATAAAAAGAGTGTGGAAATTTTTTTGTAGCGTGTTGTAATCAGTAGTATAAAAATAATAATAATCCTAATCATAAAACATTATAATAGATTTTTCATTTAAAAATATTAAATATAAATAATTATATAAACATTACATAATCAAAATTATACAAGTTACATGCTTTTTCATGACTAATAAGCAGTATGAGCAAGTCTGTACTTACAACCGAGACTCCGTAGTGTATGTGAGTGAGCAGGACTACAGCAGTCCATATAAACAAGACTAGCGATTCTCCTCCCTGCACAGTCCCAGAAATCACTAGCAGCACCACGATGCTCATCGGCAACAACAACAAGCTCAGTGGCTTACATCGAGTATTACTCATCTGGCACACAATGAGCTTGCACTGACAGAGAGAAGCAGAGAAACAGAGCATGTCAGCAGCAGACATCCGACAAGATGCTTTAAATGCACATGAAAGACATCCATTGTCATGAACGCAACAGTTGTCAATGCCAAGACCGAAATCACTCACTGTAACGTTGGAGAAGGCCGTTCCCACCATGAGATAAAAGATCCTGGGCTGCTTCTGGACGATGTTTGTTGGAGAGAAACTGATCCACAGTGTAGACAGCACGAATAAAAGCACAGGAGAAAAAAACGGCAACAAGGCCTCATACAGTGAACTGTGCTTCAAGGTGTTGTTACGATACGCCCTGAAACAATACAGAGAGAACAAATATCTCAGTTTTAAAGCATGCTTTATTAATAATACATTAGTGAAGTACAGTGCAAAGCCCCACTCTAAAGCCAAATTCTCTGACTTCCATGACCTATAATGAATAGAAAAAGGCAGCTGTTGTGCTGAGCAGTACCATCAGAATTTAATAATTCTGTGATCCTTGAATTGAGATTGTGGGATTTTATTACATTTCTGCAGATAACTTGAATTGTCTGAAACACAGCACAGTGCTGTTTCTTCTTTCGTGCGTGACCTATAGGTTGTTTTCACATGACATCATTGATGACGCACACAATTCAGAAGGAGGGCAGGAAGTGATTTTTATACATAGAAATCACTATCAGAACATCAAAATGTTTCTGTTTTATGTTTATAACCCTCTCAGGCTCAAATTAAGTTTTAGAAACAGGAATATTTGTTGAAAATTATCATATTGGGTAGTACAATAGAATCCTGACTTTTTTTGAGACCTTGACATGCAAGGCATTCTGGGATGTTGCAGATTTGCAACATTGGCCCAGTGTGGTACTTAGACACTGACGACTGAATATGATATGAACAATAACTTTTAATATTCAACTTTTCAAACAATGTAACAAATTGCTTTTCTGTGGCAGAACAACAACAAAAACAATATGGGATCCAAATCCAATATCTCAAATCCTCATTGAGTAGGTCATGTTTCCAAGTCACTTTGTCATGTGGTACTCCAAGAAACAGTTTTTGTCTTTTGTTTCATCTGGTGTGCAAGTCGAGAAACTGTTTGCTGCTAATGGACAACCAAGTCCTGCAGTGGTACTTCTGAGTAAAAAAACTCATAAAATATGTATCTGGAGTAATAAGGTAGTTAATTTTTAACTGTTGCAAATCTGCAACGCCTGCCTTGAGAGGGATAATTGTTTAAATTGGCTAAAATGATAATTGCCGAACAGCTTTTATAGACTTCCAAAAGTTTTAGCTCATAAAGGGGGAAAAGGTCAAGAAAGTGGCTAAAAACAGAAGAAAAGGCTGCATTTTTTCAATACATTCATGTGTACAAACTTTTTTGAATGTGATAAATCATTTGACAGCACCAATAAAGATTATATACATGCCTAGCTATGTGTGTAAATGTTAATGTGTTATACTGTAATAATCAGATAAAAACACACATACAAAATCCAGGAGACTATAAATAACGTACCTTGCCATGTAATCGCTGAAATTAAATCTCTGTCTTGTTTTGCAAAAAACTAATTTACTGGCGTTTCGGCAGAATAAACAACCGTATCGTGAACATCGAGAACATGCACAGCAGCGGTGAATATTTGTTAATGGTGAGTTCATCGACAGAACAAAAAAGAAATGCAATGCTTGCAACAAACCTGGACGGTTATTATTGTGGAGCTCTTTTTCCCCTAACAAAAATAATCAAATAAATAATAACGTAGACTATGTGTACTGAAAACTTTCTGAAAACTTTCAATTGCAATGCGCATTCAGTCAAATCCTACATGTACAAGGCGATATCCATTGTATTATTTGCTAATTTTGGAAATATTAACAATATTTTTCAAAAGGTATTGTTAAAGAGATTTCAGTTTTGTTTATTTTGATAATTTAGAGTCATTCATGTTTTAAATATAATGTAGTAGGATTGTATATAAAGACTTTCTCTCTTTGCTTCTATCAGTGTACACTTCATATAAAGTTCAGAGACCAATAGTTTGAAAAAAGGTTAGTACTAAGATGAGATCAGGGGGAAGCCCAGCCAGCCTCTATCCGATACCCAGGGCTCTGCGATGGTTTAGAAATTTTAAAAATTGTACCAAAAAAAAACAAAACGATTACAATTGGCTTAAGATTGGCAATGAAAAATCAGTGCTTCAAAATTCAAAAAAGTGCTTCAACTTCAAAAAGTGCTAAAAAAAGAGAAAGAGAACAACTAAGATAATAGCTGCGTCCCAAATGGCACATTATACACTATGCACTATGTACTTATGCACTTACACACTCAACAGGATAGTACATGTATGTAGTGGCATCCCAAATGGCACACTAATGTTTTTTACTAAGCGGAAATTCAAACCGTTTCCCTGATGACGTTTGACGGTCGCCAAATCAGTGAAATAAACGACCGAATTATCAAATAATACCTGCCCTGAGTATAACCGCATTCACCATCGGGAGGCGCTATAATCACTCTTGTAGGAGATTTTGCTTTCACCATCCAAAATAAATAAACTATACAACATGTGCGTCCGATAGCTCCGCCCCTTCCGCTACGCAAGCAAACCTGCGGTCGTTGAGTGCGTGAAGTGTCCATCATTACACACTTCATTTTAGCGGCTGAATGAGTGCATCATCCGGGTAATTAAAGTGCACTTATTATTTTTTGAGTTTTCAGTGTGAACACACTATTTACACTATTTATACAACAAAATGGCATAGAATAGTGCATACGTATGCGATTTGGGATGCAGCTAATAAAACAACTTAATAAATGCTGCAAATGCTCCATTATTGCAGCAAATTCTGAGAAAAGTAAGCAAAAACTAGCCATTTTAGGTCACAATAATCAGATTGTTGTCCCCACAAAATTTAGGAGGGACTGGTTGAGTGCTGAGCAGACAAAAAACAGCAAGAGACTGTATTTTAACAGGTACAGTATGGTGAATACATTTGAACTGCGTTTGACTTAAAAATGGCAGTACAAATTCCATGATACTCCAAAAATTCTATAACCCGTGGGAACCTTGAAAGCTCTACTGAGTTGTATTTTATGTGGGATAATACTAAGCCGCAAGAGATCTGGGGTGAAACTTACTTGAAGACATTGTAGAGACTCATTGGCAGAGTTACAACAAATAAACAACCTGAGAAAAACAACACGAGAAAATCAGATTATTCTTTCATTTGCATTTGGTCTGAGAGCCAATGAAAACACAGTGTATGATGTTTTAACCGTAAGAAGAGCCAACGAGAGGGCAGAGTTCACTCACCGATAATCATAACAGTGAAGAGATCTCTGTAGTGAATGTTCAGAAACACAGGTTTGTACCACGTTTCCACTCCAACTACTGCTGTTATAATGTAGACGATGGAGATAGTCTGAAAAGAACAAACAAAAATGATTGATTTAAGTTGGTAATGGCTTTTTTGGGATAATTATTTTCATTCAAGGATCAAGCAGTACATTTACGTGCACACTATACATGCCATAACAGTGGGATTTTTGCAATATTGTGATTACACTTTGCCTCACGCAAAAACGAGTGAACACTATTAATCTCATAATCGTAATAACCATAACAGCAGTTTACAGTTACTCTTATGTTTTCACCTACAGAATAACGTAGACTAACTATATTCCTTACACAACATATCTCTAAATAAATTCTTAAAGGTCGTAGACAAGCTTTATAACTATGAAATCTTTATTTCTCACTTTTTCACCCCTGAGCACAGCACATACCCTCATGTTTGCAGGAAATTTCAGTAAGTTTGTTACGTCCACCTAGTGTGCTTGAAAGCTAGGGAAGGGAGACATTTAGGCCCAATCCCAATTCTACCCCTTAGCCCTTCCCCTTACCCCTACCACTCGTTTTGCACGTGTCCGTGAAGAGGTAGTGGTGTCCTAATTCTCTTTAGCTTGAAGGTGTAGGGCTAAGGGCAAGAGGTATACACCCCTTCAAACAACGATTTTTCAGGACCACACTCGAAACCAAGGGGTAGGAAAAAAATTCCCAGAATACACTACCTCCAGCTGCACCCGGAAGTAAGAAGATCCACTAATTAGTATTTTTGTCATTATTACAAATTTTTACAACAAACAAACACGTTTTAATATATTCATAGCCGTGTTTGTGTTTTACCGTCATGCTTTAAAAAAAAAAAAAGAGGCAAAAATAAAAACCGCTAAATTTCGCGATCTATAATCCCTAATAAAAACTCCTGTACAGCAGTCCCACAACATTCTGACACTTGATGACACTGAAATACCCTGTCAGAAAAGACCAGTGGCTGGGAATGGGCTTTTTACAGTGTCTGCTATAATGTTAATGTGGTTTTTGGTGTGTTTACATTAATGAATATGCATCTGTGCAAATGCACAGTCTTGTTCTGATCTTGCCACATTAGATCGTTATGATAACATAATACATGGCTTCAGTGATTTCCTGAAGATAAATACCAAAAAATAACACAACTGGAATCACTACAGTAGTCGCCGTCATCTGAACTCATATAAAGCAAGAGATTGCGATGACATATGATGACATGTGCAGATGCTGTAGTGCTGTGCCAATACATAGAGGTAAATTTTGAAGCCCTTTCCCTTAACCCTCGGCTTCAAGGGCTAAGGGGAGAAGTAGGGGTACCAAAAATAGAATTGGGATTGGGCCTTCGAGCAACGACAATATGCATTTGCGTTTTATTTATGCATCATACAATATTACAGACTTCATGAAATTAATATTATATTATCACAAATTGTTAAATAAATGATATTTTGTTGAATAAATGCTTTGAAATGGGGATATTTAAACGTCAGTTGTGGGTGATGACCACATGGAGCAACTCTCTGCAAGAGAGAGCCTGAAAGTCAGGCTGCAAATGCTGTTTGGATAATCTTTGTGTAGTGATAATGTTTATATTGATGAAAGGTCAGTCAAGTTAGCATTAATTTGCATGAATTAAATGTTTTAATATTTTAAACTGTCAAATTAACTGATTGTACAGTTATATAATTTCAAACTTTCATTTAAAGTTATTAAATATAACATTAACTTCAAGTAAAACACAATAATAGTATATTGTGATGTTGGTTTTTAATAAGACCAGAAAGCAATGTCTATTTTTGCCAGTGAATTGAAGTTATACCCCCTTGTACGGACCACTATTTTAACCCTGTACAGAATGCCGTTAATACCTATCGTTTTCCGTACACATGCATGGGCTGCAATTCCCTGATCATTTTTTCCCCCAAAAACTACAGGTCCAAAAAACATCAATCAAAATTTGGATTGTGCAATAGGTACACACCTAGAGAATGATCACACAAACATGCTTATCTGGCTTTCATTGACAGAGGAGTGGTCGTTTGAGTTTGCTGAATAGCGAAAAGTATACAGAACATGGTTAGTCGACGTTTACTCATAAACAGAATACACAAAATCATAAACAAAATCTAATTGTGATCATAAACAGGTGTATAAGTACAAAATATTAATCTACTGTGTGTTATATGACAAAAACAAAACTTTATCTTCAAAATTTGTTTGACATATTTTTAAAACACACTGTAAACATTTGGCATCAACAAGATTTCTTTAAAGAAAAATAATATATAAATATAATAATATTTATTTATATATTTTTAAGAAAAATATTTCAAATAGCATTGTTTTCTAACTTCCTGAGAAAGTATGGCTGCCACTAAATTTTAATCAGCATAATGGTTTTCAATACTGATAATATATTACAATGACTTGCCTCAAGTAATGCAGATGGAAATTAATAGACAAATAAATTATATTTTACATGTATTTATTTTAATTGCATATTAAAAAGTATAAATATAACTGTTATCTTAAATCGCAATATTTCACAATAATTCTTCTGCATTTTTAATTAGCACAAGATTCTTACCTATTTTTGGCTATTTTATAATGGTAGTATATATATTTACTTAATAAAATATTTAATTATCTTGATTTAATAATTGTAATTTTTTAAGAGTTTTCACCTTAATCGATAGGACAGTAAAGATGCACAGACAGGAAAGTGTGGGGAGCAGAGATAGGGGATGGATCGGCAAAGGACCTCGAGCCGGGAATCGATCTCAGGTCACCACGAGCACCTCTGTGCTATGTGTCAACGCACTAACCACTAGGCTATTATCTTTATTTAAATTATTTACTATATTTCTAATTAGAATATTAATCTGATTCAAATTATATATTATAATGATACATATTAGGCAGATTACAGAAGCAACAACATAACTTTCTAATAAAATTTACCAATTAATAATACACTTTTTATCATACTAATCATAATACATACCACTTGACTGATGTCGTAGCCCCAGGGCAGAAACAAAATTCCAGTGTTGTACTTCTCCCAGTGAGACAGGATGAAGGAAAACAGGACGACCCATAACAGATAATAGAGTGTCACCACGCTGACCCCCGTCTCACCCCGTCCAAAGACAGAGTACACTGTGGCAACAAAAAATACACAGGCCCAGCTGTCCAGACCGTGATCAAACAGTTCACCCAGAGGAGTGCTGGAGTTGGTTCTCCGTGCCTGTTTTCCATCCACACCATCTGCATATGCACACAGACACACATTAACAACCATTTTAAAAGAGCACACATGCCTACAAATGCAAGTCTTATGTGTCTTGCCATTACATATTCAGAGATTTTCACATCATTCACATTTGTTCTCTTCCAAAATAAAGTGCTAATGAGCAATCTGCTGCATGTTCCCATTTTCATATGTAAATGTGTTTTGTAGCTTTATAACACTCAAATGTTCTTTTTGGCCAAAGTACTTACCTAGTGAGTTATTTAATGTATACAGCATACTTCAATAGCTTAATAAATGTCCACTAGTGAGACTTCATTTGTGTCAAAATACCAGATCTGTGCATTATGCCCTTGCATTAATGCAGACTAACAGAAAAAATGGTGTCTATTATGCTGGTACTATTTAAAACCAAATAAACTGAATTTAGGATTCAGAACACTAAGTCCACTAGCTGACAATATTTGCCCCTAACAATAGCACTACAAAAATAAAACATAAAAAGCTTACCTAAGGTATAAGCTAGAAAGTTGAACAAACCAGCAGCAATCCACACCCAACTTGGCACATGCGTGTGGCCTTCACCTGTGCCAAAGAAGAATACCAACACAATAATCAATTACATCATTTCATTTATTATACACACACATATATATATATATATATATATATATATATATATATATATATAAATAAACATAATTTGTCATATATATACATAACAAAATGTATAAATAATATCTATTTTTTCTATTTTTATTCATTTTAATTAACTTAGCAAGAATATATCTTTTTTTTCATCTGGAGAAAGTGTAAAAAAAATTTACAATTATTTTTAAGGTCAATACTATTTGTGCTATTAACAAATAATTTTTTTCAGATTAGCTACATTACAAACCACTGTTGTGCAATGACGTGTCAAATTAACCTAAATGGCTTAGTTAGCCTGACATAGTAAAACCTTTAATTTGCACATTAAGCCAAACACTTGTATCTTGTCAAATAAGTTGTAAAATATTAAGTACTCAAGTAAGTCATCATGGCAAAGCCCTTGGGAAATATTTTGAAAGAATTAAAAATGTAACAGGAGGGCTAATACTGGACATAAGCATAAAACATAAAAAACAGAATCAATTAAAATAATTTGCAATTGAAAAATGGATAAAAATTGGCTAACATGTTTTGGTTAATTTAATTCAACAAATAATTGGAGATATAAAAAAAGCACCAGATTTATCTCATGTGTGAACAGAATCAGCACTTTGCTGGGAAACAGGCATAAATTATCAATAACAATGGAAGTGGCTGTGAACAAGTAGATTTTCTCCTATTTAATAAATGACAACACATTTTTAAAAAATCACGTTATCTTATGTTCACAGGTAAATGTTTCCATGAAGCTTGGCAATTTTTTTTTAATTATGAAAATAACTCTTGCTCTGAGATAATTAATTTTAAATGACAAACTTTGGTTTCAGCATGACTAAAATTTCATGATATGGTGTTGAGAGAAATCCACTGGTTAGTCCAGTTATCTAATCACATGAGCTGTTGAGGCAGTCACATGAGTGTTTTTGCTCTGCTTCAACTTACATTGGATAAATCATAGTTTTAAGCATGTTTTCTTTTCAGAAAAAAATGAGCTGGTTCTAATTTGGTCCCACAAAATTCTTTTAAGGGCATTTTAGGATTTTATGTTTATCCTGGCTTGTGTGCATAAAAATATGCGGATGGAAGCATAGCTAGTAATAATATTATTGCAAAATTTGACATCAGATCATTTATCATATAATTTATAATTGCTTGACTTTGCAACTCACCATTATCAATGTAAAATTTATTCAAACAAGCATTTATACATATGAAAAATGACACTGCTCTATTTAACAAATGCTCAGCTGCACAGTCTTTAAGTGAAAACCAACAACACCACACTAGCTACGTTTCCATGCAACAATATGAATTAAAGTTATGAGCAAAACTGGATTATCACATCCCAAAAAAAAAAAGACCATCCAATAAGATAACAAAATCACATCCTGATTAACTGGCACCAAATAATCAAAATAAAAACTAAATTTGCTGTCATAGAAGTTGCATGAATCTTTTCTTTATTCAATACATTACTTGCACCTCAGAAGACAATGCCGACACATAATGAATGCGTGGTGGTGTTTAAAGCCTTGAGACGTCGAGAACAGATGCTCTTCACAATTCTGGAGGTAATTAATATAATAAAGCTAATACTAAATGGTTAAGACGTTTTAGAATGACCAAAACAACATTTCAGATGTTTTATAATATGCTCAGACTGCTGGTTTGTCCATTCACATAAATTTATCATCATACAATCTTTTATAACAAAATCACATGACTTTTTTAATGTGCATACTGAAATTTGTTCTGTAAAAGTGTTTCTACTTATCAAATAAAAAGTTTACCCTCTTAGTTATGTGCATCTTCAAAATGTATGCGCATCTTGGTGCATATCTAAAATGCACATGTGATGGAAACATAGCGACTGACAAACACACCGCTTCACATGTAGGATGGTGATTTGATTCTTAAAACAAGCGAAATGAAGCTATAAAGTTTGATGACAACAACCAAACAAAACAAAACAAAACAAAAAGACTTTTACAAGTAGAAGAAACAAGAAAATTACTTGCATCTTTCAGACAGATTGTTTCCTTTAAATGTAATTTTGATTTGATTTCAGCTTTCTTACAGAGGTCGTAAATCACTCTGGCAAAAAAAAAATTTCAGATACAAACAAGATTTCCCCAATTTCTTCTGGCACGTTGTAAGGGCAAAAAGCGAAAGGCACCATCTTTAGCTGCTTTGTTATTCGTTTACAAAGAGGTGCAAGGAGGCGGAAGTTTTCTCAGAGGCAGGCACATGTAAAGTACTAGCTGGTTACATCTAAACTGGCAAATATAATTTTAACTAGGTCAGTTATGGCACACAAATTAGGGCTGGACAATAATTCGATATCAATATATATCACGATAGATTGTCTTTCAATAACGGTGATATGATTTTGAAAACCATTTCTGGTATTTCGATATACATTTGCATACATATGTTTTATTATACATCAGATGTTATGCCTTTCATTTGTCACTGAATGACTTTCCGTGTCAGAATGAGCGTGATGTCACTTGTGTGATGACGTACATCACAGATACGCACGCTGCCACTGCCAGCCAGCGCTCAGAAGTTGGTTAAGCTGCTCCGTCGCAGAAAGCGACTTTTTTTTATTTAAAGAAAAGTTAGAAGAGCCTGGAGGTATTGGAGACTTTGCATATTCAGCTTGCACACATTTGTAGGCACATACATCTATTGTGTGCATTCTTGGCAGTTTTTTCATGTCTTTTTAATATTGTCCATACCGATATCGGAATTATATCGTATCTACCAAAATTAAGAAATACATTGTGATATAATTTTTTGCCATATCATCCAGCCCTAACACAAATACAATCAGATTGTTTTTAAAAATAAATTGTGTATAAAAAAAGAAGCTGAAAGTTTTCTTTTTAACATGTCTGAGCTGGTAGACACATCACAAACCCAACAAAACCTAAAAAAAAAAATAATAAAATCTACAAAAGTGAAAATGTCATCCAATACCATCTTACGTTTTAATAGATATATAAAAATAACACTCTATTGTTTTTCCTTTTAAATATTTCCTCCGCCACCAAACCTATAGTGTGTTTTGGCTCTGTTGTGGATAAGAGAGAGCTGGATATATGACTACAGAAGTGGCTGTGTATTAACAGATGACTAGTTGATAATTTAGAGAATGATGAGCTGGAAGTGAGACCTTGATCCTTGTCATATAAAACAGTAACAGCATATTTTTACATCAAATAAAGAGAGGAAAAATAGAACATCAAAACAATTACAAGCTGACACACCAAAGTTTATTATCCTCACCTGAGGCATAAAAGTCAAAGTCGAAGAAGGATAGCATGGTGAAGGTGAGTACCAGGAACATGAACCCTGTAAATGTGATGAGGTTTGGGGCAAGCCATGTGGGTAAGACCTGAGACACAACAAGTGAGCAAAAGAGAGAGAGAGAGAGAGAGAAATTAGCAAGTTGCAAATGGTCTGATCTCTGTCACAGGTAATCAGATCCAGACGGAACATTCATGAATGTTGCATATATGCAATTCAATGAAAGCAAAAGACAGAGTAATGTTATTCTTTGATGTGAAACACTTCTGTAAGCTTATGGATTTTATAAAGACATTTCTTCAATAAACTGTTCCTGATAACACAAAATAACACAGAATAAACAACGTCTGATAAAAATATATATTATTCTTATCAATACAATGTTTTTTAAAAATTAATAATTGCATTTAAATTAAATTTAAATAACTTAATATTATATTTCTAGTATGGCACATTTGAAAAGTCTTGCGATTTCATGCATCTATTATTTGTGTAAATAAATAAAAAAAATAGTACATTAACATTATACAAATAAATAGAACATTATATATTATATAGTATTATAATCATATATCTTTCTGGTGAAGTGATTATTATTTTATATAAGGGCTGTTGTACATCTTCTGGGTAACGTTCAAAGTGACAGTGTGCTGTGAAATTGATCGTTCTCACCTTCACCACTGAGTTCCAGAAAGGGTGCATGACGTAGATAGAAAGGGGGTTTGAATCCACAGCGCTGTACTGTAAAGAAAAAGATGACAAGATATGCAGAATAAGACAACGCATTAACACCCAAGTCGACAAGCACCAATGTTGAAAAATGCTATCAGAGCATTTCTTCACTAGGAACTAATTTGTCATACTGTGACTGCTAACTTCAGAAGACATGATTAAATAGTAAACCACAATGACCCTGCTTGAAGGTTTTATTAAAATGACATTAAGTTTTTCACCTTGCATTAGCATTAAGGATTCTCTGATCAGGATTTTTACAGCCGATACTGAGCACCAATTCCCTGTCAATGTGATCAAACGATACCAAGTACTGATTTTGATGCTTCAAGTTTTATATAACTTTGCCATTGCATAAGGACATTTTTCCCTCTATGTATGAGATCTCGTCTCATCAAAGAGAATAAATTAAGGATGTTGCATACATGTAATGATCAGAAGCAACTTTACAAAAAATTATTAGAAACAGGTAGAAAAAAATGGTAAGAAAAATGACTGACAATTCGTAAACATTGCTCACATTTTGTAGCACTGTAGGGTTGTACACTCGTAAACAAACACTTGTGATTGGTTCATGAGATCGGCCAGATCATCAATCGAATCGTGAAATGTGATTATCGGCCGATTTCCTGCCGATCGATCGAAACATCCCTAATTAGCATGCATTTAAATATAACTCAAGATAGACCACTAATGTTTAGGTTTTGTCAAGACTCTTCCCTCATCTTTCATCACATTTTGCATCACTTCCTCTGGAATGCTTGGTATAATACAGTACTACTGAATAAATGAACCCATGCTATGTGGCTTACAAGCAGGCAGGAACGCAAGTGAATGCAAAGAGTAAGAAAATGCAGAAAAGAATGGAAACCTTGTTTTGGTAAATTTTCCAAGAAACATCCAAGAATGATCATGTGTTAAGTCAATAAGTAGAGATCGTGTGGTCTTTTGTGACCGTTCAAATGCATTTTGAACACATGACCATTTATACTAGTGCGTTGTAGTAGTTTTGTTTTACAATAAAAATGCTCCTCATCCAAACAGGTGTTGTCATTACGTTTCAGAAAAACTGTCAGTCCATACTATACATTCTAAAACGTATGACACATGACCATTCAGGCTTACTGGGCAAGCATATATAATATGCTGGCATCTGTACTTGCAGTCTATTGGTTGTGTAATGAGATGTCAAATGAGATGGTAACGCTACACAATAGTACAGACGACCAGTCAGAAAGTGATTGTGAATATATACACTACCATTTTTAAGTTTGCATTTTAGTCCTAGTCCTTAGTTTCCAAACTAGAAGATCTTTAGTTTCATTTTGCATGTCGAAGAAGCTGTAGTAGTATACACACTAGGTTAAAAAGTCTGTATTTCTAAACAAACACACACTAGTTTAAATGTCACCTAAGAAAACAATTTAATCTTTTTTTAACCATTTCAGAAAGTTAGTTATTAAGCACTTCAGACCCCGCTTAACACCCGTATTTAGCAACATCCATCTTAAAACATTTTATTAATAAGTGAAAACGGGGCCTAAATTTCTCATTCACTTCTTTTCAGATGGTTTGCAGCGAAGGAAAATATATTAAAATCTCCAAACCCAATTTAGAATAGCTGAAATGTAAATTATGTCTATCAAATTTCTTCTACTAATGTGTGCTGTGTTTCTGAATTGACTGGAGATCACTTTACACTTTCACTCCCCCTAAGCATATGTTCACTCTGACACATTTGAGGCTTTAGGATACGAACGACTGAAGCCCTGAAAACATCTGGATCTGAAAAGGTCTGAAAGAGAATCCCTGAAGCCTTGAAATGCATACTCTCCAAAAAAAAAAGCACAATTTAAGTAATTATTCCATTTTGACTGCATAAAAAATACATACTGTTTGGTTAAAATAATGTCAGAAAATGAATGTGCACAAAACTTTTAAAAATTTAAAAACTGTTAAAATGTAAATATTAATGTCATTTTGTTTCTGTTAATATAAAACACTGGTACAGGAACTTAGCAGTAGCAGTAAGTGTCAAAACAGTCAACATCGTAAGCTAGCATTAGTTCACACCTTATTTTGGTTGTCTTCTTTAAACACTGTGGTTCATAAATAACTTTGCATCGACATGTCACCAACCAGTCATTAGAGCACACGTAGTAGACCATCTATTTTCTGCTAATACTTTATTCTAATTTTCTTTCAACAGGGATTCTACACATCTTGGCCCTCTGGTCCACTTTCTATCTGGCATTAAAGGGATAGTTCACCCAAAAACTAAAATTCTGTCATTTACTCGCACTTTATTTATCACAAACTTTGAGTTTCTTTTTTCTGTTGAATAAAAAAATAAATTATTTTGAACAAAATCCAGAAATATGTTACTATTGACATCCATAGTATTAGTTTTTCCTACAATGGATAGTATTTGTCTTCATCATTTTTTCAGATATTTTTCAATACCTTCTTTTGTGCTCAACAGAGGAAATACACTCATAAAGGTTTGAAACCACTTGAGGGCGAGTAAATACATTTTTTTGTGGTGTAAACTTTTCCTTTAAGATGCACTTTCATCAACCTGATCACAAACAGACGACACTATACCAAAAAAAAAACTGCCACATTGTAAAGCCCGATAAGTAGGCCCACACAGAATCTGCACACACTGAAATCCGCAGATTTTTAGGTCATTATTGAGTCTTTTGGTTAATTTGAGTAAATGTGTGAAAATTTATATTTATTCAGTTTTTTTATTATTAATTTCACTAATAATATTGACTAATATGAAAGTGTTCATTTGATTTATTTACAATACAGTGGGTAAAGTAATATTTTCTGTCTTTTAGTAGATATATTGAGAGACTTGCTTCATTTAACAAATAAGTGGATCTAGATGGATTTGCATCGTAAACATTAAATAAAAGTGAAAAAGGTTGCATGTTTTATTTTATATATTAAATCTTTAGTTGTGATACTCCCAAAATAAATCTGCATAAATTCAAATATTTGTTACAAAATTCTCAGCATAAATAGCAAACAAATGTAAGCCGATTCGGTCTGGTTCTACCGATAAGTTAACTCTAACTGTTTGAGGAAACCAATTGTAACAAACCATTTAAGTTTTGAAACCAAATGGTCTGATATATGGAGTCATAAACACATATTATACATGTTGATAGTCAAACATTTAGAGTATTAGCAATTTAAACATTTTAAGTTCAGTTATTAGAACAAATTAAGCCCAAACAACTATACTCAAAATGTTTCTAGCATTAGAGTTAAGACATAAAACATAATTGATTCATAACTCAATTGGTTTAAGTTCTGCTTAATAAAAGCAATCAATAAGAGTTATATTAACTCATAAACTAAGTCAAAGTAACATTGTAAAATATTCATACATTAATCTAACTTCTAACTTCATTTAGTAATTTTCACTGTCAGATTTTGCAGTAAACTGTTGTCATTCAGTATAGCAGTGTAACATGAATTCCTTTACACAGTAGTAAGTGCACTAAAGGGGCACAACCAAATCTGAACAAAGGATGCATGTTAACATCAGATAGAAAAGGTAATGGATCTTGTATGTCCACCTGTGTTTAGACACTGAAAAGAAATCAACACCTGAACAATGAAAATTAGTGAACATTTGTCAACAACCAAATGTCTAAAATATATTTAACTGTACAGCATGAACAGAGGTAAAGAAACATACATTTTGCAAGAGGGGCTAGTCATGTACTGTATGTTCAACGTCCCCTACACATGTGCAAACATGCAGTGTAAAAATAGCACTTTACCAACGTAGCAGTCTGTACACTTAACAGCTCAAAACACTTGAAGTAAATAGATGCACCATATAAAGTCAAGAGGCCATTACAAGGAGGCATACAGGGTAAGCAACACTTTAATTCACAAGTTCTTTCACATAACCACTCAGAAAAGCACAAAACTGTGTCACACCCAGGAATTCAACCCCTCGACCCCTCAAGATCCACACCCATTTAACCAAACCATCATGTTCACAGATGCTGAACACCAACATTAATGTTAGTTAGTGACCAATACTGATTAATTGTATAGGTGTCCAAAAACTGATGTGGAAATGATTGTTTATTGTTTATTTCAACTAATATATAATCACACAGTAATAAAACATCATGTAATAAAAAACACATTTGCCGATTTTCTGAAATGTCTAACAGTATTCGGGTACAGATATTGAATAATAACAATGCAGGAAAAAAAGTTCTAAATACAGTTCTAAAGTCACCGGAAATTTTAAATCAAATTATTTGGCAAAATAATTCCTCTTGATCCCAGATTGTGTATTTTCCATATCTGTCATCTGAACTTTGATGTGACCTAACATTAAAGATTTCTGTTTACTTTATGTTTGCTGGAAGCTAAACATGTAATTGCGTGTTCTTGGGGAAAAAGAAGACAGTCCTGGTGTACCTCAGTGGATAAAGGGGATGATCTCTTGCCTTGCCTTAGAAAAGATAACCTATTTTTTGAAAAATAAAAATCATATATTTTGGTCTATTTGGAAAATATTCCATGACTTTTTGGAGAATCTAGATGGTGACTCTTTTCTTGAGCTGACAGACATTGAAAGTATATAGATTAGATAAATATGGTATTGCTGTATTACTTGATATTAGTGTTGTTATTTATTTATATATTTTTCAAAGTGTAATAAGTTATTTTGAACCTATATTATTCTTGCCATTTTTTGTTTTTGGATTACAATTTTTTTGCTAAGCTGAAAAATTATACCTGTAAATTTGTATGCCAATTTTTAAATAAAAATCGTTGTAAAAAATAATGCAAAAATGCTTTCCTTACTTTGCTTTGTCTCGTTATTTTGTCCAAAAATACTAGAAATTCTTAGATCAAGTTGTTTTGTTTTCAAAAATTATGTTTTTTCTTTAAACAAGCAAAATATTTACCGCTTTGAAATGTAGATATTTTTAATAATCTTTCCTAATTATTTTTTGGCATGAATAAATTCCTTATAAATATAGTAATTAAATACAATTCTGTAGCTCTTGGTCAACTTAACCCATACTCAACATTGTATATCTTGCGATGTTGACTATTTCGGATGGGCACATTGTGATATCGATGCTGAAACAATATATTATGCAGCCCTACAATATGTATTCTATTTTTGACAAAAACAAAACTAATGCTGCTAGTCATTTCAGTTAAAAATAATCAGATATTTTTGCATAAATTTTGGTGCACTATTAACTAAATTTGACATCCTCCTAGCTAATGATTTACACAAATTACACATTAAATTAGGGGTGCCCAAACTTTTTCGTATAAAGGGCCAACAACCAAATATCGTTGAGAACCATGAAGGTAAACATACCAAACTATTTTACATTTAAAAATAGTTTTTAAATGTAAAATTTAAAAGTTGATAATTTCTTAATTTATTAGAAACATTACTAATGTAGAATAATGTTTCAAATGATAAGATATTGCAATAAAAACATAAACAATCACATTTATAACAGAGTGGAGTTCAATGCTATCAAACATTAGCCGCCTTTGCCTTAATTTGTTCACGATCTATAGTGTGACAGTAAGTACATTTAAACTAAATCTGATTAATTTACTTGAAACATTTAATTTCAGTTAATTTTTAACAATAAACCAAACAAACAAAAGGTTGCATTAGATTTGAAATGACAATCTTGAAACCATCCCCATCCTTCTCCTCCTCTCCTCAGATGGGCCAAATCAAAGGTTACCATCGGCCAACAATATTTAAAATATTTTGAAACAGTAAACAAGTCAGACTAAATAATTAAAATTAATCATTGACTTCTGCTGTCTTCATTGGTTTCAGATTTCTTTACAATTAAAATTGGCATATTTGTATATCTTTTCTGCTGGAGACAATGTTGTCCTAAAAATCTTATTAAAATGTTATTAAAAAAATTTAAAAAAAATAAAATAAAAAAATCGTACACATACATTAGCAACAGTATAGCAGAAAATTTTGGTGGTTTTAAAACCTTGACTTTTCCAAACCGCAGTAAACCTTGAAAACAGTGATCATCTCATGCCTAGTTTGGGCATTTCTGCATTAAATAAACAAGTTATCTTTTCGGTTGTTGTTTTCTCTTGAACACACATGTCAATTATGTGATGAAAAACTTACAATTTCAGCATTATTCCTTCAGAAATCTTTCTAATATAGAAATTTGGTTTTCGAGAAACTATTTTTGTATTATAATTGATATAAGAAACTATTTGAAAGATAAATATGTCATATTGCCGTAAGTGTCTTATGTCTCATTTGATCATTCTAACACACATCCTTGCTCAATGAAGAAAGAATTTAATTTGTTAGCTTTTCCCTTTGCTTTTGTTTGTTAGTGTTTTGATTACCAGTATGTGCTTATTGGTTTCAATAAATAAATATTAGGTCTACTACAATTAACACACAGAGTAGCCAACCTAAAGCAATAAAGAAATAACTTACAGTGATAATATAAAAACTAGAATCATAAAAACAAGTAACAGCTCGCGTTTTTGCAAACAAGGAGGTTAATAATTGGATAAACAAAGAGCTTTGCATGTCAATCCTTTCAGGTGTTGCTGCTTGCTTCTGTAAGTTACCTCAGAAGACCTGACATTATACTCTACACCATTATCAACAGTTAAAATGTGAAAACAACCAATAATTCTAGTGAAAGCACAGAGTGATGTGACTCGCATGCAAATAATATCCATACATCCGTGTTGGAGGCGGAACCACGAGCCCATCCCTTCATAATTCAACATGATTTACAAGGTAACCAACAACAAGAAGCAGTTCAATCGGATAAAACCAAGCTGGAGGTCGTGTTTGCATTCAGCTGGCAAAACAACACAGTCGCATAATGTTTAAAACAGAAGATCTACTTTCACTGGCGGTTTCATGTCACAGTGACACACCGGTGAATTAACCGGTTAAATCCACGAGCGTGTCTCGTAAACCATTAAAAATGCTGTAATGACTAAACCGCGAATCAACTCATCAATCAAAATCTGAGGGCAAATACACCGTTTCTCTTTAAAGGTGGCAATAAGACGGCGTCGTCCTTTGCAGAGAGGCATTCACACCGGTAGACCTCATGCTGTCACGATAGCACGGTTTGGCTAACCGACACGCTAAACTCCTACACATTGAGGTGAATATTGTGAATAATTGCGGCCTCACCTTGTATTTATCAAAACCTGAGAGTTGTTCTTGCGTGACATAGTGGTAGAGAGCCATGATGACCGCAGCACGGCTCTGAGGAGACCCGAAATCCAGCACCCGTGTCTCGGCTCGGATCTCGGCGTTCGCAGTGGTGCGCGTGAGCGGTGGCAGTGCAGTGGTGGCGTGACGCAGAAACTCCGCCCACAACCAGACGCGCTGTTTCATAATAAAAGTACGCGTTAGAAATTGCCAAATAGATATTTACGAATGTATCTATGGAAAATTGCTATAAAACATTTTAAAGGTTGTATTTATTATTAGTTTTTATTGTCTTATAAGGTTTGTATGTGTAAAACAAAAACACTCGTTTCGATTTCTTTTGGAGACCACCCCGATACCAATGTAAACATACAACTTAATAAAAACGCACGCATTTTGTACTTTTGTTTAAAAAATAATGTAAAATATATATTCTAGACATGCACACTATTTGAAAAATATTTGATTGTAATGAGTACTGTAATGATTATTTATATATGATCATTAACAATTTTGGTATTATTTTTTATGTCACTACGGCCTCTCATGTAAATAAATATATAATAAAAACCCACGTATAAAGTATTTTGTTTAAAACTATGACGTGAAAATATCTCTTCTAAATATTTACAGTATTTGGCAAATATTTAGTATGTATTTTTCAATTTAAAACGTGTTTTTAACTTTTTTCATTTTAAGTATAATAAACTCTAGATGATGGATAATAAAGCCAAAAGTGTCTTCTTTCCAAAGATACAGGAACTGTGAAAGTAGACTAAAACTACTGTTTCTGGTAAACTTTTATAGTCCAAACACACCTAACTGTATAAAACAACTGTAAATATTGCACTGTACAAGTATTACCAAAATAATCATTCTCAGGTAGGTTGGTCTTCTAAGGTTTTTTTTACAAAAAATTAAAATAAACAAGCACATGAAATTATTATTTTTAAATGATTAGACAGATTAAACGCATTCGAAATATTACTTTTACATTGCAAACAGGGTCTTAAAAGTAAGTAGATTCCCCTCGCCTTGAACGACAAGACTTGGAATTTGAAGGTCAATGACATCTGAAAGATTGAAACCCCCTGCACTACACTATCTACCCACTAGAAGTCAGTAAATATTTATGAATGGAAAAATCAATCACAAACTTGATAGAAAGGTTATCATGCATGCTCACAATAAGTTATAACTTAAACCAAAAAGTTACTCATTTTCTATAATATGTAATGACGGTTTTTCTTTGCGTAAAGTTGACACGATTAAATACCGTTGGAGTGTGGCTTGATTTGAAACTTTCCTTTAAATCACATATTATTCATATTGTAAATAAAGTTAACCTTGGAGTTAGTTCCATACATCGGTGTAGACAATGTTTTTCATTTAGCGTTCGCAAGAAACCTGCTCTTCAACTCATTTCCAATTTTTGATTATTGTGATATTGTTTATCAGACTGCATCGAAATTAGATTTTGCTCCTCATAATACTTCATATAATAGACTTTGCAGATTTGTTCTGGGTTGTTTTTTTTACACACATCATTGTATAATGTATGATCTACTGCAGTGGTCATCTTTGTACACAAGGCATTTCACTGGCTTCAATTTATATTTATATGTAGCCTATTTATTTTAAGTATCCACATTATTTTCCTTAAATTATCAAGCAAGACATTTTGTTCAGATTTATTTTTTACCTGAGGATGTTATTATTTAAGTAGTGATTTGATTTATGGATTTTTGTATGTATATGTAGTTAAAGTCAGAATTATTAGCCCCCCTGAATTATTGGCGCCCCTGTTTATTTTTTTCTGCCAATTTCTGTTTAATAGAGAGATAAAGAAGATTTCTTTAACAAATTTCTAAGCATAATTGTTTTAATAACTCATTTCTGATAGCTGATTTATTTGATCTTTTCCATGATGACAGTAAATAATATTTTCCTAGATATTTATACAAGACACTTCTATGCAGCTTAAAGTGACATTTAAAGGCTTAACTGGGTATAGGTTAACTAGGCAGGTTAGGGTAATTGGGCAAGTTATTGTATAATGATGGTTTGTTCTGTAGACTATCGAAATAAAATGTAGCTTAAACGGGCAAATAATATTGACCCTAAAATGGTTTTAAAAAATTATTAACTGTTTTTATTGTAGCTGAAATAAAACAAATAAGACTCTTTCCAGAAGAAACATTATAATTATCAGACATACTGTGAAAATGTCCTTGCTCTGTTAAACATAATTTGGAAAATAATTAAAAAAGAAAAAAAAATCATTATAATTCAGATTTCAACTGTATACTACCCCTATTGTTAATGTTTTTGTGCGCGCGCGTGTGTGTGGGGGATGTTGTGTAATTTTATTTTGTTTTTGTCTTCTGGTGTTATTATTATGTGATTGTGATTAATTGTGGGACCTCCTAGAAAATAAGATGTAACAGTTGAAGTCAAAACTATTAGCCCCCGTTTGATTTTTTTTTTCTTTTATAAAGCTATATATAATATATATAATAGCTATATAAAGCTATATATTTTTTCGATTTTTTCTACAAAACAAAACATCATTATACAATAACTTGCGTAATTACCCTAACTTGCCTAGTTAACCTAATCAACCTAATTAAGACCTTAAATGTCACTAAAAGCTGTATATAAGTGTCTTGTATGAATATCTAGTCAAATATTATTTACTGTCATCATGGCAAAGATAAAATAAATCAGTTATTAGAAGTTAGTTATTAAAACTATTATGTTTAGAAATGTGTTGAAGAAAATCTTTCTGTCAAACAGAAATTGGGGGGAAAAATAAACAGGGGAGCTAATAATTCTTACTTTAACTGTGTATCTCAAGGGGGTTATCCCAATGAATAAATAAATAAATAAATAAATAAATAAATAAATAAATAACGTAGCCTACCATACCCTAGTGGAATAAAAGCATTTTTCATAAATCATTACGGTTTATATCCCACATTTATTATATAGCTTATTGGAATCACATAGGCCTACTTTTGTATTTCTCTGTTGTCACATAGACTTAGATGTAATTATAAATCACAATATTCAAACCAGCATTTTCCAAACCAAATGTTTTGGGAGGCTTTTGTCGCTACAAATGAAAACCAAAGCCTGAAACCTTGTTATAAGACATGTCTACAAATCAAATAAAAAGACACAATAATAGCCATGGATCAGTGTTTATTAACATGATAAAAAAGTTTTACATTTCATAAAGTTACAAAGGACAAAAAATAGTCGCTTGGACCCCTCTTAAACACAGACAATGAAAAACAGTTGACATTTATAAGGCATCTAACAACAATTTATTTTGCTACACTCATTCCTTAATGCATAACATAATAAAAACAATGAATACAATCGGATTATGTTTAAGAAATGTCTAAAATTGATAAAAAGTTCATCAAGGGTCTTAAAAATAAAAGCTTGCATAAATGTGGTATAAAAACATCTGGAACGGGAATCCTTGCACACTACCAACTTTATTCATTCTGTATTGGCTCTGTTATCACTTTTAATGCTAATAATAACCAATGTTGACACATTCCTGTATTCCTGTATTCATCCTGTTTTCAAAAATGCTAAAGCTGAAATATCTAATTCTAGGAGAGTTGTAAAATGAGCCTGTTTATAAAAAAGTGGAGTGTTCCTGTAACCCCAGTACAAGGAGGCAGCTTGTTTTTAAATGCTGATTTTAATGGAAATTCTGTGGAATGGATTTTAACATGATAAATTAAAGATGAATGAGTAATCAAGTAAGCCAAAATATATCGGGATCTCAAAAGGGGTGATATGTAGAAATACGTGAATGATCCATCCTGGCCTGCTGATCCCTTAAGCTTCCTGATGACTCCTATTAGACAAGTGGATCGCTTTTACCTCGAGATGGAGGGTGTTCGTGTGAACGAGGCTTGTTTTGACTGGGTCGAGAGTTTTTTTGTGAGGGTCGAGCGAAGCAGGATGTCAGAGAGCGTGAGCTGCAGTCACAGGCTCCTTCCTGACAAAGACAGGAGAAAGAATGAAGTTGTGGCTAAGTATTGACAAATAAAATCACATTCAGACAATAGCCCCTTTCACACAAACAGACTCTTCCAGAAAGTTACCCATAATTTTCTGTAAAGAAATCATGTGTGAACATGCCCTTTTAAAAAATATGGGTAAATTAATTTCAGCAGTTTTACAGATATTTTCTAGTATTACTCTGTGAACAGGGCTATGTTCTCTCGAAAAACACCTTATTTCATCTTATTATCATCTGTTTACCACTACTGATTTAAGACTCAATCCCCTTGTTAAGTAATGACGTATATAAAACTGTTTACAGCTCATTTGAATAAAAAAAAAAAAATTAGCTTATGACCACCAGTGGTGGAAAGATTACTGAAGAATCATACTCAAGTAAAAGTACCATTACTTAAAAAAGTAGTGCAAGTAGAGTAAAAGTATCTGTGGTAAATATTACTCAAAGTAGGAGTAAAAAGTAGCCCTTTTAAAAGTACTCATGAGTAGTGAGTAGTGTGTATTACGCTGTGAAAAGCTGATGCATGTAAATGTAATTTGTGCATTTGTGTGTAAACATAACATTCTGTAGTGCATGTAGTTATTGCCCAGCAGGCACACAATGTCATAGGACGTTAATAACCCACTTCAGCACTGAAAACCTTGAGGGTACCGCAGACAAAACTGCAAGTCAATGGTGCTAACACTAGCTTTCTGTATGTTTACCTCTTGTAAGATACATGTACTGTATTTGTGCTACTGATAATTAACTTTGTGATGGGTTAGACCCTACTTTGAAATTTAGCTCCCTCAAAAGGCATTACTAGAACTGAAACAGTTCCTCGTTCCTGCATAGTGAACATGCCAAAAAGTGGATGCTTCCATCCGTACTCAGACAGGAACTATGAAAAACTGTGCATTTGTTTTCGCAACATTTTCAGAGTCACTAGAATCCAAATGATTGTTGCACATTTTAAGTTCTGCTTTCTTAGTATGGAGCAATGATACAGCGAACAATATAAGTATCGCACACCTCACATCATCTAAAAAAAAACAACAACAACAATCAGAAAAACTAATTCTGTGCACTGTAAAAACAAATTTTAAAGAAAATCTGTATTTTTTTATAGTAATTTTTTGATATTTCAAATTCTATTCAAAACTAAAATGACAAACAATCTCTCTAAATTAACCATCAAATTAGTTTGACAGTTTGTCATTTTTGTTTTTTTTATTTATACAGTATTTTTTCCGTTATTTTAAACTATATTCAAAATTCCTCAAAAAATCTGTAAACTAACACTCTGCAATTAACAACAAAATTGCTGTGTGTACACAGTGCTTTTTCCTGATTTTTAAAAGTACATTTTAAGTTAGATAAAATTAAAGAAATAAATTAATAATAATAATAAATTTTATTTATATTGCGCTTTTCTTAGACTCAAAGCGCTAACAAGAGCATCAAAACACAGAAGAACATGAAATACACAAAAAGTAAGAATGATAATAATGGTAATACATATTAAAAGAAAGCCTCATACGTTATAAGCAATAATAAAAATATGAGTTTTAAGAAGTTTCCTATAACAGTCCAGGGAACTGGCGTTCCTGATGTTTGTGGGGAGAGCATTCCACAATTTAGGTGCCCGATAAGAAAATGGATCGATGCACAAGTTAACAGGCAACCAGTGTAACTGTTGAAGTACAGGGTTAATGTGAGAGCCAGATGATGTGTGGGTTAACACACGTGCAGCTGAGTTTTGAACTTATTGTAAAATCTTAAGTGAATCGGCTGGCAGACCCCCAAATAAAGAGATACAAAAATCTAAACGAGATGTAATAAAAGCATATAAATACTTCATACATAAGCAAGTAAATACTTGAAAATAATTGTAAATAATTGTAAATACTTGTGCACCTCGCTATATTAAAGTTTATGACCATGCTAACATTTTTTTAATTCTTGTAATTTTAAAGTTGTGAGAATTTCAGTAAGTTGTATCTTGTATGATGTTTTTTTTCCAGACTTTTTTGATCCACAATGAAACTGTTCAATTACAACATTGAGCATGCCTTGACATTTTATTAAAGGTGTTTAATTGTAATGATGTAGGGAAAACTCCTGTTAAAAAACATTGTTTTTCTTGAACTTTTAGTGCAATCACTTTATTTATGGTGTTCGATCATAATAATAATAGAAAAGTTTGTAAAATGACTGTTTCTTTGTAAAACTTTTAGTGTGTTACTTTATTGAAAGTATTTAATTGTAACAATATAAGAAAAGTCTGTAAAATAAGTGTTTTTCAGTAAACAAGTTAATAAAAATATCTGAACATTTATTATTTTTTGTATTTTATTTCAACAAAGAAATTTTACCGTAATTCTTTAGTTTTTGTTTGGCAACCGTAGCTGCCAGTCATTTGACCTTTTTACGATTTTTTTACAGTGTGTAATGACACAAGAAGAAAGTACTGAACTATTTGATACTTTATATAAAATGCTTTTTTACTGATGGCAGCTTAAAGACGCCTCTCATATGGAGAAGGAAGTCACATGCATTGCTCAGGTGTGAGTTTTTTTTTTGAAGTGTGACTTCAACAGAGTGTAAAATCTTGATGGTTCTGTAGGTCTCCTCTATCAAATCTTGAGAGTTTCCTTGGCTGTGTTTTGGATCATTGTCTAGTTGAAATGTCCACCCTGGTTTTATCTTCATCATTCTGGTAATATATATGTTGGACTGAAGCAGCTAATATTTATTTACAATGATGAAGATTTCAGCTGCGGTCTGGGTATTCACTGCCTTTCTACACCTCCCTTTCTTCATGTGTTTAATACTTTTCCCTGCATCATTTCATGTTATTATGTATGACTTAATAGTTTTGTTTTCATTGCATATATGGATTTCTTTGTTACCAACATCTGGGGAAAATTTCAAGTCAACAGCACCTTTAGAAATATGTTTTCTGAGAAAAATGGTGACGTGTTCAATACTTATTTTTCCTGCTGTATATCATTCCCACAGCATCAAACCTATCATCATGTGTTGAATGTGCTGATCTTTACTAACCTCCAAGCCCTTGTTCCTGCTGATTGAACCCTTGTCAGTTTGCCGCTGAGTTTGGGTCTGGCTCTGACACACAGCCTCTTCCTTTTGGTTTTGTTTCATAAACCTGCGGTTCACAATTTTGGTGATGCTATCATTTCGGACCACCGTCACCGCTGGAATTCGAGACGGGGGGTGTTCAGATTTCTTTGAACCCGCCGCCAGACTAACATGATCCCTTCGAGCCACTGGCGCTTTCTCCATCTCTATGTTGGTCTTCTCTCCTCGACCGCATACATTACGCAGGAACTCGTGAACCAGGCCGTACTTGTGCACTCCCACGTTTTTTCGGCCACCAGGTTTATCACTGGTCTGCATTGACACTGAGTTGGGCCTGTTGGATGGCGAAGCCCACAATCCACGCTCCTTCGTTCCATAATCCAGCCTGGAAGAAGCACTCAGAGATGAGGAGGATAAAGATGATGTGGTGAAAGAGGAAGACGACGAGACCGAAGTAGACGACGAAGACTTCAGAGATGAAGCAGAGTGTCTGCGTTGTATTTTCGGCGAGGTGTTATGAGGTTGAAACCGTTCTGAAACTCTTTCCAATGGTGCTGACGTTTGTTGGGTTCTTGTGGAAACAAACGAAGTGACACGGGGCGACCAGTGCTTTGCTGCGTAAAGATTTCGAGGTCCGTCGGTCTGTAGCCCAATTGTGGTCACCTGCGGTCGGGATTGAGTTTGAGTTCCTGTACTCGCAACACTCACCACTTTGCTCCCAAAATCCTTGGCTCTTTTCCTCTCTAAAGAGCTGGGTTGGAGAACGCTGGCAGTAATTTCCTTCATGTCATCACTCAGGTTGGCCGAGACGTCCATGCTATTGAAGGCTAACCGCGACGGAGACCCAATACTGGAGGTCCGCAGACCAGAAGAAGACTCAGAATCTCTCTCCATCAAACTTTGGCAGTCAAACGACAGGCTACGCAGCCAGTTTTCATACGTAGATACCCAATCTTGTTTTTCAAGGCCAGAGGAAGCGGCAGTGAAATGTGGTTGCTGGCTCTCCTCCTGCTCTTCCTCTTCTCCGGGTATCAGAGAGCTCATTTGGATTCTCTTTGCTGATGGTGGGCTGTAATAGATACGGATGCTGGTCCTCTCTGGAGCTGTGTGGCTTCTCGGAGTCAGTTCGTGGTTTAGGTTCAGTCCTGGGAAACTGGGAGGCATGATAGGACAGTCCCAAGTCTTGCAGGCGTCCTCTCGGTCAAGAAGGGCAGCTTCATGACTGAGGTACTTCCAGTTCTTGTTGGGTTTTGTCATGGCAGTTTTGAGAACCATCCTGTTGGGAAAGCAAACTCTTGAGTAATTAGCTTCAGTAAATTGAGAATGGAATATATGGCATGTGCAAACAAATTAATCAGGCTTACCTCTGCATATTTCCATCTTTTGACATCATCTTGTGTCTAGGAGTCTGAAAGTGGAAAGAAACACTATTGTTTGTGTATTCATGATTAATTAATTAGTAAAATCTTTCATTCATTCATTTTCCTTCAGCTTAGTCCCTTTATCATGGGTCGCCACAGTAGAATGAACCGCCAACTATTCAGGCATTTGTTTTACGCAGTGTATGCCCTTCCGGCTGCAACCCAGTACTGGGAAACACCCATACACTCTCATTCACACACACAATCCTGCAAATTTAGTTCATCATGTCTTTGGACTGTGGGGGAAACTGGAGCACCCGGAGGAGACCCACATGAACACGGGGAGAACATGCATACTCCACACTGAAATACCAGACTGAAATGACCCAGCTGGGACTCGAACCAGTGACCTTCTAGCTGTGAGATGACAGTGCTAACCACTGAGCTGCTAGTCAGTGCAATTTTACATTGAAGTCAGAGAGAGTCGAAAACGGTTAATACTTTTTCCAATTTATTGATAAACTTCGAACTGTACTTTGTACTTTGATGTATTTCAAACTGAAATGGAATATTGAGTTCTCTCATTGCAAACTAATGGTAAAAAGTGGTGTGGTTCAGGACATTGAAAAATAGTACAGTTGCTGTCGAAGCCCTTAAATTGACGTCAACAGAGGACCACCACTTGAAACATGAAAAGCAAATGGCGAGACTTTGAATAAAAATCTTTGTTTTGGTAATCAGTGTATTAATTTGCACTGATTAGTTAGGAATATTTTTATTATTATTTTATAAGATTAACAATTATTAAGGGACAGCACAGTGGCTCAGTGGTTTACACTGTCACCTCACAGCAAGAAAGTTGCTGGTTCAAATCCTGGCTGGGCCAGGAGGGTTTTTTGTATGGAGTTTGTGTGTTCTCCCCGTTTTGATTGGACTGTGGGGAAAACAGGAGCACCCAGAGGAAACCCCAAGACATGCTCTATAGGGGAATTGGTTTAACTCAATTGGCCTTTGTGTGTGTGTGTGTGTGTGTGTGTGTGTGTGTGTGTGTGTGTGTGTGTGTGTGTGTGTGTGTGTGTGTGTGTGTGTGTGTGTGTGTGTGTGAATGAATGAGCGCGTATGGGTGTTTCCCAATACTGGGTTGCAGCTGGAAGGGAATCTGTGGCAACCTCTGAAATAATAAGACTAAGCTGTAGGAAAATGAATGAATCAATGATTAATTCTTAAGAATAATATTCTGATCGATCAAAATGAACAGTAAATTTTAATTTTAGTCTTATTCATGAATTGAACGAATTTATAAAACTGAAAAATATTTTTGTACACAACATAATATGCAACCAAATCAGAAGATCACTCGTTGCATAAAACATATGCTGGATTGTTGGCGGTTCATTCCACTGTGCCGACCCTAGATTAATAAAGGGACTAAGCTGAAAAGAAAATGAATGAATGAATGAATGAATTATATTGATATTGTACTGTACAGTTTTAAGATTTTTTTTTTTTTGCTAGAAGGTAATAAATGTATTATAGTGAAAGTGAAAGATTTATAATTGTTGAAATTGTAAATCAAGTTCACTTTCCTTCGGCTTAGTCTCTATTTCAGCGGTTCAATCATTCATTCATTTTCTTTTCAGCTTAATCCCTTTATTCATCAGTGGTCGCCACAGCGGAATAAACCGCCAACTTATCCAGCATATGCTTTATGCAGCTGATGCCCTTCCAGCTGCAACCCAACACTGGGAAACACTCAAACACTCTTGCATTAACACTCATACACTACGGCCAATTTAGCTTATTCAATTCATGTATAGAGCATGTCTTTGGACTGTGGGGGAACTGGAGCACCCGGAGAGAACATGCAACCTCCACAACAAAATGCCAACTGACCCAGCCAGGGCTTGAACCAGCAACCTTCTTGCTGTGAGGTAATTGGGCTACCCACTGCCCCACCGTGATTTTCGAGATTGTACATCAAATTTAAAATGTAATTAAATGTAATTTAAATGTTTAAATATTTATTTATTTACATTCTTTTAATCAAAGAACTCTAAACAAACAAAAACAAAGAGATCGCATTAGTCAGAAAGACAAATTTAGTTTCTTAAAATGAATAACAAAACAAAAAAAACATTTAAAAGTAAAACAACTTATACAACTATTACTAAATGATGGTTAATGACTAAATTCTGATAATAAATTAAATTTGTGACATATACACAAATACATTTTTTTAAACAAATTTTTCATAAGCAATCAATAGTGGCAACCTTTAGCAGCAAAATATCTCAGACCTACAGTATAATTTAGGCATGGGAAATTCTTCTCATATTACTTGGAGCTAAGCTTTTTAATATAGACAGTAATCACTGTCTTATGTAGAGAAAGTGTGTCAGAGAAGCAGTTAGGGATTACAGGAAAGAAAACAGCAAGAAAACCCTTGGATCAAGAAAAACATATTGAAAACATTCCTCAGCTCTCCAATCCAGGCTTTACTTAACCCCGGCAAAGAACTGACACTGTCTGCATTCCGCTTTTATTCTTAGCCTCTATGATAATGAACAGGATATATTGTGATCAAACGGAAGAACAAAAACTCCTGTCAGGGTGAAGTAAAACAATATCATATCATCCAAAAATAGAACATAATATCTAAAATAATTCATTTGTTCTTCTCAATCCTGCTTCCTCAGTTCTCTCTCTCCCCCATTTACTGTAAAGGAAAGTAAACTCCTTATTTGAACTTCAGCTGAGCCTTGATAAGTCTCTCTGTGGTCCCTGTGGTTTGGCTAAGCCCTTTTCAGAGTCAGAAGTTGTGATTGAAGCTGATGTCTGCACTCCGCCTGCTGTCCTACAGTCCCAAAAGGGGATTAGCCTAAATTCTGTTGCCATGTGGGCCGTTCACACAAACTCACTCACAGGACGGTCCCAAATCTCTAACCTCTGCCGCTCCAGTTGGACTGTGAATTAAAAGTCATTTGGAGAGTATTTTGTATTATAATGCATATGTTTAAGCTGAATTAGATACACAATTAGGAGAATTAGAAATTGCATTAGAGAAAAAGGCGTTTTAAATAGCAGTGATCAAGTATTTTAATAATGTTATTACCTCGGGTAAAAAGAGCATATACTGTAATGCTCAAAAGTATAAAGTTACAAAATATTATTATTACTTTTATTATTTGTTGCTGCTTGAAACTCTTGGATGAATATAATTTGTTGTGAATTCTGCATATTACAACTGAATGTATATTTGTAAAAGTAAAAGATTTAACTTCTCCATAAAAAAGGTAGTTTAGGTCATGAATGCCACAAAAGAACTACATCTGCCTAACCATATATATTAATATATATAGAATGAACAATATGGTCTTATATATGAAGAGTTTGGAAGCAAAAGCCTCCAAATGCCATCTGAGATTTTCTTCTAAAATAAACATTTTTTTCTCAGCTTGTTGTGTTTATGTTCAGTTTTTTTCACTTTAAAGGCAATGAAAATGACGTATTCATTACCATCAAATGAAATACCAGCTCATAAACACAGGATACTGAAAGAAAATGCTCATTTTAAAATAAATTTTCAGATGGCACTTGGAGGCTTTTGCATCTAAACTTTTCATTTTAAGATTTGTTAAGGCATTAGATTTCATGAATTAATAATGAACAATAGTTTTACATAATTTATTAAATCTGGAAATCATAATCACCGTATGCTGCTCCTAAAGACCAATGTATTTTTTGGCAAATCATTCAGAAGTTTTGTTGTTTTTAAATATATCCTGACCACTAGGTGCTGCTGTACGTACTATGCAGATCACCTGCTTTGACTAATGAACTTTTTGTTGGCATAGTCGGAAAGTGTTTTGGTCTGATTTTCTAAAACTGGGTTGGGCTGTCTGATTTTTTTTGATCCTCAAATGGTTCAGATCTTACCTTGAAGGTAGAGCTTACTATGTCAGTATAGGTGACCATAGGTCAAGGTGGACACCCATGACATGAGGAGTCCCACAAGGCTCGATTCTGGCAGAAAAATTCTCGAAATTCCCTACTACAGCTATGCTGATGACTCTCAGATCTATTTTGCCTTACTGCCTAATGACTACAGCCTCACTGACACCCTCTGCCAGTGCATTGATGAAATTAACAGTTGGATGTGCCAAAACTTTCTTCAGTTAAACAAAAAGAAAACTGAAGTCAGTGCATTTGGGAACAGAGATGAGGTTCTCAAGGTGAATGCAGACCTTGGCTCTAAAGGTCAAACAACAAAAAATAAGGTCAAGAATCTTGGTGTGACTCTGGAGTCAGATCTGAGTTTTAGTAGTCATGTCAAAGTAGTTAGTACATCAGCATACTATCATCTCTAAAACATTGCAAGAATCAGATGCTTTGTTTCCAGTGAAGATTTAGAGAAACCTTTTCATGCTTTTATCAGCAGCAGGGTGGATTACTGTAACGGCCTCCTCACTGGCCTTCCCAAAAACACAGTCAGACAGTTGCAGCTCATCAAGAACACTGCGGCCAGGATTTTGACCAGAACCAGGAAATCAGAGCACATCACACCTGTCCTCGGGTCTTTACACTGGCTCCCAGTTACATTCAGAATAGAATTTAAAGTATTATTACTGGTCTATAAATCACTAAATGGCCTAGGACCTCAATATATTACAGATATGCTCACTGAATACAAACCTAACAGATCCCCCAGATCTTTAAGATCACATAAACTAGAAATTCCAAGAGTTCAGTCAAAGCAGGGTGAATCGGCTTTAAGCTACTACGTACGCCCCTCACTGCTGGAAACAGCTTCAAGAAATGATGAGATGTGCTCCAACATTAGGCACATTTAAATCGAGACTGAAAACACATCTGTTTAGCTGTGCCTTTACTGAATGAGCACTGTGCTATGTCTGACAGATCGCACTATTATGTCTTTCTTTTCTTTTTCATTCTTTTATAACCTGTTTTATCACATTTTAATCTGTTATTATCGGTTCTTAATCATTTTTATTATTTTTTCCTATACTTGTCTTTTTTATTCTTGTTTAAGTAAAGCACTTTAAATTGCCATTATGTATGAAATGTGCTACATAAATAACCTTGCCTTGCCTTAAAAACAGAAATGTTTAATGTCTAAATGTCTTTATGTTTAATAACTCTACCTGTGAGCTAATTTTCACTACAAAGTGCTCTATTGGCTGCCAATGGTGGAAGAAAGAAGAAAAATGACAATGATTACACCAAGTTAAAGTTTAGAGGAACTGGAATTTGCTGAAGTACTGCCATTACACATATTAATTAAATGGTCAGATTTGGATCAAAAATTACCAAAACAAGCAGGTTTTTTTTGTGGATTATTGTTCACCTTAAGACTTACAATATACACATTGTACTATACATATGATTTAATGTCATTTAATAGTATTAGAACCTAATTAACATGATCATTTATCATATAAAGAAGAATAAATAATGAATACATTTTCTTTTTTCAGTGAATTATCCTGCAAAATGTTAACTAATAACATTGTTTTATTTCTAATGTTTAAACGTTGTCTAATGTTTAATGTTAACAATCTGAAGTTTATATTTATTGTTACCTAAAAAATAGTAAAATAGTAAAAATATTTTAAATAGTTCCAATAATAAAACAGTAACAAAAACACACCATGCAAAACTTTTTAACCTTTGTACAAATCATGTTATAGCATGTTATATGCATTATAAACACGCTTTACAATAAGGTTTCATTAGTTAATGTATTTACTTACAGGAACTAATTACGTGTACAGCATTTATTAATCATAGTTCAACATTTACTAACGCATTACTAACATCCAAATTCATGCTTGTTAACAGTGCTGTTAAGTTAGTTAATGCACTGTGAGTTAACATGAACTAACAAACAACTGTATTTCCATTAACTAATGTGAACAAATACTGTAATAAATGTATTGTTCGTTGTTTGTTTGCATTAGTAAATGCACTAACATTAACTAATACAACCTTATTGTAAAGTGTTACCTACTGCATACGCCTTCTATGCATGTGTAATTTCAGACTATATTACACTCATTTGTGGTCTGACCTGCACTTCTCCATTGTGCTGAGCTGTCTTTGAGACGTCCTGCTCCAGTTTCTTGTGGTTGAGGTGCTCTAGCAGCTCCCGCCGCTCAGAGCTCCATCTGCTCTCTCGGACCTTCAGCTGTCTGGTCAGGTCCATCACTGCAGTGTAGGACTCTGCTAACAGCTGCTGGAGCTTCTCAACATGTGCCTTCTGCAAAGCTGCATTCAGGTCTGATGGACACTTGACTCCGGTGTTCACAGATGGACCCTCCAGCTAGAGCCAAACATAAACAACTTAGTGAACCTTCTGATTTTTAATTTCCTCTGTAAGCCCCTACAGCTCAAAAAAATGAAGAGCTGATGACAGAATCAGGCAGCAGATTCATTGATGCTCTCCAAAGAGAACGTAAACTCAATTTTTGGATTTTACCCTGTTTATGAGACTCTTCAGCTCTGCACACTCCACGGCCCAGGATGCTTTTGCATTTGCAAATTGATGGACGACACATTGGGAGGCTCTGTGCTGCTCCCAAAGTTCAGAGAACAGATCCTGCAGGGCCGTCCTCAAGTCTGAGAGCAGGACACTGTTCATCTGAGAGAGAAAAATACACAGGATTTGATCTACACTGTAAAAAATAAATGTTATTTTACAGGTATTTGTCTGTATTTTTTACAGAATTGTCCAATTTTTTCATTATACAGTGAAATACCTGTTGTTTTACAGATATTTTCTGTAATAAAAAATTCTGACATTAAATTTACAGTTATTGCTTGTATTTTGGTATTACTTTATTTTTCAGTTTTTATAGGAAATTTTCTGCATTTTCAGAGAGTAACACGTAATTTTAGATTAATATTTACAGATTATTCCTGTAAAAATAGGGAAACAAATCCAACAAATAGGGAAACAAATTCCTGTAGAAACAAATCCACAGTGGCTGTGGATTGCTGGAAAACTACACACACGCTACTTAAAGGAACTACAACTCCCATCATGCACCTCGCACACCTGGGTTCCTAATTCTGACTGATTACACACAGTCAGAAGATCGTTATGGACAGATTACAAGAACTATAAACTTGTCACACAACCAGCGATCGCTTCCCAGAGGATCGCTGGTTCTCACACGAACTCTCATGACTACATTTCCGCATTTCCCAGGACTACATTTTCATACATGCACTGCTCCCAAACACGCACGCCTGCTCATTCATCTATCCTGATTGCAATCACCAGCTGGACCTTGTTCACAGACTGATATCACTCCATTCATAAGCCACTCATTCACGCTTCCAGTTGGCCGAGTCTTGTTTGCTTTCTAGTGACATTACAACGCGTTTCCCTGTCTTGTTTCTCCGTGTCTCGATCCTAGCCTTGTACCCTTGTTATCCTGTTTAGCCGCCTGCCTTTGACCCTTTGCCTGTTTAACGATTAAGATTCTGGACTGCCTTAATATACCCTTTTGCACCTGATGACCACTGCTTGCCTGACATTGAATAAACTGCATATTGGATCTTCCCTCCTGTTGTCTCCTGTCACTCCACCCAGTCGGTAACAAAACTAAGCAAACAGACACATCATTGCTGAGTCTTGTTAAACTGTTTAGTAAGCATTATGATGCGTTTTCCTTTTCCTTGCCGTGTTTGACCCCTTTACTTTGTTATTTTGTTTGCTGCCTTTACGCCTGGAATTATCTGTATATGCACCTGTTTGTTCCTGTTTCAACTTTTAATTGCAAGGCGATTCTCCTAATAAACTGCTATTTGATCTTCTGTTGTACAGGCGTCCTCACATGACACTAACCTTGTTTTTGTTGTTAAACATTGACCAAATGTGTTCTTTTTCACAAAAAAAAAAAAAAAAAGAAATGAAAAAACTAGATATATAACAGTTTTATATTTTTTCCAAGCAAATTGTTTTGGAGTTCAACCTACAGTACATATCCTAAAAATATGTTAAAATACATTATTATTATTATATTTACAGTGTTTTATGACAACAAATTATTTGTACCTAAGTTTTTTTATCATTCTTTATTATTTTTTTCTGTTTTAAAATGTTTAAAGTGGAAAATTTTATGAAATATTTAGAGATTTCATGCATAATTACATGAAATAATCTGTATAAATCACATTAATTTGTATAATTACAGTAATAACCTGTATAATTGGAGTAATGATATTTAAAATCACATTTATCGATAAATACAATTATAAATTATATATTTACAGTAATAATTAGCAAAATTACAGTAATAATCTGTATAATTAGTAAAATGGCAGTAACTACCAGTTTAAAAAAAAAATTCTGTTTAAATGCAAATTATCAACAGTAATAAATTGTAATTTAATGAATTTTACGTACGGTATGTTCTGTATTTTAACAGTTTTCGCTTGTAATTGTGTTAAATGGTTATTTTTAGTAATTTAACGGAATATCTCTTGAAGCCCTGTCAACTTTTTTTGGTAGTAGTTTGGTAATACATGCTTCAGTGAATCAAATTTATGAATGTATTTAAATGACATCTAATTTATTAATATAATCTATACGTTTTCAGTGTTTCGAGGGATTTTTATGAGATTACTAGGTCAAACCATACAAATGATGTATCTAATTTTTCTTTTTTTTAGGCTACATGCCGATTTAAACACCTATTTTAAAAACGTGTTTTGTGAATACTGATGTCTGACTAAAATACTACAGTACATGCCTATCGGTGCTCTAGAACTGCCAGTTTCAGACTGCTGAATGATGCTTTCCTAGCACTGACTGGCGCATTATGCATTCACAATGGTACAAATCTTTTATGTGAAGCTGCTTGACACAATCCACATTGTAAAAGTGCTATACAAATAAAGATGAACTGAATTGAATAAACCTTTATGGAATAAAACATCTTGTTTTGATGTCCTTCAGGGGGAAGCAAGTTTTTATTAAGGGGGGGGGGCATCCTCCTTTTCCATACCTGACTGTTGCACTTCTCTTGCAGGTTGTACTTGCACGCTGTGTCCTTTAAGAGGTGAAGATCATTCTGACAATACACCTAAAATGAAAAGATATATCATAAAACTGGGTGTTTATAAGTGAAATAAACACCATCTTAATAATTATTGTATTAAAAAACAAAACATCACAACAAACTATATTTCCACTAATCAAGTTAAAAAGAGTCAATTACTGCACATGCAATGTGATAGTGTTGTTGAATTCCTGAGTCACTTTTATTAAATAATTTTAATTATTTTCACGTTTTTGTTACTTTTGTAGGTGATTTCAGTCATTTCAGTGCAATTTTGTTTTTGTTATGTATTAGTTCTTTTTAGTTAGACATTGAATTAAATAAAAAATAAGTGGAATTTAAACTAACAAAAGATGTTTTTGTTTATTGATTTACCATAATAACTGCATATGCAATGTGTGGAAAAAAAAGAATTATAGAATAATAAAAATATTAAGTATTTCATGGAAGAAACTGAAAATGATGCACAAAAAATCTATACACTGTGTATTGGGTCAAACCATGCATATAAAATTAATATAGATTTAGTTTGATAGTTAAAATAACATGTGAAATAATTGAGAACATTAGAATAAGGCTTGAATTAAGCACAGATTATCTCTGTATAATATTAGCTCAAATCTCTAAAATAAGCACCGTAAATTTGCATTAACTGGTAAAAATGTCATTTGTCAAATGTCATTGATATGATATAATGAAACATATAATGAGAGCATGTGTACATACAGTGCTCAGCATAATAGAGTACACCACATTTTGATGGGTAATGATTTTATCTATTTCTCAATGAACATAGGCAATGTATTTTGGTGGATTTCAACGAAACAGATTTATTAAACAGATATATTCATTAAAATAATATTTTAGTCACCAAACATATTTAGAAATTGAAGGATAATACAATTAAATTCAAGCAAAATATTGCAAAATATTACAAAAAAACCCCTACAAAATTTCAACTAAACTTTCGTTTATCCTCTTATTAATCTTGATTTTTTTTCTTCTTAATTACTTCTTTTTTAATTTTGTATTTAATATTTTACTATACCAAATAAATTTGGCTGTACTAGTTTTCTGACTGTTATCGTAAGTTATTTTGTTAGATAAACTCCAGATTTGGCTTCAGTACTGACCAATCTGATGTGCAAAAATATAATATTGTATAGCTTCTTATTAAAAAATATGAACTTAAAAGGGAGATTTCTGAGGGGTGTACTTATATATGCAAGTTTTGCACATTGCAAGTGGGCAAAGTAACTAAGTGAAAGTCTGTTTTCCAACTGTTTCAACTGCAAACATTAATAAAGATGCATAACAGCAACAGAAACGCTGTAGTTCAGTTTACCTCAAACAGCGTCTTCCCGTCTCCAACAGATCTCTCTCCCTGCTGCCACTGCTGGATGAACCATCTGAGCTGCAGGGTGAGCAGTATCAAGCTGTCCTCGCTGCACCCAGTTACCCCATTTCCTTCACAATGACATTCTTGTCTCGCTTGACTCTTTGCATCCTCTTTCACTGCCTTTACATCTTCACCAACATTGAATATATTCTTATCTGTAACAGGCTCAGAGTTTTCTGAGTTCAACAGCACCTCTAACTTTTCAATAAGAGCACACAACTGAGCTTGTAACACCTCTAGTCCGTTGGTCAAGGGACTCAACATGGGATCTAAAATCCATTGATGCGTCTTGCACTGAGGATCTACTGATGTTTTGTTTGAATATGGAGCACCAGGAGCTGTCTTATGGGTACATGTTAGAGACATGCCATTTGTTGCTGGTGCCATTAGGAACTGAATAGCTGATCTAACAAGCAGTGCCTGGTCATGGATGGCAAGAAGACCTTCTAGATCCTTCACACCAAACGTAAATTCTGACTTACATTGACTTTCTCCATCTTCCTCTTTAGTCTCCATTGAAAGCTCCTGTTCCCCTCCGATCGGCCCTTCTCTGAGCATTTGGCTGATAGAGGAGGTCTCTGCATGTTCATGCATCTGGTTCTCCTGTGTATTATTGTGATTACTCACTGGATCTGCTTTCTCTTTACCATCCATACCTCTAAGCATCTCCTCCTGCTCTCCATTGCGGAGAGGCAATGCTGACCCTTCACCTGCACCCTTCATCACTTCATCTTCTTCCAAACTTCCTCCTCGTTCACGTAGTTCACTCATCTCTGCCCGCAACCCACGGTTCTCCACCTCCAGCTCCACAATTCGACGACTCAGCAGCGTGGCTTCCTCTTCCACCAGTCGCAAGTGAACTTTGACCTCTGCTTCTCGAGTGTGGGTGGAGTTAGTGGCACCGGCTGCTGCCTGGGTTTCATCCACCTCACCGTAAAGCAGACGATATTTGGCCAGCTGCTCCCGCATCGTCTCGCTCTCCAGCGCCATCTTGGTTAGCTTCTTGCACATCAGCGCAGACTCTTCTTTGGCAAAGTGGAGCTGGCATTTCAAATCAGCACTGTCATCCTGCGGAGGACACAAGTGTGTTTAGCTTAAATCAAACCATGTTTATGTTTTACTAAAATTTTTGAGTCTGGCTGCAGACCTCTAGGCCTCGACATATTATAGTAGTTAAACCATCGCAGCATATTTACTGGAAATGCAAATCATTCAAACCAGGCTCATTGGAAATACATTCCTCGGCCTACATTTTTGCTAAATGTTGGATATGTTGCTCTGGGAACGTTTTGATGCAGGTTTCAGCAACACGCCCTTCTTTTACATATCGTGTGGTGCTTGTCGTAGAGATCACTTAACAAAACACTAACCTAAACTCTTCCCTACACCCCACTAGTAGTGTATTCAAAACCAAATGAATGAAAAAAGGGACCATGGCCACATAGCTTTACCTTGATTTTACATTGCTTTTATCTCTTTTGTGGTATAATAATAATAATAGTAATAATAACTCCTTACATTTATATATTGGACACTCAAAGTGCTTTACACATTTTTGGGGGCAATTCCCTCAGTCATCACCAGTGTGCAGCATCCACCTGGATGAAACGACGGCAACCATATTGCACTAGACCACACACCAGTTGATTGGTGGAGAGGAGACGAAGCCAATTATGATACGAGGATGGTTAGGAGAGGCCATAATGGAGAGAGGCCACTGGGCAAATTTGGCCAGGATGCCAGGGTTAAGCCACATACATCTTGAGATTTTTAACGACCACCTCGGTTTAACGCATCATCTGAAAGATGGGACTCACTGAGCACTATAGAGTCCCCATCAATATACTGGAGTGTTAGGACCCACACAGACCGCAGGTTGAGCGCCCCCAGGCAGCAACCTAGTTTTCCCATGTGGTGTCCCATCCAGGTGCTGACTGGGCACAGCCCTGCTTCGCTTCAGTGGGCGACAATGTGAAAGTTGCAGAGAGCTAGCTGCCAGCAAGGGGAGGCAAACCTAATTTATTACAAATCACAGACAGCGTTAAGTTGTTTTGTGGTATTTATTTGGTGTTGTGCAAAGAACTGAATAAAGCTAATCTTTTAGTCATCGATAATTTGTCTCTGTCAATATCATTAATGTGAAATTAAGCAAAATGTGTGGTCGTAATACTGCTCTGTATTCATTTTACCCTGAAACGTTTAATGTTAACGTTTGTTAAGGTATGTTCTTGCAAAATTACAGTTAAATTTTAATTGTGAAATTAAAGGTAATTGTAAAATTGAAGTCTAATTTGTATTATGGTTTTATTTTCTTTGCTTTGGGATATTTCTCAGTGTCAGATAAAAATAAAATTTCTAGAACAATTTGAACTTAGTAGTAAACATTTCTAGTGGATCAAAACCTTTTATCAGAGTTATCCTAAAACTTTCAAACACCCATTCTTGTCTTAGGACAATTTTGAAACCTTTTTTGATCCACTTCAGATGTTGACTGCTGCATTCTCAAACTACTAAACCCAACAAGTGATGTAGTGCCTTGTCCACATCATCCAGTCCAGGTAAAAGTGTTCCTCTTTTAATTTGATAAAATGTCAAATGGTTTTGGTTAATTTATTCAATAGATTAGGCCATGCACAATGCACATTATTGGTTCTCTGTTGAAAATTCTTAATCCCCAAAACATCTTTGCATTTGACAAATGCACAAATCAATGGAAATAAATATTACATCTCTAAGAGATCTTTATGTGTGCATAAAGTGTGTCCTGAATTGATAAAGGGGCATTTAAGGGGAATGTAAAGCATTAAATCAACCAGTTCACCAAAATAGCTCAGAGTTGCGTCTCATGAACCTTCAGTTGGCAAACATACAATCAGGGTTAACAGCCAGGAAATTTAAAAGGATTAAGGACACTGTATGTGGTGGAAGTGCAGGACAAGCAAAACAGGAAAATGTAGAAAAGCCCAAGGATAAAGAATTGCTTACAATTAAATAAAGATCACTACTGTGGATCGCAATCTTAATCATGACCATACAGTGATTTTTCAAACATATATATGTAATATTTGTATAATATATGTATATTTGTAGTCACACTTACTGTAATTCTTCATATTACAATAAATAATTTTACATTATACAAATAAAAATAGTTAATACAGATACAGTGGGGAAAATATGTATTCAAACTTATCACCATTTTTCTCAGAAAACATATTTCTAAAGGTGCCATTGACTTGAGATTTTCCCCAGATGTGGGCAACAACCAAAGAAATTCAAATACGCCAAGAAAACAAATCTAATTAGTTTACAAATTAAGTTATGCCTAATAAAATGAAATAACACAGGGAAAAAAGTACTGAACACATGAATAAAGGGAGGTGTAGAAAGGCAGTGAAAGCCCAGACAGCAGCTGAAATCTCTCAGTAGTTGTTCAGCATTCATTATTTATTGTAAATTAATATTAGCTGCTTCAGTCCTACATCAATGTCATCAGAATGATGAAGATGAAACTAAAGTGGACATTTCAGCAAGATAATGACGCACTCCTAAACGCTTTCAGAGAAAGAAAATCAAGCGGCAGAATGGCCCAGCCAATCACCCGAATTAAATCCAATAGAAAATACAAAATAAAGATCAGATTTGATAGATGAGACTCACAGAACCATCAAGATTTTTAAACTCTGTGAAAAAAAACTCACACCTGAACAACTCATGTGACTATTCTCCATATGAGAGGCATCTTTAAGCTGCTGTCACCAAAGCGTTTTATATTAAATACATTTTAGTAGTTCAGTACTTTCTCCTAGTTTCATTTTATTGTTATTTCAGAACTTATTTTTCAGTTTTTTTTTTTTTTTTTTTTAATATGTATGTGTGTATTGTTTGGGTTTTTATCCAAATCTGGTTTAATTCCATGTCAACAGTCCCTTTAAAAATATTATTCCTAGGAAAAAACATGACATGTTCAATACTTATTTTCCCTGCTGTACATACAGTACCATTTACATATTTATATATACCACATACAATGTGTACATTTGTAATGTTGAAATCAATGTGCATGAATGTTGTTTCTATAGCAAGACCAACACCAAACCAGCACTAAACCTACACATATCAGTCATGAACACTAATGAGATTCTCACCTGTGGAGAGAGCTTCTTTTCACTCTTGCTGGATGTTGATCTCAAACTTCTTCTCTTCAGAGAATTCTGTGAATGCACCATATACATAATAAGTCCAAATACATTTCAAAAGCTTACATAAATAGCACATGATACAAGTAATGGATAACCTATGCATAACAAGCTTATGTCCTCCTAAGGGCAGGAACGTTCATTTGAGATATGTTCAGCATAGATGTTATTTTCCATCATACCACTGTCCAGTGCATTCCAGTACCCAATGAAATCTGTGACTAAGGAAAGTATGCACCCAATAAACACATTCGATCATGTTCGTGTAGTGAGATGGCAACTACTACACCAAACATCCACACTGCTCGAGGTATGTCAAGAATGCTGGCTACAGTCAGTCTATCGGCCTACTGCTTTGTCGAACCCTTAAAAGAACAAATCGCAGAGGCGGAGCATGCAGACGTATTGTGAAAACTGTAAAAATAACCACACTCGTTCCATCCAAACCAAAAATGAACGAACATAAATGATTACTGTTAAATGCCTTGCTGTTAAATTTACAGCTTGTAGCTTTTGAGATTGTAAATCAGCAGTTCATCTTGTGGTTAAAGACTGCAAGAGATTTGACTCTAATAAAAAGGATTGATTTGTAGATCATCATGTTTCAGGTAGTGTCAGGCTCACACACACACACACGAGGCCTTGATAATCTGCTGAGGATCAGGAATGGCCAGCAGCTGTCTGAGCTGAGCTTCTGCGATCCACTTCTAAGCACTGAATCCTGGATTAAACTGAATGCGTGCCGATATTAAAGACCTACAGGTCTTCATTGCCAATTTTTTTTTGTAAAGATGTATTTATTGGGGAATAGTCGCACAAGAATGAAATTTGGAGGCCTGAGATGTGAATTCGGTAACACTTCAGTAGGGAGCAACTGTCACTGTTAACTTATTAGCATGCCTATTATAAAGATATTAGTGGTTTATTAGTACTAACAGTATAAAGCACATATTCTATGATATTTCATACAGTGCATGCGGAAAGTATTTAAAGCGCTTTAATTTTTCCACATTTATTTATGTTACAGCTTTATTCCGAAATGGATTAAATTAATTTATTTCTTCCAAATTCTACACTCAATACCCCATAATGACAATGTGAAATAAGTTTTGTTGAAATTGTTGCAAATTAATTTAACATAAAGCTGAAAAATCACATGTATATAAGTATTTTTAGCCTTTGCTCAATACTTTGTTGATGCACCTTTGGCAGCAATAACAGCCTTAAGTCTTCGAATATGATGCCACAAGCTTGGCACACGTGTCTTTGGGATTTTTGCCCATTTCTTTTTGCAGACCCTCTCAAGCTTTATCAGATTGGATGGGAAGCAATTTCAGATCTCTCCAGAGATGTTCAGTAGGATTTAGGTCTGGGCTCTGGCTGAGCCACTCAAGGACATTCACTGAGTTGTTGTGAAGCCACTCCATTGATATTTTGGCGGTGTACTTTGGGTCATTGTCCTGCTGGAAGATGAACCGTCGCCCCAGTCTGAGGTCAAGAGCAGTCTGAAGCAGGTTGATATTTCCCTCTATCCTGACTAGTGTTCCTGTTCCTGCTGCTGAAAAACATCCCCACCGCATGATGCTGCCACCCCAATGCTTCACTGTAGGTATGGTATTAGCCTGGTGATGAGCGGTGCCGTGTTTTCTCCAATTGTAACACCTGGCATTCACTCCAAAGAGTTCAATTTTAGTCTCATCAGATCAGAGAATTTTGTTACTTATTGTGTGAGAGTCCTTCAGATGCCTTTTGGCAAATTTCAGGTGGGCTGCTATGTATCGTCTGGCCACTCTACCAAACAGGCCTGATTGGTGGATTGCTGCACAGATGGTTGTCCTTCTGTAAGGTTCTTCTCTCTCCACAGAAGAATGCTGGAGCTCAGACAGAGTGATCATCGGGTTATTGACCACATCCCTGACTAAGGTCCTCCCCGATCACTCAGATTAGATGACTGGCCAGCTCAAGGAAGAGTCCTGGTGGTTCTAAACATCTGCCATTTATGGATGATGGAGGCCACTTTGCTTACTGGAACTTCCAGAGCAGCAGAAATTTTTCTGTAACCTTTTCCAGTCTTGCGCCTTGAGACAATCCTATCTTGGAGGTCTACAGACAATTCCTTTGTTTTCATGCTTGGTTTGTGCTTTGACATGCACAGTCAACCCTGGGACCTTAATTAGACAGGTGTATGCCTTTTCAAATCATGTCCAATCAAATGAATTTACCACAGGTGAACTCCAATTAAGCTGCTGAAACATCTCAAGAATGTTCAGTGTAAACAGAATGTACCTGAGCTCACTTTAGAGCTTCACTGCAAAGGTTGTAAATACTTCTGTACATGTGATTTTTGAGCTTTTTTATTTGTAATAAATTTGCAACAATTTTAACAAATCTTTTTTCACATTGTCATTAAGGGGTATTGTGTGTAGAATTTTAAGGAAATAAATTAATTTAATCAATTTTGGAAAAAGGCTGTAACATAAAAAAATGTGGAGAAAGTGAAGCACTGTACATCCCTTATCCCACCAAATACCTAAACATATCTACATTTATAGCTATTACTAGCGGCAAATTCAAAGTTTAGAGGCAAAGGTCATACAGTAGTAAATGGTTTATTAATAGCAAGAATTTTACCTTAACGTAAAGTGTGACCACTAGTTCATTTTCTGTGTATTATGCTGGTATATTGTTGTCAGTCTCCAAATATAAAATCTCTGTTTTATATTAGTATAAGAAAGTGAAAGAGCACACATTGTCATTATTTTTAGCATTTATGTGATAATTGCACATCATAAGACCAGCATTTAAGCATATGATGCCTGTTGGACAGGGATCTCCCCTTGAGATATAGTTATAAGTGGTTCTTTTCTCACTCTCTTCAACCTTGTCTTTCAGTTGGTCTTTTTTTTCTCTCTTTCATACCCTCTCTCTCCCCCTCACCATATCCACAAGTGAGAATGACAGCTGTGGTTTGAATTCAGACCCTTAGATCATTCTATGCCCAACCCCACTAGTCAGCTGTCGGTTACACCCATTGCGTACGGTTGGGCTAAAGGTCAGACTCTAATCCTAACAGCATCAGGAAATGAAAGAGTCTTGGCAACAAACAAGCATTGCTGTAAACTACATAATAACATACAAATCTACACTTTGCAAAATGCTGCTTCTCTTCAAGACAAATTTAGATAAAATATGGACAAATAGAGTTAAAAATATTATTGGATTTAATCAAAGTGCTAGTTTTGTCATTATTTCATCCAAATTTGGGTTAAGCAACCCAGTATTGTTCAGAGTAAACCATTTAAAGATTTTACAGTAAAGGTGCAGTAAATTGATCAAAATCACAGTAAAAAGGCATTATAATGTTACAAAATATTTCTATGCATGAATTGTCTCACTTTTTACGCAAAATTTTAAGCAGAGCAACACATTGCAAGAAATATCAGTTGTGAATTGCATTATGGGACCTTTATTGACATTTTAGTAATTTAAAATAATATATTGTCTAGGAAATAATGTAACAATGTATAAGAAATGATATATAGACAAATAAGTCTGTAAAATACCTGAAAATGAACTGGCAGTTTATTACAAGGTTGTTGTACAATAATATACACCAACAGAGACAATATATCACTTTAAACTATTAAGTCACTTTTTTCAAATGTTTTAAGGTTAAAAGTTGTTGAAAGAAAGAGCAAGTCCCTATTAAGGATAAACAAAGCATAAGTAAACAGGGAAAAAGAAAAAAATGACTCACAATTAACAAAAAAAAAACTGCTAATTTACAGATAGTTTTACAGTGCAGAAAGAAATAATAAGAATAAGAAAATGCAAAGATGAAAAAGAAAAAAGAAATGGAGTAAAAGAAAAAGTTTATGCACTTAAAAAATGTTGTATCGAGAAGTATATTAATGTGTTTTATTCTGTAAATGACTGATAATAAAAAATGACAACGAAATTGGTCAGAATAACAAATGTTTTTCATTTGTTGTGACTGAAGATCAGTGGTGTAAAGTAACAAATTACAAACTACTGGTATTGTTTTTTTAAAAATGTGTACTTGAGTACATTTTAAGTGCTGTATCGGCACTTTTACTCCACTACTTTCCTTCAACCTGCATTCACTACTTTATTTTTTCTTGTCTATGAGGATTAGAAAAATCAGTCCTGCGATTCCTGTCTAATCAAATCGCAAATAAAAGGTAAATCACATCATTATGAACTACCTCAAGATATAGGCGATTTATAATTGCAGCAAACTGTTTGAAAGCATTAAATGTGTCCAAAAAAATGTACAAAATCTTTACATGCATTGACTCAGAGACTGTTTAGATGCATGTCACTGATGAGAAGATGACATATGTTTACTGTATGAAGACCGAAATGGCCTTAAACACCCAGCAGACACAGGATGTCAACATGACGTCAAATTGACGTTGTACATGTCTTGGGGATGTTGCATTTTGTTTGGAAATGAAAATCGGGTTGACATCAGAACCCAACGTCAGGCTGACGCAAAGTCCAAATCCAACATCCCAACGTCTAATAATGTTACAGCTTGACATTGTGTGAACGTTACCACTATGACATCAATCAGACACTGGACTTTGGTTGCCATACCTAACGAATAAATTTCAGTATTTAAATGTCAATATGACATTGATTTAAGATGTTGGTTTGACGTTGTATTTTGGTCCCTTTCTAACAACATAAAATCAACCAAATATCAACGTCATTTTTTGTTGATATAGGACTTTAAAATAACGTTGTCCTTAGACGCTGGCTAGACATTAAAATTTAGTCACCTGACATCACATCCTAAATCTAACCTAATATATGACATTGCAGGGCAATAAATAAATGCACTACAGAATGTTACGTTTACACACACATGCACGAATACATGAAAATGCATCAGCTTTTTACAGCATAATACTTGCTACTCAATACTGTTGAGTACTTTTGAAAGGGCTACTTTTTACTCATACTTTAAGTAATATTTACAACAGAAACATTTACTCCTCTTGCACTACATTTTTAGGCAAGTAATGCTACTTTTACTTGGCTATGATTTTTCAGTTCTCTTTCCACCACTGCTGAAGATCCAGATAACTTTACCAAATATTAATTTCTTAATTCTTTTAGTTAAAACACTGGTTTTGTGTTTTTTTAAAAACGGAATATAAACATGTCTAAAATCATGGCTTTTTTAATGCATCAACAACAAAACAGGCTCTTAATTTTAACTGCTCTCTATATGCATACTGTATACATGTATGGCAAATGTCTCGTGTGATCATTTCACCTGTGATTTGTCCATCTCAGCCTGCAGAACCTGCTTCGCCACCTCTAGATCCTGCAGCCTTTCACGCAGTTCCTCATTGTCCCACTCCAACCGTGAATTTTTCTTTTGAACAGCTTCAAGTTCACCGTGTAGGCGAATAGACACACTTTTTGCAACCTGGGAACACAGCATTAATAATATCCAATCAGTTAAACACACTGAAGACATTTAAATCCAGAAAACATCCAATCAACATTTAATATTATTTAATTTCCACATAATGTCATATAATTCTCTAGGGGAGCATTATTACACACTTTTGAAAGGAAATTAACATCTGAAACTTTGAGGAATGGGCAGCACGGTGGCTCAGTGGTTAGCATTGTCGCCTCACAGCATGAAGATCGCTGGTTCAGTTGGCATTTCTGTTTGGAGTTTGGAGTTCTCTCCATGTTGGCATGGGTTTCCTCTGGGTGCTTCGGTTTCCCCCATAGTCCAAAGGCATGTGCTATAAGTGAATTGAATTAACTAAATTGGCCGTAGTGTATGTGTGTGTGTGAATTTAAGAGCGTATGGTTGGTTCCCATGGGTTGCGGCTTGAAGGGTATCGGCTACATAAAATATATATGGCAACACCTAAAAATATGTGACCAAGCCAAAGAAAAATGAATGAATGAACTTTGAGGAACTGTGCAATATGAGGATTAAAATTCAGATGTTGTTTTCGACAACAGCAAGGATGCAAAGAGCTCAATTCATTATGATAGATTCGATTTGAATCTTCTTTCCAACAATTGTTCCCCTTTGCTCCCCTCTCGAATGCTCAAGGGGTTGCAAACAATGCCAAGGGAAAACTGTAAGAGCGCATGTGATTATACCGTGGCATTCAGTGCATGACTTTTCTTTTTAATAGAACAGGGCGATTATTATCAGCACTGAACTCCAAAACCAGCTTTACAAACTTCAGACTTCATTGTAAAAAATAAAGCGAACAATTGAAAAGTGGACATTAAAAAAGATGATGTCGGATATCAGATTGCTGGACGCTCCTGTGGGGGTTGCTGAAGAGTGAATACGTTGGACACACTGGCCCAGTTTATGAAAGCAGGGTATCTATTTCTCTCACATGCCTTTAAAATAGACATGCCCACAACACACACCAGCAGCTGTGCTTGGACACCTCCCCTCCCGGATCCTCTGGCTGTAGTCCTTGACACATTTACTATATACATACAAATGCACACGCTTTCATTTGACCTTGATTCTCGAGTAATACTTGACATTGTGTTCTCGGCAGATTACCATCATGTACTCACTTAAAGAGCTCCATATTGTTTTCAGACGTTACAGTACTTTGAAATTGATGCCATACGTGAAAGTAAAAGGTCTTAAAAGTCTAAAATAAGGAAGTGCACAATTTTATTAGTGGTAAAAACTTAAAGAAAATGTTTTTAAAAAGTTGTTAAGTTTCACTGAACTTATTATCTCCCTATAAAGAACTCAAAAAGTTTTCAGTAAATCCAATCTAATTTTGAGCAAATTGTACCTAAATCTGTAACAAATTAGCATAATGCCAGCCTATAATTTTTGTTGGCTGCCTGCTAGCAATGTCAACTTTGATACTCAAGCACTGTAGTTGTAGCTGAGACTTCAAGGAGTTCAGTTTGTATTGTTGACATGATAAGAAGATGCTAATCAAATCTATTAAAGATGAGGACTCTCCCCTAAAATTAAACAGTAAAAGCAATCATGTGTTTACCATTTGCATTACTGTGCTGAGAACTAAAACTGGTTTGATTTCCAACATGCAATAACTGTAAGTTGGAGACCAATCATAGTAGATTGGACCATTTGGCCAATCAGAACAATAGTATCTGAATGGAGACTTAGATTTGCAAGCTGAGACTGCATATTTCAGACTTGCAATGCCAGGCAATATGCACTTCATGGAGCTAGTGACGTCATTGTGAGGGGTGGGGTTAGGTGTGCGGCTGTGCGCATTAAAAGCATTACATGCAGTTCACTTTCCAGCTGCACCAAGTCAAAAACTATAGAATACACAAGACATGTCACTCATATCTTTTTGAATGGGGAAAAGGGTAACTGTCAAAATGGTGAATAAAGTTCCACCTACTAGTACAGGAGCCAATCTTCAATCGCTATATGGTTAAAAAAAAGTCCGCTTTTAAGTAGAGGAGCCAACCATCGACCACTGACGATACTCTGGGGGAGGGGCTTGGACCAGATGTGAGTTTCTGCAGATTCTGTGTGATTTGGAAGTTTAGAAATGAAACTAAAGAGACAGATGTTGTTTAATTGTATTGGTGATTCCTAATATGAATTTCAATCATAAACAATTTTGGAAAATTTGATGTTTTCCCATTTAAACAGAATACCGGAGCATACTGCCCTAGAGGCATTTCAAAAACGGTTGTCAAGTGAAATGACTTGCCTTAAAGGCACTTTAACCAAGTCTGCCTGCAGACCCCTCTCTAGGTACTTAGAAAGAAGGGGTTTAGAGAGTTTGGAGGTGACGCTACAACGTACATTATACAAAAATGAAAGTTTTGTTTTATTTATTTATTTATATATTTTGTTTAAAACTATCTTAGACAAGTGACACGGTGGCTCAGTGGTTATCACTGTCGCCTTACAGCAAGAAGGTTGCTGGTTCGAGTACCGGCTGGGCAAGTTGGCATTTCGCTGGAGTTTGCATGTTCTCCCTGTGTTTGTGTGGGTTTCCTCCGGGTGCTTGGGTTTCCCCCACAGTCCAAAGACATGCGCTTTAAGTGAATTGAGTTGAAGTTAAATTGGTCATAGTGTGAGAGTGTGTGTGATTGAATGAGAATGGATGTTTCCCAGTACTTGGTTGCAGCTGTAAGGGCATCCGCTGTGTAAAACATATGCTTTAATAGTTGGTGGTTCTTTCCGCTGTGGTGACCCCTGAAGAATAAAGGGACTAAGCAGAAGGAAAATGAATGAATGACTGATCTTAGACAACCTCCAAAACCAAATTAGAATCTTTTAAAACAGCACGAGGCCACTTGAAAACATGTGAACTAGCTTCTTAAATGAGAAATAGTCAAATCATTCCTACAAGAATCGATTCAATGGTTGTTTTCCTATTGGTCAATCTCATGTGAGTGACAGATTGTCCTACCCTTGTGTCAGTAAACAAGTGAGACAGGAAATTATTTAAAAGAAAGATGAGGGTAAATAATTATTTTTAAAGAAATAATGTTAAATCTATTTCATTAATAAGATATGAGGAGAATTGAAATCATTTTTGATGTCATACTGACTTTAATTCGCTGCAAACAAAGGGACTTAAGGATCCGGAGGAATTTGTTTTGCAAAGTCTGAGGACAGATTTCAAAAGAAAACAGCTATTTAATAAGGGTCTCCCTGCTGTGTAGATAGGTTTTTAATTTGTAACGTGTCTACAGAAAGCTCCGTCACTGATTGGCTGAGCTGTTCAAACCAAAAAATGCTTCTGCTCTGAGTGGGCGCCACAAACTGAGCAACTCCAATTGTCTGCCAAACAGACAACTGGGGCTTTTTCTCCTCGTTTTACTAGTTGGAAAACATCCAAAAGTAAAACCACTCACTACACATGTCGAACTATAAAACGAAATGATATTTCAGCTCTCACTAAGCTCTTAGTATCACGATTTGGGTCACAGACACCACATTGAAAGTTACACAAGGCATCTGACTTCATGCTGATTCATAAAAACAAAGTTGACTCAGAGAGTGGCTTACTACTAAATTCAACATTTAATTGGCACTGAGCGTTGAGCAATTTCGATAAACATCCTGTCTTGATGAATACCATGGACTGAATCCAAAACCTAACAGTGGTTTTCCTGTACACACACACCACTGTAACTTAATTGCATCCAAATCATGAGGGAAACATCTATTTAATTACACCCTGAATGTCAGTCCTTGTACGAGGACTTTCTCACACAGACGCTTAACACGTTCTCACCCTAATATCATGCTCGAGCGTCCTGATAAGCTCTCCGTCTACCTGTCCCGTCTGAGCTACACGCAGGCTGCGTCTCTCGGCTTTCCTGAGTCGGTACTGTAAGATGCGACAGGCTTTGTTTGCCTGTTCCAACTGCTGCCGGAGATCCTGCAGCTGGTATACATCATCTTCCATGTACAGGTCTCTCATCTCCAGCATTTCTGAGCGGAGCTCCTCCATCTCATCCTGAAAACAAAGCCAAAATTGATGTACAACAGCTTAATATGTGGCAGTAGACATATCACGATAAATTGAATACCGGCATAATGAACATGCACAGTATTGATTTCTTAGGACTATTTTTCCCAAATTCATCACAGCAGCAAATGCTTCAAAACTTTAAGGGGTGGTCCAGAATGTAATTTTAAGACTTGGCCGTGTTTATAGGATGCAAAGCAATGTGTGCTCATGCTTTATTTGTAAAAAAATACAATATTTTATTTTTATTTATTTTTATTTTATTTATTTTTTATTTTATGTTATTTTTTCTTATATCTTACTTTGATTATATACTGCTACTCAATTAACATGAAAACAACTGTCATTATTCCTAGTTCCTCTGAAAGGCCCGCCCTCAAGAGGCTCTGATTGGTCAGCTAACAATGTGCTGTGGTTCTCAGATCGGCTCCACATCACCAGTGAAGCGCCATGCCTGCTGAGAAAATAGTGTCAATCAGAGTAGCTGTTAGCAGTATCTGTTTGAGCCCTAATCAGACAGAAAATTAAAAGGATGAACCTCATGCCTGCTGTCTAAATAAAATCTGACAACTGTCTGTAATGAGTGAAAATAGGGTGTGGCTCCTTTAAGAGAGGGAATCGCCATTGTGCGTGTGTGTGTGTGTGTGTGTGTGTGTGTGTGTGTGTGTGTGTGTGTGTGAACCGTCTGTAGACGCATGTAACACGAGAACCGCTTGTGTTTGGGACCGATGTTTATTTTTCTTTTTCTCTAATACTCGAATCAAGTTATTTTTCAGGAATACACAGTGACATTGGTGTGACAGGAGAATTAAGTGCAAGATGTTCGATGCGATCTGTGTCATCTTTGGTTGATTTTTCTGCTGCAACACATATTTACATGTACATACATCAGCGTTACATGTATTTCGCATAAATTCGGAATAAGCATGTGTAAGTAATATGAAACGTTCACATATCTTTTGCGAGTTCATTATCCGAGATGTAGAATGCATTGAAAGCGGCCTCATAGAGACACATGCACGCGTTGGTGAAAATTGTGGGTGTTTACAGCTGTTTGATGGATAAATATTCATTTTTAGCTAAATTGTTAAGGGTGCCAAATAGCATGTCTCGCTGTTTACAAACTTGTTTATGTCCTCACTACAGCATACCGTTAATGCTAGACACTGTGCATGTCATAGATCAATTTTAACAAATTAAACACTCACAGGTTGTGGCTCACAACCCACAGCTTTGTCTTTTATGTCTGAAGCTACTCCTTCTTTGAAGAGTTTTTAGCTGATCCAGAACTAATCTGGGAGAGATTCTGGAAGCTGTCCTTTGTCAAATGCTAGCTATTTTTTTTTTATAATTCTCTGGAACATATTTAAATTAAATAGTCAGCACTTCTCTCTTTGTGTTGTGTCCTTTGGAAGTCTAAATACAGAAACAGAAGAAGCTCTGTGGAAATAGCAGCATTCGGACAGCATTTTAGCATCCTCTTCTATGCCGCTTCACTGCGCAGGTATGCGTGTGGTAAATGCACATAACTGGGAGCGCTTGTGATCTCACTAGACCGGATGTATATTTTGTAGTCCCCAAACTTTGTTCGCTGTAGGCTTTGCTAAGCTGACACTGTAAAAGCCAATGTTTCCCTTTGCAGTGAACTTTGAGCGTCTTTAATTCAGAGATGTTGTTTAAAGTAAAGTTTAAAATGTGATTTAAAGTGGACCACCACTTTAATCCGCTTGTTAAGTGGTGACGTGTTTGTGACGTATGTATACTGTTTCCGGGTCCAAGCCGCCACTCATTTGAGTGGAGAAATCATTCGTTTATGATCGTTTAGTTTTATTCCTATCACACATTAAAGTTAATTTTATATAAAATCATAGTGTACACAACAATCTCTGGGCTTGCTGCATAAAAAATACCAAAAATTTTTACAATTTATAAAAAAAATAATCACTTTCTGGCCATCGGATATTAGGCATGGACATATATATTGCGATCGAGATTTTCGAAAGCCTTAAATTGCTTTGTAAACGTTTATTATTACCATTTCATGAGTCTCCCCATTCAGTTGAATGGAGCGCTTGGACCCGGAAGCCGCTTCGCATGACGTCACACTAAACAAGCGGATAGGAGATTTATTTTCAGACATTAACATTTTCACATATCTGTCATACGCGTTGAACAATATGTGATTTATAGGCTTTTTGTTCATTAACCCAGTAGGTTCCATTTAAAATCAGTTAATTAAACAGAAGTCATTATAACAAAATCACCCAAGACTAATAATTGCTTTTGTAGTTGTTATTTTCTTAGTTATTTTCATCAATACATTAAAATTCAAAGTAGTAATAGTTTTATTTAATGTAGTTACCAACTAATATAATTCAGTTGTATGCTTTTATTCATTTTAACATAACTTGCCTTTGTGACGGTATTGCAACCAAACCAAATATGAGAAAATTAGTGTGCTCAGTGTGTTTGTGTGTACAAATGGTGTTATCACTATCAAATGTCGGCCTCCAACCAAGTCGTCCAAGTCAACCTTGACCTAATGTGTTGAGTGCCAACAGGCTGTGTGTATTAACCCACAGAACCAGTGGCACGTGCCAAGAATGACGCACTGTCCTTCTTGCACTATTGGCACCTCTTGACATGTTGATTTCCACCAAGACACCTTGCACTTAATCACAGTAAAGCCCGCTTTCATTCTCCCTGCTGCATGTCAGAGACAACGAGGGATGACACAAGCCAATTAGCGAAAGTGTAATCTTCTAAGAAGAGAGTAAATCTTACAGTATAAGCCAGATCACGTGCAAAGTGGGGTTTGTTGACGTGATAACTTACAAATAATGTTGTTGAAAACAATCGTCATTCAGTATAACGGATATATTTATGTAAAAATGAAGGCAACATACTTATTTTGACCAGTACTTAACATTTATACAAGAATATTTGCTCAAAAAAGATTTTATACATTTAAAAAGATTCTAACTTTCTGCTGATAAAAATAAATTTAAAGCTCTATTATACTTTTATTGATTTAATGCTTGAAAATCCCTTTTTGTCATTGATCCAACTGGATCTGTTTGATATATTTATATTTTTAAATACAAAAAAGTACAATAATTTCTACCTAGAAAATATGCAGAATTAGCTTAATGTCCCTATCAGAAAGTATATTTACTTAATATCATGATCTTTAATTAGATTTTGGACATTGGACAAATGGACATTTCTAACTAGTTCATGATGCTCTGCCAGCTTTAAATCGCTCATTTATGCCATGTTAGCTCTTAATAATATGATCCTTAATCATAATCCATCAAAACAGGCTGCATACTGTCCCACTTTATCTAAGGAGTTATAATAAAGTTACCTAAAACAACCAAATAAATCAAATGTGATCTTTAAAATATATTTGATCATCCTAAAAAAACATAAGCCTACAATGTATTTGTTTTAGAAGAGCTTTATGGATTTTCCATAAATCATTATTATAATTCTGATGTTTTTCCGATGCCACAATGATGTCAAACAAATTAAAGCATGCCCATAACGCCAAATAGGCAATTATTAATGACTTATCTATATTTAATTGGAATAAAACGTGAAAGAAATACCTCATGTCAAACCTTGAAAGAAATTATAACCAGAGAGACAGATGGCCCATACGGTATCTCACCTTTAAATATTCATTTTCCGATCTCAGGTCGTCAATCTCCCTCAGCAGATCCTCATGCACCCCATCAGTAAAGTCTCCTGTCAGGTCAGAAAACGCCACAGATGTGCTCAAGTTCAAGTGACTGTCCAGGGAAACGTAGGATGTCTGGTCTCCTGGAGAGATGCTTCCTTCCCCGAAGCCCAAACCTGGAGACAGGGTGGCATTAACCAGACCATCCTCTCTGTGTTCTGCCCTTTGCTCAGCAGAACCGTCCATCCTCTCAGCATCAGTGATCTGCTTGTTCTCCTCAGACGCGTCCGAGATCTCAGAGCTGCTGTCGGTGGAGGAAAGTTTCCCGGTGGCGCAGCCGGAGTCCTTACTCAGGTCATCAGACGTGATGCTCCCATCAGACAGCTTTCTCCTGCTGGACGATTTACTGCTACTGCCGCCGGAGCGCTTTTTCGACTCTGGCTTCATCTCCTTTTTCCCTGCATGAGTGTTTGGCGTGAGGACTGCTGATGGTGATGGTCCACGCTTTGGTTTCTTGGAGAAAATCTCCTTAGTTTTGTTCTGTGCCGGCGGGACGCTCTTCGCCTGCGGTTGTTTTGACGTCATGTGCTGCGCATGATGCCGGTGGATTTGTCTTGACGGCTGCTGGCTGCTTGAGTCCCCGCAGGCTTTATTATCCTGCCCGTCCCGTCCATGATGGGATGAGCGTGCATTAGACTCGGGATTGCCCTCAACTTTTGTCTTGGTCATTGTCTTTTGTCAAGAGGAGACCCTCTTATTCACCTTTCATTGTCAATAATAACCAGGTAGCAGTTCGTTAAATAGTATCCTCTCAGGAGTTTGTGTAAGTTGGCTATATCCCGGTGACCGTTAGCCTATAGTCTCTTTGAGTGAATATCTCCGCTGAGTGTGGCCACGTGCTTAAAAACCCCAAAATCTCCGCCCCGAAATTAGGATCTCTCACTCACACACACACACACACACACACACACGCTTTCTCTCTCTCTGAGTCAGGGTTAACTCAGATTTACCGGCAGAAGGCACAACAGTGCCAAGTTATTTTCCTAAAAATAAGAAAATCTTTAGTTTATTTTTTTCCCACAACCAACCTTAGATGTTTGGTAGTTTATTTTTGACTCGTAAGCTATTTATTAATTCATGATGGTCTGGAAATGTAATTTAATTTCAATTTCTAATTAAGTTCTACTAATCTTCAAATTGCTTAATAATCATACATATATCTCCTCAATATAACATTTGACTTCAAAAGACAAAAAATACTCAAAGTGCAATGAACAGAGCATAATTACATTGCTTTGCTGACATCTAGTGGCTGTAAATGAAACAGGCTCAGGGTTCCAGCAAAATATGTTGAAAATGAACATTTTTTTCACTTTATAAACAATGCAATTAACAAAATAAAAACATAAAAGACAAGCAATTTAAGATCTAAATAAATTGACTTTCACGTAAATCACATTTCAACAAAAAACAAACACAAAAAATCAACTCAAATAAAGTAAATGAAATATATTCATTAATTCATTTTCTTTTCAGCTTATTAATCTGGGGTCGCCACAGCGGAATAAACCGCCAACTTATCCAGCGTTTTTTTTTTTTACGCAGCGGATGCCCTTCCAGCTGCAACCCATCAGTGGGAAACACCTATACACCCCTATTCACACACATAAACTACGGACAACTTTGCTTGCCCAATTCACTTATACTGCATGTCTTTGGACTTGAGGGGGAAACAGGAGCACCCGGAGGAAAGAAAGGAGAACATGCAAACTCTACACAGAAATTCCAAATGACCAAATCTTCTTGCTGTGAGGCAACAGCGCTACCCACTGCGCCACCACGCCACCCCTAAATTAAATACATTCATTAAATAATTTAACAATTGATTAGAATACATAGGGAAGTGCAATGTGAGATTTAATAACAATAACACTTCATTATTTGATACTCGTTTAATATGACTTGTTCACAAATAAACTGGGTCTTTACACAGGGAAGGATACGGATGTCTTGTATATATTTTAGGATGGTTCAAGACTTTGATGGAGGTCATTGGTATAAAGACAATCGTTATGAAAAGCTCCTGCTGTGGACTATCACCTGCAGAGGGTGATGTGAGGTGGTCCATCATAAATGAACAGATCATTTTCTGGCATCAGAAAGAATAATTAATATGCCCAATAGAACTGCATTTAAATTTATGACAGAATGATGCATTTTGTATACATATATCAAATGCAGATACTATTTATATAACCTTTAACATACATTACAATAATTGTGACAAATATAAATACCCCATGTGTAAAACGCATATTCTCAGGCAACAAAACTCAAAAGAAAACAATATTCTTCTCTTAGTTGTGCTTGTTTATATAATAATAATAATAATAATAATAATAATAATAATAATTACAAAAACAATAATAAAATAAATAAATAAAAACATGATGTTTTCCTATATACAAAAAACTTTTTTTCTCACTTTGTTTTAAGGTATAATTTATAATAATAATATCATAATAATAACAATTATTATATTATTATTATTATAATAAAATAATGATGATGAAGGTGGCGCAGTGGCACAGTGGGTAGCACTGTCACCCTTACAGCAATAAAAAGGTCGCTGGTTTGGGTCCCGGCTGGGTCAGTTGGCATTTCTGTGTGGAGTTTGCACAGGGTGCTCCGGTTTCCCCCTACAAGTATACTACATAGGTGAATTGAATAAATTGTCTGTAGTGTATGTGTGTGAATAGCAGCGTATGGGTGCTTCTCAGTGACGGGTTGCAGCTGGAAGGGCACTCAAATACATGTGGTATGAATTGAATAAATTGGTCGTAGTATGTGTGTGAATGGAAGCATTTGGGTGTTTCCCAGTGATGGGTTGCAGCTGGAAGGATATTCGCTGCATAAAACATGATAAGTTGGCAGTTCATTCCGCTGAAGCAACCCCTGATTAGGGACTAAGCCGAAAATAAATGAATGAATGTACATGATGATGAAATCAGCAATCACACTTACATTTTCTATTTCATTTATAATAGATTTTAAGGAATTATAGGAACGAATTAAAAAATATGGCCTTATTAAGCACATTTTTGTAACCATGTCTGTTAAAATATATTTTTGTACTTTACTTATGAATTCCTATAAACAATATTGCCCTGCCTATTGTAATATATCCCTGGATAGCAGTGATATTCAATCAAGGAACGCCACTGCCATAACCGACGGCGGTATTTATTGTTAGTATTATAAATAACCCACATCCCTGCCTTTTTAGTACCGACTTCTTTATGTAACCTTAATATAGCCCCGCCCCTTCAAAAGGTTAATATCGTGCGTTAGCAGCGGGCTCTTCTTTTACAATAGGCTATTTAGTCTGTCAATCAAGTCTGACCACTCCTCTCTTCGCTTGGACATCATCCTGAATCATCCAATCAAGTTCGTTCTCCAGTCCTGGCGAAATGTGTGTCCGCCCTACTGTCAGTCTTCCAAACTGGGCGCTTGTTTTCTGTCCCACCGGAGAAAGGAGCGATCCAGCTTTACGTTATTGAAAGGTAACGCGACACACGCACACTTGACAGCTTGTCAAGCTATATCGACGCTGTTCGTCGTGGTTGTTTGTATGCGTTGAAGGTTTTCACAATATCAGTCGGGTCGTTGAGTAATATGCGGGTTTATTATTGGTCAAGGCTTAGAGCTAGCGGCTAACGCAGGTCAAAACAGCTCCGACACTCCGTGCTTTCCGCCCGCAGGACATCTATCTAGTTTAGTGATACCGAGCGGGGCAGGTTATTCATAGTATCTGATGCGTTTGTGTATCTAACCGGGTATAACGTGAATGTCAGCTTGTCCCCATGGACGGGTGGCTAGGCTATGTTTTGGCAATGTACCTGCCTGGACAGGATGGGTGGATGAGGATTGTGTTCATATGCTGCTTGGTTACCATGCTCGTGATATCATTATGTGCTTAATGTATTTTAAGTAATTATATATCAAAATGATTGTCCAGTAAGTTTAATGGTTTCATTTTGCTCATCTGCTTTGATTGACAGCCCTGCAGATGATGTGAGAAATGTTTCTGTCATCCCCGTTAGTTGACAGTGGCATACATTCTGGGGGAATATTCTGATTTTAAACTATACATGTTAAAAATGCTATATTACACTGAATTGTAGCCTAAATATTATTAAGAATTACAGGTCAAATCAGTCTTTGATTGGTTAGATTTGAAGAAATTGATGACTATGTTGCAAAAATAGGCAAAATAATAAATTTTATTCTTTTAAAAAATCAAATGGGTTTATTCCTGAAAAGTAAATAGGATTTTCAAAAAATTGTGCTGTTTTCAACATTAATAATAATAACAACAACAACAACAGCGTTTTTGAACATAAAAATAGCATATTGGAATAAATTCTGAATGATCATGTGACAGTAATACGTAATCACTCCTGGAAATTGCATTGCATTGTAAACAGTTACAGTGCTCATATGTACACCCCTCACAAATCTATCTTTTAAAATAATATTTTTTAATAGGAAACTATACAATATAATATTTGTGCATATACATTAGATTAGTCAGTACCGAAGCCAAACCTGGAGCTTATCTAATAATAACGATAATAACGATAATGGTCCAAAAAGTAGTAAACAATATTTATGTTATAGAAAAATATGAAATGCAAATTTAAAAAAGGAAAAAAATCAAGGGAAGAAAAAAAAAGGAAAAAAATTTGTTGAAATTTTGTTGGTTGTAATTTTTTTTTGCTATAATTTGCTTGAATTTAATTAAACATAAATTTCTATTTTTTATATTTGTTTATTTATATCTGTTTAATACATCTGGTTTGTTTAAATGCACCAAAATACATTGCCTATATTCAATGAGAAATGGATAAAAGTATTCATTTTCAAAATGGGGTGTACTCAATTATGCTCATTACTGTACTTTAAATAGTTATTTTTCACACAGCTACTGTAATTTAGAAAGTTCACCAAGTTGGTGGCAACAGCATTGATGTGTCAAGAATTCTTTTATTTATTTATATATTTGATAAATTTTGGAACTAAAATGACAACGAAAAAGAAAACTACCCTAATATAGCGTAAAATAATAATAATAAAAGCATTGAAATCAAAATGAAACCAGAAAAATATGAAGTGAATAAAGCTTAATGAAGTTTAATAAAGCTGCACTTTATAGTAATTATGCTAAAATAATATAAAAAGTGTATAATATATTATAATATAATATAATATAATATAATATAATATAATATAATATAATATAATATAATATATAAAATTTTTCTAACAGATTAATAAAACTCATCAATATCCCACAAATGCTGGTGATTTATGGATTGAAAGTTGTCTGCTGGATCTTTATAGCACAGCAATGATTATAACCAGTAACCTCTCATCTCGATTTAAAATAGTTGAATCACTTAGAGATTTTGGGTTGGTATCAAAGAACTAGATAACCTGTACATGCTGCACTGGAATATAGCTGTCTTTGCAGCAAGTCAGACATGTTATTGCACAGTACATCTTACAACTTGAACGAATGGCATAATTTAATGGATCATGTGCTATAGCTGTTTTTACCAATGAAATCCCCGGGAACTGCATAACTTTTTCTGGGAATGGGCTACTTATGTGGTTGTCTTAGTTAGCACTAAATTATTGGAGTTGTTTGTTTTCTCTGTTCACTGTTGTAAAACAGTCCAACAGAGCACAAGAACATACAGTTGAAGTGAACAGTTGGATGCAAGATTTAGCTTTGTTTATTTGGAAATGTTATTTGTATTTAAGTTAAATTTTTAAAATCAGGCTAAGGAGTTTTCTTGCTTCTATACAACTATTTAGATAGATGAAGTGTCTAAAACATTGACATTCAGTGTAAAGATAAAAATGAAAATATGCTGTAAAAGTCTGTACTGCAATATAGGAAGGCTTATTATGTATATTGTTTTTTTTTTTACGTACATTGTTTTTACATTAACATTTGTGTTTACATAAATTGAACTAGTTGATAGTTCTGCTGAATTTAAATTGTATTGAAATACTGCATTATTTAGAGATATTTTGGTTTCACAGCATTATTAATAAGGCCATAGTTAAATTCTGATGCTAATAATTATTTTGTTTTATAAATGTCTTTGGGGAAAAAAAACTATATTGTGTCCATCTTGAGACAAAACAAAGACACTGATATAGTTTTAAGATCAGACCGTGCAAGTTTCTTTCAGTTGAAACAGCTCAGATTTGCATTTTAGTCTTGGATTAGTCTTCAGCCTGGTCTGTGAAACCGGGGGATAATCTTACATGAAATAAAACCTTGAAAGGCATTTTAAAATGAGATTATTTAAAGAATGATTGTTATACAAAAAAGATCTCTCTTATGTACTCTGCCTAACTTAATGTAATATTAATAATAATAAGAAAATAATAATGAAAATAATAATAGGCACGTTTGTTTATATAGCACATTTCATACACAATGGTAGTTCAAAGTGCTTTACATAAACAATAAATGAAACGAGAAAAATAAAATAAAAAGAAAGAATAAAATAAAAACTGATTAAAATAAACGAGTTTTAAAGGAACAGAAAAAGACAATATAATAATGTATTTACCTAATGTAATAACTTTATTATTACAATATTTTTATAATTTTATTTTATTTTTAATTAAAATTCCTACAGTCTATTTACTTGATTATTTTTGTAAATCTGTGTTTTAAGTTAACTTTTGTGCACATTCTAGGTGAGTGAGTTATCTTGCCCTTTTAATTATGAAAAAAAGACTAGTTTGTTTTGGAAAGCTATACAGCATAGGAATAAGTATTTTGTATAATGCTTGTGTTTAATTAAATTAAATGAGATTAAATTTTCGCTGAATTTAAAAAGGCATTAGAATCTTTTATATATTTTTACATAAAACATTCATCTGAATATTCTATTGGAGGTCATGTTCCAATTTCTATCTATCTTCATAGTTTGGCTACCTTCACATTAAATGTGTTTTTCTTAGTTTTGATTCAAAAGTGTGCACAGTCGGTCACAGCCACCTCTAATCTACATTCAGGCTGCAAAATGACCAGGGCTACGTGCTGCTCAGTCAGCCAAGACTTCCTCTATTGGCAGTTTACCACATGGTTTTTGAATATGTGATAGCTGTCAACTGGTTAAGTGTCTGCTTTGCCTTTCAGAGCTCCAAACAATTTGCATGATGCCTGCCTCCGTTATGTGGCCAATAGTCTTTCAAACTGCTTTGCATTTTATCCACAGCTGTTTAATTGATGCTTTAAAGAGGAGCACGAAATAGGTGTTTAATAGAGTTTTACTTCTAGTTTATAAGTATTAATATGTTTTTTAATATGGTGGTTCTTTTTTCCTCAAAAAGTGGTCCTTTTTGCAGTTATTCGCCTCGTTTTCTATTAAATTATGAGGTTTAAACACAGCATTTTTAGTGACATGTTAAACACTAGTTTTTGCTGGATCAGCTTGTCAGATTAGGATAATAATAACCATGCTTTTTGATGCAACAAAAGTATTCCCTACATTTTTGTCAAATTGCTTACCATGCTATTTTACAACAAAGTGTTTATTTACAAATGTGCATTTAAACTGTAGGTTATTACAGTTTTAAAAGTAATGTTATGTAATAATACAAATATTTTATTATCCATCATTAAAAAAAATAATAATAATAAAGTAAAAATTACATTTGGCGATGTGGTAGCGCAGTGGGGAGCACGTTCGCCTCACAGCAAAAAAGTCACTGGTTCGAGCCTCAGCTGGGTCAGTTGGCGTTTCTGTGTGGAGTTTGTATGTTCCGTATGGGTTTCCTTTAGGTGATCTGGTATCCCCCACAAGTCCAAAGAAATGTGGTATAGGTGAATTTGGTAAGCTAATATGTCCGTAGTGTACGTGTGTGAATGAGTGTGTGTGGATGTTTCCCAGTGATGGGTTGCAGCTGGAGGGGCATCCGCTGCGGGAAACATGTGCTGGATAAGTTGGTGGTTCATTCCGCTGTGGCAACCCCAAATTAATAAAGGGACTAAGCCGAAAATAAAATAAGTGAATGAATAAAAATGACATTTGTCTTAAAAGCCACCTTCTATCAGTTATTTTCACAATGATGGCATACTGTTAAAAATGGAACAAATGAGCTTGTATAGCAGCCAAATTCTGGACTTTGTCAGTAGGGGGGTGGGTCTTTTGAGCCACCTGAACCCTTCAAGATGGAAATTATGCTATCTATAAAAATAAAAATAGCAAGCCATTTTCCTGATCTTTTAACATAAATAGCTCATTCAGTGCCCCTCAAACTATTATTAATGCTATTCAAGGATTAAACGACACAAATTCAGTTTTACTATATCTGAAATATATTACATTTTAAATACAACATTAAAATAGATATTTTAAATTAGAATTTATATACTAATAATTTCTAAATAACAAATATTATAATAAATAATAAATATTATAATAATATAAATAATTTAAAAACGTTGGTTATCCATAAATACAGCCATCTAATAGAAAAATGTGAACATTTTTCATAATTCATACTGTATACAATTCATAGTACTTTAATTTCACATACCTTTAATTTTTGCTGCAAAAATGCCCCAAGAACTTCAAATTTTAAAAAAATGGCTACAGATTTTTTTTGACCAATTTTTCCTCATTTTTTACATTCTATTATAAGCTGCTCACATATTGGCAATAAAAAGTGATTAACACATAAATAATATTACATACAGCCCCTTTAAACTAGATTTATTTTATTTTTTAATGGATCACCTTATGTCACCAACCAGCTTGTGTCTCATTCCTGCTATTTGTTCATGAATTAAACCTATATAGTGATGAGGTACGGTCAGCTGTAAATACGACAATCGGATGCTGATGCACTTTCTCTCTCTCTCTCTCTCTGCTATGACCACTAAAGGATTTAGCTTTGTCGGACACTCTCATTAGGTGGTTTTGCCAAGCACAGCTGTTTAAAGACTGCAGTGAGGTGATTGGATTTGTTCTGTGTGTTCAATAAGGGAATGGATGGAGAGTGGGCCAGTATTTAGTGTACAGTTCTGGGTAGCAGTTTACAGTACATTAAATGATTCATTTTTATTATTTGGACTGTTATCGCCAAGCTTTCAAACGCATCTTGTGTTTCTGATTTGATCTACAGACCACATTCAAGCTGTGAAACAATGCCTTCTGACTGACATCAACAACAGTATTTGTCCATCATGAACAGCGAGGAAGAGTTCTATGATGCTGAGACAGGTATGACTATTGACTTGAAAACTGCGCATGACATTATTGAAATATGGGGAGTTGAAAAATTGGCTGTAACAAGTGCTTATTTTGTAAGACATCATTTTTGACAAAAGAAATAGTTTATGTAGTTTTAAGTCTGATGTTTAAGAAAATAATATAAGTTAACTAACTTAAATTAAGAAAATTAACTCCTATTAATATGGCTGCACGGTGGTTTAGTGGTTAGTACTATCGCCTCACAGCAAGTAGTTCGCAATACAAAGACTTGCGCTATATAGGAATTACCAACCTACGTCACACATGACGTCACAAGGGTTTAACCGCGCATACAGGTTGCAAAAAAAAGACTGGTTACAATAGCAAACATGTCGTGTTGTGCGGTATGATGCCAAAATCAACAGTCCAAAAAATAAAAACTTAAATTTTACTGTACACCACACTACTTTTAATGCCAACCGCAGACGTCTTTGGCTAACAGCAATCAGAAGAGCTGAATGGAGTGAAGACCTAATTAAAAATGCTGGACTCTGCAGTTCTCATTTCACATCAGGCAAGTTCCCGCTATGCTGAATCATACGGATTACTCGTTTTTTGATTGCAGTAATGATTTAAGCAAAAACAGTTAAATATGGTTAATTTAACTGCACATACTGAATGCTAAGAATGAAATGTAAAAATCTAAGTTCACATACCTTGCCGTACAGGTACAGTTCGCTGTCAGAATGCACTTGTTTTGTTTGTTGATGATTTTCCAGGCCTTGTACAGTTCAATCTTCTTTCGTTGTCTTTAGCTAGGCAGAAACTCGTTTTTTAGCACTATAAAGTTTTAAATATGGTAATCATGGAACATTATTTCTTGCACATAACTATACAACAAAATTGTTGGCATCCAAAGACTTGTAGGCCTTTAACTTCTCTCTTGTAAAATCAGTTGGAGTTTCAATGAGATAGTTGTATATTTGGGCCTGGATGCTTGGCCATTTCGTCTTCTCCAATATCCACTGGGAGGATGCTATGGACCTGCCAGACGAACGCCGCTCACTTTAACGTTAATTTTGCCAAATAACTGTGCTAATCATTGGGTGACAAGCGGTTATAATACGCTGAAAGCATTATATAAATAATATATATAATATGTAAAAAAAAAAATTTCTGACCCTCGATGCGCGAGCATCCTGAATGTTTACAAACCGGTAATTCGCCTATAGGTGAATTGGGCAAACAGAATTGGCCGTAGTGTATGAGTGTGTGTAAATGCAAGAGTGTATGGCTGTGGCGACCCCTAAAAAAATAAGGGAATGAGCCTAAGTAAAATGAATTAGTGAATGAACAAACTCTTAATAATATACAGATAACATAAAAGTGATTTATCTTCTTTGTTGGACACTTACCTTCATAAAGAGATTTATTTTATATAATTATTATATGAATAATAGTTTTTTTATAAGGGGCAAAAAATAAACCAATTTTTACTGTGGTTCCAAATAGTTATGTTTTTGTCAATGTGTAATTTTTTTTTACATATTTAGCCAGTGGACATCATGGGCTTAGCAGGGGGCTTCAGTCACATGATGTTAAATGGGGTCCTTCAACCAATTAAAGCTTTCCTTAGAATTGGCTGATTTAAAATTAGCATACATTGACAATTCATCAAGTTCCTGTATTTTTAGAAATATATTCACTGTAAAAAAAAAGCTTCATTAAACGTTTCTGCATTTTGTGATTCACAACTGTTGTGGTTTTCTTTATTTGACCTTGATCTCTGCATTGTCTTTTGATACTTTTGATCTTGAAAAATCAACTCTACAGTTTAATAAAAAGACCCTGTGGATCAATTGGTACCGGGCCGCACAAGAAATCATTAATTACCAAAATCTTTTATTTTGAAAAATGACCGAATTCTCTAGGTTACTTGAGCGCCAAAATGTAACCAGCACATTAGCAAAATGAGTAAGAAGGACCCACAAACTGCCAAGGAATAGATCCGCAACCCATTTGTCAACAAATCAGGTGAATCCAGTATGATTGTACAAGAAAAGATCAACTGCAAATGACAGCTGCCTTGTTTAAATATCGCATCTTTTCAGTGCAGAAGTTTGTTATTTCCATTGGAGGCGCGCCGCTTGCATTACATTTCTGTAGACTAATTACCTCAGACAAATACAGAACACTCAAACACTGCAGTGCTTTGTTATTTTCTCCACAAACAAAACTTGTATCAGAGCTGCAGCAATGTTTTGTCAGATTATCATCCTCTGAGAAATCGGTTCATGGTGCTGCTGATGACCGGTCCACGGTGATAAGTGTTGGGGACCACTGATATACAACACCAAGACAGACAATTTATCACTTTAAAACTATTTAAAATGTTAATAAAATGTCACTTTTACAAACTTTAAGATTGAAAGTTGTTAGAAGAAAGAGCAAGGCCTCATAATGCAATTTAAAAAGCACAAATATATGAAATAAATTATAACAAAAACATGAAATCATAAAATATGGAAAACTGCTAATGTACAGATATTTTTTACAGTAAGGATAAAAAAAAGATTGCCATTTCCAAATTGTTACAATTTTCCATTGTAAAATTAAGCCTGAGGTATTTCTTAGTGCATTTAAATTTTTCCCTTTAGTTTATTAGAGCTGTAATTTATTGAACTATCCATGAGACACACCATAGGACACATTTGAGATTTTTTTTTTACTAATTATATTCATTTTTGTCATGTGTGGCAGTGAAAATGCAACGACACCTCAACCACACATACACAGCTAAATCTCTTCTTCTGTCTTAGGTTTGGAATCGGATGACTCGTGTGAAGTCAGCTTTAAAGATGCCTGCGTTTATGCTAACAAACAGACGGCGAATGGCAAAGTGCCATCTGAGAATGGAGTATGGGAGAGGCGGTAAGGTGTCCGAGTAATGTAAAATGATATCCAGTGGCAGGAAACAGAACATGAAGGTTTTTATCTAGTGGAATGTAATGGATTATTGTGTGCCTGTGTTTCAGAACTACTTTGCCAGCACCAATGTTCTCCCGAAATGACTTTAGTGTTTGGGGTTTTCTGAAGAAATGCATTGGAATGGTGAGCACAAGCTAGATTAGCTTTATTCAGACTGTCAATTGAAAACAGATTTGTGCATATGCGTTTGGAAACCAATTATATATAGCGCAAATGTGAATGTCCAAAAAAACAAAAATTTAATGTGATATGTGGTTAAAAATCCTTTCAGTAAATCTTAGTTTTGGGAGTCCACTTGGGTCTGACCAGTTTTTTTATTGATTTTTTTTTTTTGCCTGTCACTATCACTTTGCCCTACGTTTACATTAAATATTTCACACATTGTTTGTAGGAAACAGAATAGAGCACAGCAGTTGTGTTCTGAAATTTTAAACGCATTCATTTTCTCCATAAGTAAATAGATAAATTACTTGTAGACTTTTACTTGTAGAGTTTTGAGATTTGTAACTGAGGGCATACTCACACTACACTATTCAAACTTTTCCTGAGCACATTTACCACTTGTTACGTCCTTTTAGATGTTAATATTAAACTAGGAGTAGATGACAATAACATACATTAGTTAAATGTGTGTGACAAGCGGATGGAGAAAGAAATAAACTGAATCAAATAATCACTGCAATTATTTATTGCCCATATATCCCATGAAAACCAGTGAAAATATATTATACAGTGAAAGAAAAATATTTACAATGATTAAATAATGAATTACCTGGGGGGAGAGGAAGTAGTTGAATGTGCTTAAATCAAAGAAATAAATATAACAAAACTCAGTAACTGTTTTCACCAAACTAAACTAAATATGAAAAGAAAAGCATGAAAAGAAACATCTTCAACGAACCAAACGTCTTAACTAAACTGCTCTAACTAAAAACAAAACATACAGAAAACAGCACATTCTCCTGAACCTAATGAACTAATACAAAATATCAATCTGAGTGTTGTATATGTATATCGCGCGACTTACTCACTCCTACACCTCTCCGAGGCATCACTCAAACATGTCAGTTAACTGGACAATTTCACAAACATTGTTAAATCGCAAACTTTAGACAAGAGCATTAAACAAGCAAAACACATTCTCTCAGACTAGCCCTCGCAAGAGAGACTGTCCTCACAGAGACCCACAGAAAGAATAAGAGCGAGAAGTGGCGAGAAGGAAAGAGACAGAGAGAGAGAGATCGCCATTGCAGTTTGGGCTCGGCTTTTAAACGCTACGACAACCAGCGATTGGTGGCGCAAACCCAGCGTCAGCGGCCAACGTCATCAGCACGAAATGCGGATCCTCCAATGCCGTTCGTACCTGTAACACATGCATGAAACGACACACCCACATACAAACGAACGCACACACTTATCCAAAATACGTTCTGCGAGGGAACGTTACACCACTTCATTTGACAAGTGCAAGTGCTCCGAATTGGGCACAGGCGTGGTTCAATTGGCCGGCCCTGGCCTGGTTGGAAGAGGTGTGCCAGAGCACGATTTGGTTTGGCTTTGGCATGGTACAAAGCGTGCCTAAGCCCGAAACTAAAGACACAATGTCACTGTTTAGGGACTTTCATATGGATTTTTTAATCATTTTTACTTTTAAATGAATGCAAACTGTCATAGGTTATTAAAAGACGCAAACCTTTCGCTGCACCTTCAGCAAACCTTCTTATACCTGCAGCACAAGGACTTTATGATGATTTATGTACGTCAAAAGTGGTGGATCTGTTCCGCAAAAGATTTGACCGTGTCACTGCATCCCAAACGACTAAAAATAATACAGAACAATATAACTACAGCAATGTCCACTGTGCTGACCAAGAGCACCTCCTTTCCTGTTAAACTGAAGTTAGATCAATGATGACTTAAGCGTGCTCCGGCTCTGAAATGATACAGTGTGAGTGCAGGCGGAGCGGGAAGGGGACACAAGCACACTTTGGCACAGTTCAAGGCAACTGTACCTAGTGAGAGCATGCCCTGATTGTATTTTTTATTGAACCTACCTGTTCACAATAATTCATTGTGAACAAACTGATGTGTGTTTACATACACAAACTGATGTGCGTGTAAACTGTACCAACACGCCAACATAATTATACATATTTTCATTCATTTGGCCAGTGCTCAAAAGTAGAAAACAAAAATTGCTCCACAGTCTAAACCTCAAAAAAAAAAAAAGTTTTGATATGTTTTAATGAAGACATATCTGTCCTAAAATGTAACCATTTTAGGACAAAATCTGCATTGCAAATCCCAATGAGGAAATTTTCCCCCCAAAATGGATTTAGACTTTTAGAGTGAATGTAGCTTTTGAAAAAACAAACACTCCTGGTGAAAAGTTCTTCAACAAAAGCATGAAATGTGAAATTGTAAAAAGGAGATCTATTATTCAGACTACAGTAGCATTGCCAAGCCATTTCAATCTGGGAATTTTTTTTACTTTGCAGGAGCTGTCCAAGATAACAATGCCTATTGTTTTCAACGAACCACTGAGCTTCTTGCAGAGGATTACAGAGTACATGGAACACACATACCTCATCCATAAAGCTTGTACACTTTCTGACTCTATAGAGCGAATGCAGGTCAGTACCTTATGTATACAGTGGTGGAGAGAGTACTGAAAAATCATACTCAAGTAAAAGTACCAATACTTGCCTAAAAATGTAGTGCGGGTAAAAGTATCTGTTGTAAATATTACTCAATATATGAGTAAAAAGTAGCCCATTTAAAAGTACTCAAGAATAGCGAGTAGTAAGTATTATGCTGTAAAAAGCTGATTCATTTACATGTAATTCGTGGATGTGTGGAAACGTAACATTCTGTAGTGCATTTAATTATTGCCCAGCTGGCACACAATGTCATAAGACATCAATATTAGGTTAGATTTAGGTCATGATGTCAGGTGACCAAAATTCAATGTCTAGCCAGTGTCTAAAACAACATTAGTTTGATGTCCAATAACAACGTCAAATGACGTTAATATTTGGTTGATTTTAGGTTGTTAGAAAGTGACCAAAATCCAACGTCGAGCCAACATCTTAAACAAACGTCATATTGATGTCAAATACTGACATTTATTCATCAGGTATGGCATCCAAAATGCAATGTCTGATAGATTTCTGAGTGGTAACGTCAACACAACGTCAAGTTGTAACATCATTAGAAACTGATATTTGGTTAATTTTAGGTTGGACGTTGGACATTGATGTTGAACTAACGTTGAGTTCTAATGTCAACCCGATTTTGATTTCCAAGCAAAATATAATGTCGCCACGACATTGGGTTATAACTTCAATCTGATGTGATGTTGACGTCTTGTGCCTGCTGGGTGTTTAAGACCGGTTCGGTCTTCATACAGTAAACATCCGTCGTCATCTAAACAGTCTCTGGGTCAATGCATGTAAAGATTTTGGATATTTTCTTGGACACTTTTAATGCTTCTAAACAGTTTGCTGCAATTATAAAACGCCCATGTCTTAAGGTAGTTCATTATGAGGTGATTTACCCTCTGTGTGTGATTTGATTGGACATGTATTACAGGATTGATTTTTTTAATCCCATAGACAACAAAAAATAAATTAGCGACTGCAGTTTAAAGGAAAGAAGTAAAAGTACCAATACTGCACTAAAAGTGTACTTGAGGGAAAGTAAAACTACACATTTTGAAAACCACTTAGTAAATTACAACTCTTGAGAAAAACTACTCAATTACAGTAGTTTGAGTATATGTAATTTACTTTATACAACTGCATAGACCTACATAAAAAAACAACTTATCGTTAATCTTTTTCTCAGTTTGTTGCTGCGTTTGCCGTTTCTGCTGTTGCATCTCAATGGGACAGAACTGGAAAACCTTTTAACCCTTTATTAGGAGAGACGTTTGAGCTTACAAGGTAAATCAGTACACCTCTTGTGGATGTAAATGTAGATTAGCGCGCACTTCTAATTTGCATGTCTGTGCTTAGGGAGGATGAAGGTTATCGGATGATCTCAGAACAGGTGAGCCACCATCCACCAATCAGCGCCTTTTATGCGGAGTCACTCAATCAGGACTTCTCGTTTCACGGCTCCATCTACCCAAAGCTGAAGTTCTGGGGCAAGAGCGTGGAGGCCGAGCCTAAAGGCACCATGACACTTGAGCTCTCCAAGTGAGTTTTACTGGTGATGTCACTAAACTGTAAACTTTATTTTTTATTATTGGAGCATCACTGAGACCCTCAAGTGCTGTTGAACGTCTGAGCAATGCAGAGACATTTTTCTGGCTTTTAGTCAAGTATTGTTAGTAAAAAAATAAATGGGATGTTAACTGAAAATAATAATATCAATAAGAAATTACTGTCATTTTCATATAAATATTTTCAGTTTAAAGTAAATTAAATGAAATCTGCTACCCACTTGTTTACTAAAGCTAAAATTTAGACTGGAAATCTAAATATTTTAACAAAATCAAAAATAAAAAACTTCAAAGTTAAAACTACAATTGATATCAATATTAAAAGAACAGTTTTGTAACACTTGCTTGAAAATAATTAGTATGTTTATATCAGTTCAGAGGAACTAACAATTAACAATTTTATAGCATTTATCAATATATTCATTCATTCATTTTCTTTTTGGCTTAGTCCCCTTATTAGTCCGGGGTCGCCACAGCAGAATGAACCGCCAACTTATCCAACACAATTTTATGCAGCGGATGCCCTTCCAGCCGCAACCCATCTCTGGGAAACATCCACACACACACACACACTCATACACTACGGACAATTTAGTCTACCCAATTCACCTAAACCACATGTTTTTGGACTGTGGGAGAAACCGGAGCACCCGGAGGAAACCCTGGTAAACGCAGGGAAACATGCAAACTCCAAACAGAAAACACCAACTGACCCAGCCCAGGCACGAACCAGCGACCTTCTTGCTGTAAGGCGACCACACTACCTAATGCACCATTGCGTTGCCGCATTTATCAAAACATTTAATTTTTACATGTACTAGTACATTTTAAAATCAAGTCACATCGGTTAGCATTTCATAACTTTGGGTCACAATTCTTACCATAAGATTACTAAATCCAACTAAAATTTGGGACCAAAAACCTAAATATAAATGTAAATATCAATTTATCAATATCATATTATAAAATGTAAATGTCTAAAATAACACTAAATTAAAGTGCTTACCTTACACTTACCAACTTATGCTAACCATACAATTAAGCCTACCACAGCCATATGCCACATCTAGAGCAACACATATTTTGCAATGCTACAAACAAGATTTACCGTAGAATTAATACTTTTTCATGGACTTGCATCTTATGACATGATAAAGTGAGACCCAGATGCAGTTGTATCATTTTACATTAAGGTTTATACAGCTGAAGTGAGAATTACTAGCTACCTGCATTATTATACCCCTTGTTTATTTTTTCCCTAAATTTCTGTTTAACAGAGAGAAGATTTTCAACACATTTCTATACATAATGGTTTTAATAACTCATCTTTCATAACTGATTTATTTTATCTTTGCCATGATGACAGTAAATAATATTTTACTAGATATTTTTCAAGACACTTCTATACAGCTTAAAGTGACGTTTAAAGACTTAACTAGGTTAATTAGGCAGGATGGAGTAATTAGGCAAGTTATTTTATAACAATGGTTTGTTCTGTAGACTATTGAAACAAATTTAGCTTAAAGGGGCTAATAATATTGACCTTAAAATGTTTTTTAAAACAATAAAAACTGCTTTTATTATAGACAAAATAACAAATAAGACTTTCTCCAGAAGAAAAAAATATTATCAGACATACTGTGAACATTTCCTTGCTCTGTTCTTCTTTGGGAAAAAAAATTTAAAAAGAAAAAAAAGAGGTTTAATTGTAGTTATTTTTCCACAATGAAGGCTATGCAGTGATATTTATTTGTATTCGATTCATATCTGTACAGTTAAAACGCAAAAACAAATTCATTAAACTCTATCTTTTTGATTTTATGCTAATAATACGTCCTACAAAACCATTTCAATCAATATGAAATGAGTTCTTTCCAAATTGAGCTATTCGATAAATTATATTCATATCGCAATGTATAAATAGAAAAACAAACATCGCAACATCAGTTGTCCAATGTCATGCAGCCCTTATATACAGTTGAAGTCAGAATTATTAGCCCCCCTGAAGTATTAGCGCCCCTGTTTATTTTTTTCCCCAATTTCTGTTTAATGGAGGGAAGATTGGTTTTTATCTTTGCCATGATGACAGTAAATAATATTTTACTTGATATTTTTCAAGACACTTCTATACAGCTTAAGGTGACATTTAAAGGCTTAACTAGGTTAATTAGGTTAACTAGGCAGGTTAGGGTAATTAGGCAAGTTATTGTATAACAGTGGTTTGTTCTGTAGATTATCGAAAAAAAAAAATTAGCTTAAAGGAGCTAATAATTTTGTCCCAAAAATGTTTTTTAAAAAATTAATAACTGCTTTTATTCTAGCCGAAATAAAACAAATAAGACTTTCTCCAAAGAAAAAAAATATTATCAGACATACTGTGAAATGTTCCTTGCTCTGTTAAAAATCATTTGGGAAATATTTAAAAAAGGGGAAAAAAAACAAAAGGGGGCTAATAATTCTGACTTCAACTATACATCTTAAAGTAAGTTCATGTTAACTAAATACTCAAGTATTGCTAAAAAGTGAGACCTTGTTTTAAAATTTGTTATTTTTTATTTCAGGCACAGAGAAGCTTACACTTGGACAAACCCCATGTGTTGTGTGCATAATGTTATTCTGGGTAAACTGTGGATTGAGCAGTACGGGACTGTGGAGATTGTCAACCACAGGTAGTTTCCTTTATGTCACTTAAAAATTGACAATGTGTTTTCAGTCTATAGGATTCTCCATCCTATAGATTTCGTTGTGCTCTGTCCAAAAACAATGTTCATGCAGCGAATGGTGTCTTCTCTATTCATTTTAGCACTGGGGACAAGTGTGTGCTGAATTTTAAGCCATGTGGCATGTTTGGCAAAGAGCTGCATCGGGTAGAGGGACATATCCAGGACAAGAGGTGAGCAGTCACTCCTATCAAATGTCAGTGGGTATATCTGGCTCACTGCCTGCCCGGAGAGTTTTACCTCACATCCTCTCTCTGTCTGCAGTGCCGAAGGCATCAGCTGTCTCTTGTATAGCTAGAGACCATATTCACACTTTTACTTTGCCATTTCTGTGTACTTCTTTTCTGGGATTTGATACTTGCGTTTATGACTCATTTTGTTTGGGTGGATTTCAGCAAAAAGAAGCATTGGGTTATGTATGGGAAGTGGACTGAGTGCATGTATAGCATTGAGCCAAAAGTCTATGAAGCCAACAAGAAAGCGGAGAAGAAGAGCGGAGGAGAGTCCAAGAAACACAAGCAGGTAAAAAAAAATTAAAGCGTGGGTCTGTTATCTCTTACTGTAGAGTCTAGATCTATTTTCTGTTGCTTTTTTGATGTGGAAGTTCAAAAGGGCTTTGATGCATTCTCAGATAGACTTCAGAAAGAGCTTCAATCATAAAAAACCTTAGACTGTTTGCAAACTCTTAGAAACATTATGCCAACCCAGGATTTTTACTGAAAGGATATCTGAAGTTTTTTCTTTTAACATTACTCCATTGTGCATTTAGGTTGTTTTGGGGGGGGGTTTAAACTAACCTTAATTTAGATTTTTAAAACATATATAGACATTGCTGATTGCTTACATCTTTTGCTGACTAAATCTGGATTTGTTTTTGATTAGAACAAGGTACATTTGCTATCATTAATATTAAATGTGGAAAAAGTTAAATGATTGAGACATTGATATATATATATATATATATATATATATATATATATATATATATATATATATATATATATATATATATATATATATATATATATATATATATATATATATATATATATATATATATATATATATATATATATATATATATATATATATATATATATATATATATTCAGGAAAGAGTACAGCATTTATTTGAAATAGAAATCTTTTGTAATTTTTGTAATATTTTGTAATTTAAAAAGGTTGACACCTTGATATGCAAAATCTCATTTTCAAGGGGGTCCCATTAAAGATGTGACAAAGAAGAAAAAAAACCTACAAACAACATACAAAAATCTTACAATACCTCAGATCAAAACTTTCAAATTGTTAAACAGAAAACAAACAAAACAGCAAATTAAATGAAATGTTTTTTTTATATTATATATTCTCTGATGTTTGACCCAAGTTATTTGGAAAAATCTCTACAATATGTTGGAAGTCACTTTTGTTTTCCTTTTATTAACATGCAATTTCAGTGAGAGGTGAAGGTAAAGACAGCGGCTTTTATAGGGTTTCTGCAGGTATTAAAAGGTCTTCATTCTCTTTTCTACAATTCAAAACCTTTAAAAAAGTGCCTAAATCAGAACAAAGTTTTAAATTCAGAGTCATGTTTTCTTTGCATTTTCATTTTTAATAGAAATATAGAGTATACAGTTATGGAAAACTATTTTCTCTGGATTTTTGGTATGGAAATTAAAAAAATTGGTTATTACCTAGTTCTTCTTTAAGACAAAATCTGAATTTGTTCTATAAAATATCTAAAAACTACTAAAACAGAGTTATACGTTTTGCTTACATTATCCTACATTATCCCAAAGGTTTCAAAGAATGTTAAAATCCAGAGAAATAAGCGATTTTAACTGTCCTGCATCAGCATGCTAATGGCATCATGAAAACTCAATTTCCATAAAAAAAATAAATAAATAGAAAACCCTTAATCGTGTGTGTAATCATTAAAAATACACATGTTTGTTGTGAATACGTGCCCTCTAGTGGCCAAAAATATCCTACTGCATCCTTAAGCTTTTTATTCAAATTAAAAGTCATTTAGATTGTTTTTTTCCCCCCATCAAGTGTCCATCTGTCCAAAGTCTTGAATTTACCTTCATAAAACCTGCAGAAATCCTTGTTTTAGCAGTATAGCTATAGACACCATCACAGTAGAGTTTGTAGTTCATTTAGTTTTTTTAGTCTGTGGCATTGTTTATCGGTCTTCTTCAGTGCACTCATGAGACTGTATGCATTTGAATAGGATCAGGGCACTGGAGGTGAAGATGCAGATGAAATGCCTGATGTCCAGGAGACAGTCACTATGATCCCGGGCAGTAAACTGCTTTGGAGAGTTGCACCTCGACCACCACAATCCACAGAGGTAAACTCAAGCCTTTAGACTTCAGAAAAACATGGCATTAACATCCGTCTTAGGTGACAACTTGAGACTATATCTCGTCTGCAGTTTCAATGCTAGCACTAATGAATATCAGACATTAGCTGCATCCAAAATGGCACACTACACACTATGTGTATGCACTTACACACTCAACACTAAAGTATATTTATGTAGTGTCGTCCCAAATAGAACACTAATGGGTTGTTTTACTAAGTGGAAATTGAAACCGTTTCCCTGATGGCGTTTGACAGTTGCCAATTTAGTGAAATAAATGTCCAAACTACCAAATAACACCTGCCATAAGTATGTCCACATTCACCATCGGGAGGCGCTATAATCTCTCTTATAGGAGAATTTTGCTTTCACAATCCTAAGTAAATACAACATCAGGGCTCAAAAGCTCCACCTCTTCCGCTATGTGAGCAAAGCAGTGGCTGTTGTGTGCGTGAAGTGTCCATCATTCCACACTTCATTTTAACGGTTGAATAAGTGCATCATCCGGGTATTTAAAGTGCACTGATTCTTTTTAAAGTTTTCAGTGTGATTGCACTATTACACTATTTATACTACAAAATGGCATAGAATAGTGCATAAGTATGCGGTTTGGGACGGACCTAATATAAAATGACACCTACATCGGTTACTCAAGGCGTGGATCACTGGAGATCGAAATTTAAGCAAGATGCTGCTTGTCAATAAGGGAAAAAGTAAAGAAAAAACACTAATATTTATCATCATGCTTCACTAGTAAGTTTAACTCTAAATTATTACATTAAGAGTTTGAAAGTTTTCAAAAATGTTGTGACAATACAATATGCAAATGAGACATTATTTCAAAAGAATATGTGCTAAAGAATATGTTGAATGAAATGACAGAGTTTTGAAGAGTTTTGAACCTGAATTTAGATGTTTGTGGTAAAGAATTGTATTCAAGGGTGTATGCTATAAATATGCTGGATAAGTTGGTGGTTCATTCCGCTGCGGCGTCCCTGATGAATAAAGGGACTAAGCCAAAAATCAAATGAATGAAATGCATGCAAATAGATTGAGTCAGGTTCAAAATACTTTTGCCATTTAATTTAACAGATTACATTCAATGGTTGTTTTTTAGCTAGGTTTTTTTTTTTAAAGAAAAGTCTGAAAAAGACCATCATAATTTACCTGATTATATAGAAATTTTGTTATACAACATAGTTTGTTTGAGGATTTCCCTATGTAAAAACCTTCAGAATATAAATGTGATCAAATCTAATGTCTGGTGTATGTCAGTGCTGGACATGTCCATGTTAGTGCAAATTAAAATCATATTGCAAGTGAAATCTACAGACACACATTGACAAAAATCGCAACAAAAAGAGTCGTGTCGATTTTTACATGGGGAAATGCTCAAATATTATTTTGTAGAATAAAGTTTCTATATAATGAGGCAAATTATGATGGCCTTTTTTCAGGGTTTTTAAAATATTGTATGAATTATGGAGTGATTGAACCCCAATGAAATCAGAGACCAAGCCAAAGAACAATGAATTAATAAGTGAAAAAAAATACTGAATTGTTTTTACAAGTGCATGAAAAGGGTTTTAGCTTGCAGCATTTTGCTTTTATTGTCAAGTGTTAATCACTCTTACAAATGCAGACACTTAAACCTGCTAGCTTTGTACTGGAACACTTAAAATCTCTCGTCCTCTTTTCTGGATTTTATTCAGATGTATAATTTTACCAACTTTGCCATGACACTAAATGAGCTCGAGCCTGGCATGACTGAAGTCCTAGCGCCAACAGACTGTCGCCTGCGGCCGGATATTAGAGCGATGGAGAATGGTGATATAGGTATGGACTGTCTCTCTTTTGGCCTGTTCTCTTCCCATCTGTCCATTAAGCTGTCTTGGATGATGCTCTGTTTATTTTAGCCCTAAATTTAGAAGCTCTTCTTAAATTCCAGATTCTGCAAGTCGAGAGAAAGAGAGGCTGGAAGAGAAGCAGAGAGCGGCTAGAAGAGAGCGTGCTAAAGATGAAGAAGACTGGTCTACAAGGTAAGCGTTATGTTAAGAGCTGTTTATCCACATCTGTGCATTTTGGCATATTGTAGGAATAAAATGGATTAGATTTATTCATTAGGTATAATGAGTTAGACTAAAATCTTAATATTTGTTTTATTATAAAATGGAATTGCACGATACTGGAATTCAGTACCAATTGATGATGAAATATTAATAATGTCCATTTCTCGCTAACATTTGTATGCGTTTATAAATGGTGTTGATTTGCAATTGGGTTCACATGCTCAACAGAAATGACTGTGATTGGCCGTGAAGGTCATTAGTTCACCAAACTCACTGCTGTTCATGAGTGGAACCACAGATACATGAACACTTTAGCTTTTCAAAGTTCTGTTGAATAGCTGACATACAAGCGATCCGCTTATGAAATCACAGCTTTAAAATGCTCCAGTGTCCCTGTATCTGTGGTTACACAGAGTAAAAAGTGGTGATGTAACGAGGAGACTGACACGGAGGGATCCATTTTGCAGTATTTAATAGACACAGTTCAATCACAAACATACAACACGCACTAGTGCGAACTCACATCAACAGTATTCAATATAGATTGTGGGGCTGGCGGCTGACAGACACAGAGTGATATACCAGGCATGGATCAGTGGCAGGCGGCGTGGTTCAGAGTCCATGTAACAAGCGTGGGTCGTGGGCAGGTAGCGTGGTTCAGAGTCCGTGTAACAAGCGTGGGTCGTGGGCAGGTAGCGTGGTTCAGAGTCCGTGTAACAAGCGTGGGTCGAGGGCTGGCAGAAGGCAACTCAGAGTCAGAAACAGTCCAGGGTTATGCACAACAGATCAGGCAGGAAATAATGCTCAGAAATGTTGGCCGTGGCTGAACAAGACTTCGCAGTGAACTGGTGTTTGAGTGTGGCTTATATAGGAAGCGTGGGTCGTTAACGGGATTCAGTTCAGGTGTGTGCACAATCAGTTTAGGTGGATGATGTAAGGCTTAGAAGTCCGGGGATGGCAGCCTCTGCTGGCCAGCGAGGGAAATGACTGGGACCAAGTCGGTGACAGGTAAGTTTCATGGCCAAATCACAGTCATTTCTGTTGAGCATGTTAACACAAAGGTAAATTACAAAAACAAAGGAATGTGCTCAACAGTGCTCAAATGTTAGCGGGAAATGAACGTTTTTAATATGTAAGGAACGATTGGTAGCAAATTCCAGGATTATGCAACCCTATTATGTAAAGGTCATAGGCATTTTCATCAAACTGAAAAAAGATACAGTTGTCATTTGGCACATTTTTCTTTTTAAGAAATGTTATAATTACAAAGGCTTTCATTTATTATGACTGAAAATTTGGGCTATTCCAGCAAAGATTGACGTTTTTTTACCTAATACATTGGTATTGTGCTTTAAAAAAAAAAAAAAAAAAAAGTATACAAGTGTCTGAAAACATGGCATCTATTTATGTACTTTTATGCTCTAAAATATTAACTTATGCAAAAACTTACAATAACAACAGTACAGAAATAATTTTGATAACTTTTAGGCATTGACGCTGGTATTGAGACATTTTGTTGACGTTGGTATTGAGATGCTGGTGTTGAGAGCAATTTTACAATGGTTTCAAACATACATTAAATCACATCATCTTATGCCTTCTATGAAAGATACCATCATTTAAAAATATTTTAGTAGGTTAGCCTTGAAAGATTTATAAAAGGAAGACACACTGGAATGATTTTCGCTCAGTCAGCATTTTTTTTTCTTAAGACGTTTTTCTGCATTTAACCCAAGTCATTTTCATCGTGGTTGAGGAGAGTGAACCCCCTGACATTAGTCGCAATGACTTCTGGGACTTCGAGCGAGTTCGGTGCTCAGGTCTGCATCGGTGCATTTTCTATACCAAGAACACATCCGGTAACGTTCACAAGGTCTTGAGTTTTGTAACTGAACTTCGGAGGATGATGATGACGTTACACGAGGATGCAAGGTCGCTGAAGAACACATATTGGGAAACAGGCCTTGCCTCCATGCATCATCTTTTTCATTGAATAAAAGTAAAACTGGGATCACCTCAACTGTTTTGCACTTGAGCACCTCCAAGTGGTGTTTACTGGAACTTCAGTCGCTCTGCGCATGTAAACAAAAATGCCAATCTAATTGAATAGACAAAAATAACGATCCTGAGGCATTTCTTTAAAAGTGACGCTTTTATGACTGGTATTTGGTGTGCACAATCACATTGGTGCCCTTTATTTAGTCATGAGGTGTTAAACGTCGACGAAAAACACGAGCATGAACCGTACTCAGTGTGAATGGGCTTTTACCCTCAAAATACTTACCCAAAAGTTATCCCAAGCCTATACAAGTTAGATTTTTCTGTTGAACATTGATGATTAGGAGAATCTTGGTAATTAGACAGTTAATAGTGGGTGTTTCTGGGGGGGGGTGTCTATTTTTTTATTTTTTGTCTTTTTTTTTTGAAGAATTGGATGAGTTGAGTTTTAGATTCTTAACTTTTTTGGCCTCCTGTTTTCAGATGGTTCCAGCAAGGCAATAATCCGTACACTGGAACCGCAGACTGGATCTACAAAGGTGGTTATTTCGACAGGCGATACTCAGAACTTCCAGACATCTACTGATTGAACTGAGAAGACTGAAAGAGGCTTGAGATTTCATTATTTCACTCAATCCATATCATCTCCTCTCCTTAAGCTCTTATTTTTCTTTTTGTTTGTCTTTGTTGTAATGTGACATTCATATGAACAGTTTTTTTGGACAAAGCCTCTCCACCACTTTTACTCTTCACTCGAATCTGGAAATTCAGAGCGAATGGATTTTATTTATTTTGAGAGGTAGGGAATGCCTTTTTCACTTTCTTTTTTGGAATGGATGTTAGATTTTGAGTTAAACATTCTGCGCAGACCTCAATACATGTAGAAATCGCTAGTTTGTGTGTATGTGCTAAGCTACCTTTCCATGCGTCTCGCTAGTTACACTCAGGTGTTCATTTATGGGTACAAGCGGTTAGTGATGATGGCACCACTGCTGTGCCATCTGTGAAGATCTATTTTTGAGTGATTGTTGAATCGTGCGGCTGCTCAGAACTGATTAGAAAAGCGTCATTTTTTTGTGTTTTTGTTCAGACTATAGGTGCAGTCACAGTGTAGGTTCAGCAAAATTTCTCAAGCCAAAACAGTCTGTTAGTCAGCAGTAGTGCTGAAAAGCACAGATTACACAGAAGTCGCTTTCTGTTAATCAGTGCAGGGAGTTCATGTGGTATGTTTACATGACATTTTCAACTTCAAGAGTTCACACTCAGCTGATAATCAATAAAGCGTATTTGGCATGCTGTCCAAGGAGAGAGCCCTGAGCTCATAACATCCTCGAGCCCAGGGCTCCCTCCCGTTAGAAGGGCGAGAGGGGAGTTCGAGCTCAGGTAGGTCTCGAGAACTCCCCTGCTTGTCGTCGTGAGAAGCATAAACTAAGGTTGTATTGGGTGATAATGTGTTTTAGTCGATTGGCTACGGTTGATGTTTTTGGACGGTGGGAGGAAACCGGGGAACCCGGGGGAAACCCACTTAAACTCTGCACAGAAACACCAACCGGCCCGATAGTTTGGACCAGCGTTGTTCATACTGTAAGGCAACAGTGCTAGCCACTGGGCCACCGTGTCGCCCTATCGGAAAAGGGGGAAGAAGTAGGGGTGGAAGGGGGGAGCTTCAAGACGAAGATAACTGGAGTGAAAAACTCAGATTATTTATAATGCTTCTGTAATCATCTAATAGGGCAGATTACAGAGCTAATGAGCCAGCCGTGTTGATCATAAGCACGTGATCCTCTCGAAATTAGTTTATGAATAAACCACACTAAAATTGAGAGTTTATGCATTTGGAAATGTAACCATTATCATCTCTTGTTAAATTATAAAAATGACAATAGGACCCTAAATTTTAATTGAAATTAATTGAAGTCTTTACATTGATTTAGTTTACAATCAGTTAAGTTTATTGATCATTGTAAAATGATCATTTAGAACATCTCGTAGTTAATTAATAGTTTGTACTGTAAAAATCATCAACTATTAAAGGCAGGACATTTTTTTGTATTGAAAGAGTGCATTGCTTTTCTTTGTGATATTAAAATAATTGAAGGAAATAACTATTTATGGTTACTTGTTGAATATTTCAAATACCTGAAATCAAAGCACACATGGCTTGAAATGGGCTTAATGCAGCTTGTGTTTTTCAGCCAATGATGAACTTCCGGTGAATGCTTTATGTGACTATTTTCAATTTCAGAAGGTTTCCTTTACAACATCGATGTTGAAATGTAATTCAAATATATTCAGTTAAATAGATTTAAGCATCCATTTGGTTTGTTTAGGTGTAAAAAAAGATGAAAGACGGTTTAAATGCAGGCGCCGTCATTAGTGGCAGGCTAGTGCGGAAATTCTATTGAAAATACAGGGGTAAAATTAATTTCCATATTTTAAAGACATAGTGTGGAAAACATTTATTTAAAGCAGTGCTTCTTGTTTGGTCTGAACCCCACTTTATATCGTATGTCAGCCAGGCAGTGAAGATCACAGTTTTTTAAACGCTCAAACGCTGTGATGTTTTTTTTTTATGGAATGACAATTAACCAGTAGCCCTAAAGGCTGGTGGACTGAAATTAAAAAGTCTGTGTGCGTATAGCTCATCAAGACATCTTGAAAAATCACATTTCAGTTTTGTTCTAAAAACTTTTTTTGAAAATTTTTTTTGCTTAACAAAAATGGAGTATAACCAGCATATCTTGCAAACAAAATGCCATTTCAAAACAACTTGTATCTCTTATAAGTGATTATCATTTAAATAATGTGATATGAAAAATAGAAAATAACTAGCATCTCCTGTAAACAAATCTTGTATTTATGTACGTGTTTGACACGTTATAGTTCATTTAACAAAAAGCTTCTAGTAGTACTAACCTAATTATCTGGGAGGCTTTTGAAAATTCAGTCTTCGTTTGCTCAACTGATTAGCTGAAGTGTAAGTGCAGATGTTAGAGTCCACATGAAATCAAAAATGTAATTGTTAGTTTGCTGTGAGTGGGAAAAATGGGAGGAGCACACAAAAAAAAACACCTTCTACTCAATATCTAGTTGGAAATATACATCCACATACTGAAAAGCCTGCCACAACGTCTGGTTCATGCAAATACTTTTACCGTAAGTTGTTGCAATTTAGACCAAATACAGAAGAATCTGGCTAAGGATAAAGGATATGATTTACATGTAGAGTGCTTTAGATTTGCTCTGCATCCACTGACTTGAATGGAAAAAAAATAAATAAATGCCTGACATGATTAACTTAATGAACAATAAGACAAACTGAAAAAAAATTTAACCGAAGTAACCTACACAGGTAATTGACATCAGAAAGAAATCAAAACTGAAATTCAGAACCTAATACTGATTAATCATCCAGCCTTATAAATAGTCACATTGTGTTCAGTCTGTAGGCATGCAGAAGTACTTGACAACCAAAAGAGCAATGCTGGACTACAGGACCACTTGTCTAATATTCATTTACAAAGTGACATCGGCACCTACTGGCCTGGAATCCATAACACGTTGTATTCACCTTAATCGACGCCGACGAGTGGGCGCAGCCATTTGAATCTTTTTGGCTCGAGACTTCCGGCCTCATTCACTTCCATTCATTTTTAGACATTAAAAACTGCTCGTTTTGCTGTTTGATGTTGCAAACTCATATTTCTTTGTTATATCATTCTACTTGGACTGTATAGTCATGCAAACATTTGATTGTTGAGCCGGTAGTTTTTTGGCGTTTATTATTCCTAGTCATTTCTCCCATAGGCGACTGAATCGGAAGTTCTAAGACAATCGCGGAAACAGACGCACTTCCGCTTAAGCCGCCTTTCCACTGCACACAACATTCAGACGTGACTGTCAAAATAAACCCCCTTGTGGCAGTCGCATAGAATTTTTAGTTTTATCGTGCACCATGGAAGAGAAGCTGATTATCACGGTGTCTGAAATAAATGAGTGCAAAAGCCATTATTCTCCATGCATTCACAATGGTTGAGTAAATATTAGAAACTTATAGACTTTTAAAAAATATTGTTATTCTATCCAAAATTTGTAGTTCTCATTTATGAAAAGAAATGTTTTTTTTAGTATAGACTTTTTCTAATTCAAAAATTACAACAAAAAAAACTAGTAATTCTCATCCCGCGTGCACAGACCTGCCTGGACAACACTGGGATAAATCACATCCAGTCAGCTGGTCGCATATGGTCTAGTTGCAGGTGTTGTATATTTAGGAGCAAATATTTTAACGGATCCGCAGATCGGATCCCACATACAGATATTGCAGCTTCCAGACTTTTGTCCATTGGAAATGAAGGACTTCCGGTCCATCGCTTGTCATATGTCATGTGCAGTGGAAACGAGGCTTTAACTAGTGTATATACAGTAGTCAACAGTCAAAGGGAATCAAAAAAAAAAAAAAAACATCCTAGGACAAGAATGAGTGTTGTTCAATTATTTTTACGACAAATTTGACAAAAGGTGATGATCCACTTTAAATGTTGACTACAAAAATGTAGCCTAAAGTTACGAAAACATATAAACCGTTTATTATTCCAAATGCACTAGCAGCTGCTCATTTAGAATACCAAAACTATCTATCTATCTATCTATCTATCTATCTATCTATCTATCTATCTATCTATCTATATATATATATATATATATATATATATATATATATATATATATATATATATATATATATATATATATATATATATATATATATATATATATATATATATATATATATAATTTTATGTGCAAAACATGTTTTGGATTGTGAAAAAGGTGAGAAGTTTCAATTTGCATATAAATATTAAGAATTTAATTGTTAATGAATCAAACTCACGGTGTAGCCAAAATCACATACTGTACTACTTCCCTACTATATAGTATGTGAGCCAATAGCATGTGCGAATTCATATTATTCGGGTGGGAGGGGGGCGAGACATACTAATATGTAGTAGTTGCATACCCATGACCTACTTTGTTTTTAAATAATATTTTATTCTTAAACTATACACTGATAGAACTGTGCTTTTAGATGCCATCTTGTGGTCAGATGTGGAAATTCATTCGGCATGGGAACTGTGCATTAAGTGCATTATGGGAATTTCTTTAGCTGTTGAGTGTACATGGGCTCTAGACTCATTTTGCTATGCGTTGTGGGATTGATTAAGTACACTTCATAATGTCCACTATGGTTTTGGACGCCACTAAAAATGGGTGTAGAGATTGATTTCAGACGTAGCGCCAGTGTTTTTAGTCAGGGATTGTTTTGATAGCATTGTCGCTAATGTGCAAATCTTTCCCAAAAATGCAAAGCATTTCCAGTTTTTGTACTCAGTTGTCATGTAAACATACCTTTAACATGAATTAAAACTCAACACTGCATAGATTCCCATTTAAATGACTGAATTTAGCCTGCAGGAATCTGCTGAACAGCGCTAATGTGACGTCTCTTGATGCCATTTTATCATCTCTGTCTCCCTGATCTCAGAAAATGTGACTTCTATTTTAGTATGCATGATGATGTACAGGATAGTTCATAGCTAAGCATTCTGCCAGATTCAGAGTATCTAAGAAGGACAGAAAATTATTTTTTTCAAATCATCCCACCTACGTTGTGAAATTGCAGTTAGATCTCATAGTGAAAACTTGTTGTTTAATAAACCATCTCCATGATAAAGCGGATTTTCTTAAAAATAATAATATTCTCAATAGTTTAGACTTATTATAAATCTGTTGTTGTTTTTTTGTTTGTTATTTGACAGACTAAAATGAAAGCTGCTTCTGAAAAAAAATGTTTACTTGCTAAAAAAAAAATTGTTAAAACAGCTCATTTAAAAATTACATTCTGTCATCCATATTTCAAATGCGTTTATGATTGCCAAAGCGATTTTTCACTTCTAGAAACTAAAGCCATATACTTTGTCAGGACTGCAATGTTGTGTGATACATGGTGATGAATGAAATGGAGATGGGTGCTAATCTCTTACTCTTTCAGCACTTAATGGCTCACGAATGTGAAGGTGCTTCACCTTTGCCCACATATATACTGTATATACACACACACACACACTCACATGTACCAAAAGTGCTCAGAATGTGCTTCACCGCTATTACGTGTTTGTGTTTTTGCCATACAGCAACTACATTTCTCTCCACACATACGAGTCATAGACAAGATGACCTCAGAGGAATGTGAAAGACAGCGTGTCTTTAATTTTGAAAACAAT